CACTAGGTAATGGGTAAGACCATACTCAAAGATAAAATAAAAAACTCATTTATCAACCTGGTGATAGATAGAACACTGCTATTTTGGTACCTCCTGGTTCTACATCTCACCCTTGTGAGAAGATGGGAGTTTCTGAGATTTCTGGGAGGAGGAAGCCAATCATGAAATTTATTAGAATTGAGGAGTGACTTGCAAAGTTTAACGTCGGCATTTCCAGTCTTTTGGATAGCGGAGGGATATCCAGTTCATTACAAATCTCTTCATATATGTGGTTCCTGCAGTGATCATAAGTGAGGATAACCCAAAACACTTTCCTCTGGAGAGGCATATTCAACAATGGGCTTAATACATGTAGATACAGTTCTAAGGTCACACAAGGGTATATTTCAATGCTTCAGTTGTCTTAGAAAATATAGTTTCAGGTTAAATGATCTTCACACACTGTTAAACTGGGCATCCCACTTGATATTGGCTTAGGCATGTATGGCCCAGAGGTTTACTGCAACTCTTTTGATGAAGAGATGAGTGTCTGATATGTAAGACTTGTTTTACAGGATTCCATTAGAAGCAAATAGTAATGACATTGCACTTATTTTGATTAACATGATATTGTTGTTCGACCCATGTTTGAGGCAATCTACTTCCTGTTGCATGATAGTTTGCTTCACCAACATTATCAAGTGGCAAAAAGGTGCCATGTCATTGACATATTTGTTTTGAGTATCTCTAGGGTTAACAGGTTGGTGTCATCAATCATTGCTGGAAATGAGATTGGTCCTATTCTTGTGCTCTGCGGGACACCTGCATTATTAGTTACCCAGGCAGATAAGGTTCCACCAAATCGGATGCAGTGTTAGCGGTGAGAAAGGAAACTGCATATGGGGGGGGGAGAATAATGCAGGGTCTGATGCCTAGCTTTAAAAACTTCACACTCAGCTGATGGCTTACTCTCAAAAGTCTTTGAAAAATCAGTTGCAACAACTACAGATATCTTAGGTTTGTCAGTTTCTCTATACGGCTCATCAAGCAATTTAATAAGGCAATGAGCAGTTGCAGATCACTTTCATTGACCAAACTGATAATTGTCTAGTGAAGGAGTAATGTCATTAACTATCCAATTAACAACAAAATCATCAACAACTTTTGCAAAGATACAAGCTAAGGCAATGGGCTTAACTGTGCGATATTCAGGGGGTGTGACTTAGGGACTGAAACAACAATGGCTTTTTTTCATATATCAGGAACCACGCCATCTCGTAGAGAATGTTTGAAAATCTCTGCTAAAGGAAAGCAAACTTCACAGTCAAATTCCTTGATCAGGCGAGGGGGAACCATGACCTTTTGCTACAGTTCAGTTTCTTAAGGCTCATGTGTACATCTGCTGGTGATATTATGAGAGGTGGCTCGATGGCAGGTATTAAATAAGCAGGAAGGGAGCTGGGATCACTGCAGGGATGTTGTCAGCTACTGAGATAAACAACAATTGATCTCATTCGCAGTTTCAAATGGCGTGGACCTGGATGAGACAAATGCAGGGAAAAATATGCCCGGTCATTCTCTTGATCTGTTGATATCATTGGCCTAGGTTGGATTGTTAGAGCCTGGTGACACTCCAAGTATAAATGATGTGTTTGGCACACTTGATAAGTCAGGATAACTTTATTACGCAACAGTCTCCACAATGAGAGTTTGCTAGTTGAGAAAGTCCTTTGGCATTTTACAGTCGGTGCTTTCATTTGAGGAGAATTCCAAGGTTTGTCCCTGCTATGAGCCGAAGCCATCTTGGTTGGAAAATGTAAATCAGTAGCGTCCGACCATGTTTAGTAGAAAGCTGTTGCTTTGGAGTTTGGGGACGTAGCTAACTTGACCTCAGTCCACTCATAATTACAGATCCACTTGTCAGGAGATGACCAGAGTCCCTGTTGGGCCGGATGATTCTTTTATAGATGTGATTACTCCTTTTTACAGGAACAACTGGTTGCCATACTAGTACAGTATTGGGGTCGTTCAATCTCAATAGAGATGCAGAATGCAGCTCTTGATAATGGCGGTGAATGTTTGTGAAAATTTTGTCAAAAATAGCTTGACATGTAGTTGGAGTATTGAGGACTTGCACCAGGCCTGTAAGTCAGCATATTTGATCAGTGCCTAACTTGTTAAAGTCAACAAGAAGTATTACACCAGCACCAGGACACTGCGTCTGTAGGGAATTCAGTGTGGTTGATAAATGTTCAATAAGTAAAGTGTTACAGGGAGATGGGGGGGGAGATGTGAGTGACACACACAGTGTGAGACCTGTGATGGCGGGTAGCAAACGTGGAGGGTGTAAAACCCATGATGGAGCATGGTAAACATAGAGGATGCGAGACCTGTGATGGCGGGTAGCAAACGTGGAGGGTGTAAAACCCATGATGGAGCATGGTAAACATAGAGGATGTGAGACCTGTGATGGAGCATGGTAAATGTGGAGGGTGAACCCAGACCTGCAAAGCTCTCTGTTTCTGCAGGAATGTGAAGGCCAGTCCTCCAGTGATGATGAGAGGCAAAATCCTTAGGATCCCCGGTGAAATCAGTACAAATCTCATCGGCACAGGTTGCTGGATAATTAATAATATATAGTAAATGTACAAAGCACTAATGATCCTTAAAAAACGTGAAACATGGTGACAACAGAGACAGTGTCGCTGCATCGTCCAGTCACGCTAACAACCACAAACAACAATTGGCGCCGCATGTGCCATGGCAAGTGCCAAGATACATGTACATTGTTTGGGAACACATCCCTTGGCCAGGTCCCTTACCACTTGGCCATTCATGTAACATGAAAAGTGCCAAGATACTAATGTTCAGGAACACATCCCTTGACCAAACCTCTTACCACTAGGCCATTCATGTGCCGTTAAAAAGTACCAAGATGTTACTGGTTAGGAGCATACCTTGACCAAATCCCTTGTTAGCTTTGGCAAAAATAGATTTAACGTGAATTCAACAACACTTGTTATCCATTTGTCAACCTGGTAGTCTTTTGATCCAAGGTGGGAAGTTGTTCACTGAATTCTACAGGCAGGAGACTAAACAAACATCCGTAGTGACATTTTTTAATATAAACAGACTTCAAAATCCATCCACTAGCACATCTGTAACCAATGTTCATTGGTGAAACCTTTCTGGCTAGGCATCACTAGGTCAAGGCTTAGATCCGTAGGGATCCATTGTGTCTATTTTAAGGTCTTAAAACCACTGGTTGCTGCCAAACAGGTGGGGAAAAGGGAGCAATGGGTTGTGGTTAAGAGTAAAGAAGTGAGGCCAGGTGATTGGTTTTTTTTTTTACTATGCTGAAGGTTTATGTATAATTTGATGCATAAAGTGCAGCGACAGTGCCATGTTTACTGCGGAGGAGATGTACATATAACTCTTACATTTTGAAAACTGTATTTGACATGACCTGTGATACAGCATTTTTTTTGTGGGAACTGTTCCGATTTTAGGCATTATTTTTTTGAAATGTATTTCAAGATGAGAAAATAAAAATTGTTGCGACAATTTTGAAATACTTATTCCTATCAATGAAATTTTTAACAAAACCATTTTTTTAGCCTCTTTGTATTGATGTTTTTATGTTGATAAGCAGTTTGTCTTGTGCTAAGATTGCTAACGTTGATCATGGAGTGAAATCAGCATTTACAATTGTTGGTTGTATTTGGTTTGTTGGCTGATTTGTCAGGTAACAAGTTCGTTTGTTTTGTCTTTTTCAAAATTAAATGAAGAGACATAAGAGAGTCTACATTTATGCTAAAAATTGACAGCACATACTGATCGTTTTAGATTTAAAATAAACATAAGACTGTATGACGTAATTGCTGTAACAACCTCAGTGATGAAGAAACCCGTATTTTTACACTTTGGTGTTCTCCAGTTGAGAAGTATAAAAATTCCTTGCTACATGTATCCACATTGTGGCTATCATGATAGTATACAGCTTTGGACTAAGATGAATTTGTGCTGGTACTTATCACATTGCTATCAAAGGGCCAATGGCAAAATGGCCACCAGCAAGATTACAATTGTTTCACATTCTAATGTTTGAGCATATTAAGTTTCAACTAGTATTTTGCATTTTTGGGGGGCACCAGTAGGTGGCTGCAAATACCTGTGATGGTAAGGGTATCTAGATACATTCAGAGTGAGAGTTCTTCCTGTGGATGATTGTGATGTTTGACCATGTGCCCTCCATAGGTTGAAGACCAACAGACCAGACTAGAGCAGGCCTATGAGTTCCAGTCGGCCTACCAGACAGCTCTGCAGAATGTCTCCAGTTGGCTTGACAATGTGCAGCTGAAGCTTTTCTCATCCAGTTGGCAGAAGGATACACAAGCTCAGCTGGATGATCACTCCGTAAGGATTTTTCAAGTGTTTTAAATTGGGACAGCACATTTCTGGCAAAGTCAAAAATAGGTACAGTGTTTACACAGACATTTTGTGTATTTTACCAGATTTGGCAAATTCCAAATTTTGCAACATTTGTTTCCCCCGCCAGGCCCTTCAAGATGAAATCCACACCTTCCAAGACCAGCTGGAGGTCATGAACGAGTCTTGCCAAGCCGTCCTCCTTGAAGCCAACGAAGAGAATCGGCAGCTGATCCAACAAGCGTTGGCGGACCTCAACTTGCGCATGTCCACACTGGAAACAGAGGCCCAACAACGGGAACAAGAACTCAGGGAGAAGAATAAGAGACAGAAAGCCTTCCAGGTACGGTAGAGAGAACAGAACTTATCTTGTTCTGTGCCTGAGTTCTGTTTGCAACTGCTTGTTTGCACTTTAACCAATGTGCGTGGATGCTCCAGTGGAGGGTTTTGCACACTACAGGAAGTTGATAATTTTCTCCACATTTTAGTGGCTGTGATAGTATTGTTGGAAGGTTGCGAACAAATTTAAATTTCTGTCTGGGAAGCTTTACGTTATTGAGCTTTACTCATTAGATTTAATTGGGTGAAACTAACAGAAATTGTTGTCAATCTGACAAAGTTGAGAACATTGACAAAATTGACAAATCCTGTGCGGACAGCTGGTGAATTGTTGTGTTTTTCAGGTGTTGAACGTTGATTACCAGGTCAGTTTTTTATCACTCAAAAGTGTCTATAGCCATTGTAATGTAAATCTTATATTTTGATCACATGAATGAGTCAGTGGTTACCTGTATTACAACCCCTGCTGTCCCCTGTACACATGCCCGTACAATACTGTCCATACATGTAGGACATCGGATATGCAAAATGGACGACTTGATTATCGAGAAAACATGCTTTCCCTGAAACCTTATCCCGTTTGGGGTTTTCATGTCAGTTGGAGGGTGCCACTGTGTGGATTAGAATATTTTATTCCTTCATTCAGAGACTGTCTGGTTAAAAGTTTCTTTATTGTTCATCTCTTTTTTCCCTCAGGATGATGCGCAGATCTTCCAGAGTTGGTTGACTGATGCCAAGAAGCGACTGACCAGCCAAGATGAATCAGATAGTGTGGTGGCATTAGAAGACAAGATCAACTATAACCAGGTAAGATGGTGCAAGGAGTCAACGGTGAAGTCTTGTCCAGATTACCATTAAAGGTTACTTACTCCTTGTTGGTGTCCATTAGTTTTCTGTTATCCCGTTATGACAGCAATTTCATATAACTTTGTGTGTGTCTTTATGCTGCTTTCAGTTTATGTGACATGTGAATTTCTCTTTCTTTCTTTGAAAATGCCATTGATACCATTGCATTGTTATTGAAGTGTTGCATAAATTATATATTTACCTTTGTCATTGTCAGGGGACAATACGGCTGTTTCACAAAAGTGCGCCACCAAGAGTTTGCAATGCGTTGGCCAATCACAATGCGCGAAATTCGTCGACCCATTGCGCGTTTAGAAAGGGTTGACAAATTTCGCGTGTTATGATTGGCCAAGGTTTTGCAAACACTAGGTGGCACACTATTGTGAATCGCCCGTATTAGAAATGTCTGGGTCTGTATAATGTGTGATAGTCTGGACCCTCTCAGTGTATTAAACACATTTCCATGAAAGTTGGTTAAACCAAAAGCTCTTATGGGAATAAATCTGAGGTTGCCTTTCCATTAGAAATTTCTTCCTTTGGTAAAATGGCATAGCCATTGTGTTTCCGCGTGAATATGGACCATGTTAAGTTTGTTGAAAACGAGTGAATGCTCGAAAGTGTCTCCGATAAGCATTTTCAGTGTCCAGGCACTTCTTGCCGCAACCCAGACTGATTGGCTCACGAGACCTACGGCTCACCCCAGAAGGTCGTGTATTTCCATTGACAGCCAATGCCAAGTGAAACTTAGGTTTGTAAGGTCGCTTGCCTGAGACAGACTGCCGTTTGTGTATGTGACTGCTTATAACTGTGTCTCAATATGCCTTTGTTACCAATTGTGAACAGGATCTACAACGACAAATCCAGGTTAGCCATTGTGGGGAATTTCTACTTCCTGCTTGCCCTCTTGGATGCTTGACAGTGCATTGATTATGATTGATTGTTGTAAAAAGTACCCCGACTCATGTTTGCTTGTAGTATGGTTCACCAATCAATGTTGGTTTTTCTGTAAGAAAACCAACTACGAATTAATGTAAACGATCTGACATCTTTAGCGGTGATTTAATAAAAAAAGTGGAGCTCTAACTATGCCTGCACCTCAAGTTTTGCTTGTATTTTGAGGCAACATTTCTGGCAAGAATCTTAATACCTCTTGGATGAAGGAAATTGAATTAATCTGCACAGTTTGTAATGAGTTGGGTCCATTCTGCATGGTGCATGTCATTTTTTACTTAGTTATTTACGCATGGTTAACTTGTGCATTTAAGAAAATATTTCTAAGGTTCGATATTAATGGCAAATTATGTTATGGATATCTTGCATGGAGACAATACTGAGTACATTTGGCAACTACGTAATTCACAAGATGGGGCTTACAAGGGCGTACTTACTTATGCTCATGCTTAGTGTATATAGAAGTAAGAATTCCCTCAAATCTTGGAGCTCTTAAAATCTTCAAATTAGTATGGCACTTTGTTGTTTTAATCTTTGCTGGAAGAGTTTAGAAGTACAAAGCGTTTATAGCTACAAGTTCTGGTACAGTCAGGTCTACCCCCCTCTTCCATCCCTAGTTTTGGCCCACCTGCTACGTTTCTCTCTACCCTCTTTAAGAATGAAACTGTGTATTCTTATTTATTTATTTATTCACCACACCCAACAACGGAAGAACCGCCACTTAGAGGAATGGTATCAATTAACAAAAGTATTAAAAAGACTATTTACAATTAAATACTAAAATTACTAAAAATTAAAAATTATACATACATAAATAAAGCATTCAAAAACAATAAAAAAACAAAACAAGGTAAAAATAAAGTAGAATAGAATAGATAAAAAAGGCAATATAAGAATAGACGTCAAATACATGTTGACATACACAGAAATTGTACATAAAAAGATCTTAGTCTAGAAGTGCTTGCTTAACCTGTTTTTATAGAGTATTCAGTCCCGTACATCAACTGTCACACCATTCCATCAACCCTTCTTGCTCTTTGAATGATACAAGAAGAACGGAAAAGTTTGTTTGATGTTTTAGGCTAGTGTTGGGGTATCCTATTTCTTCTGCCCCCCCCAAGTGTTGGAGAGGCCCCCCCTCCCACTGTGTCACATGGCACCCTTAGTCACTGTCTTGTCTTTGGGCAGGACTGTTAAGGTTTGCATTGTGAAGGTATGGGCAAATGTAGCCCCTAAGTGAATGTTATGAACACAAATAAGTCTAAGTATAAAAACTTGGTTTTGACGGTTACTAATAAGGATATGTTTTTACATGCATCTTTAATTTGTTTTTGTTCCTTTCTTGTATTAGATCAGCACGTTCTGATGAGCTAGCAAATTTCTTATCCATTTTTCTTCAAACTCCATTCTTCAGCTAACTGAATGAAATAGACCAAAGTTTTGCCTCAAAGTTTTGATTGAAGTCTATAAATCCTCTCTTGCACAGCAACTAGAAAATGAAATCCAGCAGAATGAGGCCAGACTTCGCGACGTGGTTGAGAAGGGTGACCAGCTGTTGAGCCTGGATCCGCAGAGCCCTGCTGTAGGGAACGAAGTGAGCATGCTGCAAACTGGCTGGGAGGACCTCTACCGTCAGGCTGGGACCAGGAGAAGACGTCTCAACAAAGCTAAGATACTCCAGGTGAGTGTAGAGGAGATTTGAACCAGTGTCACTGGCTTGATTCTGGCTTGTGCGAAGGACTGTGAGGGAAAAGCCTCAAGCCATGGGTCACTAAGGTTGAGTCATGGCTCACTTGACAATGATGACATTGTGGGTGTGGTCTTCTATGCTGAGTAGACTCATTGAAGGTGGCTGTTTTATGGCCGGTTGGTTAGATTATTAATATCAGACTGCTTATTGGTTCCAGAGATGGTAGCTTGCTTGTAGGATGGTGGTTTTGTCTGGCTGGTGGGTAGCAAGGCTATTTAGTTAGCTGGTCTGCTAGCTTATCAGCTGGCTTGCTAGTTAGCTGGTTACTGGGCTTGTTTTCTGGATGATTACCTGACTGGCTGATGAGCTGGTTACTGGCACGTTTTGCTGTCTGATTAATTTGGCTGACAAGTTTCGTGGGTACTGGCTGATATTTTGGCTGATGAGCTAGTTATTTGCTGGTTTTCTGGCTGACTAATTAGGTAATTACTGGCTGATTTTCTGGCTTATTAACTGTTTAGCTGGCTGACTAGTTTTGATAGCTAGTTACTGGCTGATAAATTGGCTGACTCATAAACTTGTTCGCGAGCCCCATTTCTAGTGGTTAGTACTTAGAGGCTGCTTCCCTCCCCTCCAAGCTAGCTCTTAGTCACTGTTTGATTTCAGCTTTTCTGCTGTGGTCTTTTCTGACATGTGGACATGTTAATGTCATGATCAAGTAGTATATATGAATATCCAAAAAGTGAGCAGATTTATTTTACCATAAGCAGATTTTCATTAACTGTTTTGTTCTGGTAATGTCATTTTTTGAATTGTTGACCATTCAGTCAGTGCATTTTACTGGTTTGCCCTTTATTTCTACCCTCGTCGGTTCTTGTCTATTTATGAGGAAAAAAAATCCTTAATCCCTTCACCTGTGATTGTATTCTCAAACTTCAGGAGCAGTACCATAAAATCCTTCAGGATTACATGGAGTTTCTTGATATGGCGGAGCAGAAGCTGAGCAGGGATGACGTCATGGCCACTGATGCACGCAATCTCAGGGAACAACTAGAAAAACACAAAGTAGGTGTTTGAATATCCGTCGCCCCGCCTTTTGACTGTGTGCCAGTTTTCCTTGTAGTTTAATTGTTGTACACATTAACCCTAACCCTCCTCAATCCTTCACCTGTTGGAGGATTGAGGAGGGTTAGGGTTAAATAGAAGAAGTATCTACTTAATTATTGCCAGTTTTAATGTTCTTTAAATGGAATTTTCAGAAGAAAGCATTTTCAATCGGAGGGCCAGGCAAGCAGAATCTTTTGTTTTTTTCTTTTGCTGCTGAATCATTATGGAAGAAAAGACTTTTTCTTTGTGATCTTGAAAGTGTATCTCTTGGGTAAAAATGACAGATTTAAGAAAATAAATGTAGTTTTTCTGTACAGAATTGTTTCAAACTCTATAATCATTTTTAGTTCATAACACACGATGTGGGTTTGATTTAAAGAAAGCAAAGTCTTTGCTGGAAAAATCTCATTCTGAGCCTTCTTGCTACTGCAGAAAATTGCACCTTACCGAAAAGTTGTGTGAAAAATCTCACTGAAATTGGAAGGTTGAGGACTGTTAGGGTTAAAATGAACACTTTGACCATGATCTTCACACATTTTGTCAGATATATGTGTTGATGAAGTAGTTACCAACTGCAACCCTACTTATCAACAGGAATTCTTCAGCGACCTGGGCACCCACCACCTTACCATCGAGTCCATCGCCCAGAAGGCTGACCCCTCCACCCAGGAGCTCTTTGCCAGCCAGCGGTCACTGCTGGACCAGCGCAGCCACGCCATCCAGGCCAAGGCCACTGTCCGAGGCCAGATGCTGGAGAGACTGGTGACCGACTGGGACCAGCTGGAGAAGAGCCTGGAGGAGTTGAGGAGCTGGCTGGGTCACGTGGAGGCCCAGCTGCCCAGCAGCATTGATGATGCCACGCAGGAGAGCGTACAGAAGGGAATTCACAAATATCAAGTCAGTTGCAAACTTCCTGCTGTCTTCTCACTAGCTTCTACATATCGTTTCACAATTGTCATTTTTCCCATGAGCAAGTCTTAATTGTCGATGGGTCTTTTCTGAGACCCCTCTAACTGATTCAGCATCTTAATCCCTTCAAAATGTCTGTTCTTTTGCGCAGGAGCTTAAATCCATGCGGTGTATAGAATTGATTCCACCTAACAAATTCATTGAGATCACTGGCATGATTTTTAACATCTTATCAATTATTCTGTTATTCTGTTCTCTTGTTTCATGTAATTTTTTTATTTGGCATTATAAATTTGAATATTTATGATACACATTGATTCTTTACATGTTTGACTTGTTTAAAATGATGAATTTGTGATTAAATACATGGCAATTTTAGATTCATACAAGTATTTTGTACATGTTGCTTTTCTTACACCACCTAATATAAAACAGTACTTAATTCCCAATCATTTAAAAGTACCGAGTAGGATTGGATTTCATTGATTTTTTAGGTAGTTCAGTAATAATCTTGTGACCTGGTTATTAAAGTTTCAAAGAATTTAGGTGTCAGTGAGAGTTTTACTGAAAGCTATTATATTCCCCTTCAAATCCAGGCAATGACCAACCTTCTGAGTGACCGTAAGCCCACCCTCCAGCAAGTGCTGAATCGTGGCCAGGCCCTGCTGAAGAACGTTACCTCCTCCAAGCTGGACAACCAACTCCTGGACCTGTCGGAGAAGTGGGCCACTGTGCAGTCCAAGATCAGCCAGGAGCTGGCCCTGTTGAGCGGCCTTCTCCAGGAGTGGAAGGCCTTCAACCAGGAATCAGCCAGCTTCCTGCCCTGGCTGAGGGACGCCAACAAGGAGCTCCTGGAGTGGGGCAAGAAGGATCAGCAGCCGCAGGAAGTGGGAGCCATGGTGGCACGTCTGGAGAAGTTTATGGTGAGTCCTGTAATCACTGACGCTACAGGAATTACTAAAGAGAAAGGTAGTCCAACAGATGCAGTGGAAGGCCACTGTAACAAATATGAGACCACAAAAAGTTTGTTGGCGCTGTGTAGAATAATGGATTGTTGTGTGTTACCACTTAAGAGAGCTCCACCAGGGGCACACCATGTATGTTCACTGGTTTGCACACGTACAGCAAGGTATACTGGTTTATAGCATCTATTCTGAACAGATTTTTTGTTCAGTATTGTTCCTGAAAAAGGTAAATCATTCACAGTATTCCATATTGTTTATAGGCTTTCCGTAAGGACATCGATGGCCACTTGCCACTCAAGGAGTCAGTCTGCAACCACGGCCAGCAGCTGTTGAAAGTCAAGAAGCTCCACACTCAGCCAATCACAGAGAAGCTGCGGCTAATTGACAGCCAATGGAGTGACCTGCAGAATGAGCTGCCCCACGTACAGGAAGAGTTGCATCAAATGCAGGTCTGTGACACTTGAAATTATGGCATAAAGGATTTGGGCGATAATGCTAATAGAGACTTATCTTCTGATTTCACAGACTACCCCCATGGACCGTAGTTTCCTGATTATTTTGATTAGGCTGGACTTGATTGCCAGTTTCAGTAACAAAGGCACCAGAGAGAGCATTACACATGATATTGCTCAAAGACCTCAGGAACAAACCTGATAGGGTGGACCACCTTGGATCTGAGCAATTTTCAGGTCACAGAGGAACAGAAAATTTATCCAGCTGTTAAGATTTATTGTGTTCGGAATTGTGGATGACAAGGAGGCTTGATGTACTTCCACACGCATCAAGAAGATTTGAAAGTCAGTTTTTAGTACTTGCTTATGCTTTCTTGGTTTCAGATGGAGCTCTTGCCATCTAGACAAGCCCTGAATGAGCTGATGTTGTGGATGGATGCCCTGGAACGGATGCTAGACGACCACAAGGAGAAGACTTACTCCAGCTCAAATGAGGTGGATGCCATGATGCAGATATATAGAGTAAGTAGAGATGTCTGTCAGTTGGTCTTTTTACCTTTTCTTATAGCTTTTCATTGTGCTTGTGTCTTTGTGCCGATCTGTTGCTGTAGCCATCCTGTCTGTGGCTTTATTAGTTGTTTGTCTGGCCTTCCTTAACCAATTTCTGTTTTTTACTACTAGTCACAGTTTCTCTATTTAGTGGTTTATTCATTTACCCTCTCTTCTTTCTTTTTTTGTATCCTAATAATTTTTATTGGTTTCTGCATTATTTTATTTTTATTTAACTCTTTGCTGTTGGTTTAACCCTTATCCTGAATAACATTTTCATTTTCAAGGTCTTTACTAAACGTTACTTCTCTTGATTTTCATATTCTTGATAGTGGATAATTAATCAATTAAGCTTTTGGCCTCAACTTAAATTTTTATTAATTCGACCCCATTTATTTACAAGGACCATAACTTATGTGCAAGCATTGAAGTATTTTGGAATGTGCGATAAGAAAGAGGATCAAATTGGTGAACTTCAAGTTTAATTGGATGTGAATGCCTTTACCGCAACAGGGTTACAAGATCGACCTGTCTACAAAGCTGTTGACTGTGGAGTTTGTCAACCAGTCTATGCTCCACATGAGCCAGGACCTGGAGTCCAAACGCGAGGACAAGACAGACTTTGCCGAGCGGCTGGGCGCCATGAACCAACGCTGGGAGACCCTCAACGTTTCTGTGACTGAAGTGGTTAAGCGCCTGGACTCCCTCCAGCAGGACTGGCTGGAGTGGGAGCGGCAGGTCAGGGAGCTGACCACCTGGCTTGACAAACAGGAGGCCAAGCTGAGAAAATGCGAGGGAAAGGTTGGACATGAGACAAGCGTAGAACAAGCCGTCAAGATGTGCCAGGTTAGTGTAAGGCCATTTCCAAGTTACTTGTTTGTGGCTTGAAATGACGATTCCATGTGAAGTGGCTACAGGGCATAGACTCGTGTGTAATTTCAATTCACAATCAAGTAATTGTGACATAGCCTATGGACCGATTGTGCCCATTAAGTCACGTGACCTGTAATTGGCGTCCTTCCAAAGCAAAGTGCGTCATAGGTGTCATTTACCAAAAATAAAGCTGACGGTCGGTATAGTACTCAGACTACTGATGTGCTGAGCACTATACCAAAAATTGGTACTATTTTTGGCAAACAACACTGATGACACACTTTGTTATGGAAGGACGCAATGTTTGTTGATGTTTGATACCCACTGTAGTTCACATGACTTAGCTGGTGCCAATAGACTCTTGCCACTTGTTCAGCCTTATTGATACCATTATGGATGTAGTAATCGTGGCATTTCAATACCATAGACAAGTTTGTGACCATTGATTGTGGCCCTAGCTCATGGTAGTAAACATTATGACACCCTTGTGGAGAACCACTGTTCTGTGGCAGTCACTCAATACAAAACCCAACATAATGCTTTCTGCCATTGAAGGGAGCCATCAGAAGTGTCCCGTAAATGTTTCTTGATGCACTTCATTACAGTGAATTTATATATAACCTGGTTACCTTTTTTCAGTTTCAAAATGTACAAATGCGAAATGGTTTCCAAATAAATAGGCAAATGGTGCGACCGACATTTTGAAACCAAATTAAAGTTTGTAAACGAACCTCCTGGTTGTAAGGTACTCGTGATGACAGCATTGAATACAAGCTGTGTACATTCCAATAGTGTGCACACAAGATTGTACATTGGATTAGTTTATATTGAATCATAGATGATAAGTTAGATACATAAGCTCAAGACAGTGTAAGCTGGCCTGGTGCTTGGCGATTGACCTGGGTAATTTGTCCATGTCCTACGATGTACAATTTCACTGAACAACACCTCCTGTTCCAAAGTATTTATCAGGACACAACGCAAAAGAGCAAACAATTTGAAATAAATTTAAATTAGCTTGAAATAGTAATTCATTAGACACAAAACACATCCAAGAACTTACTTCTGAGTAGAGGCAAAAATTGCTTCTTTTTCAGCAACTTTCATTCAATTATCGGTTTCACCCCTTCCACCCTCAGACGATGGAAGACTCGATCGACTCAAAGCAGTCAGACATCACCAAGATCCAGCAGACGGGCCAGACCTTGGCCCCGCTGGAGACAGTCCTCTGCACCGTGCAAGACCTGGAGCAGTCCAGGGACGGCCTGACCATCCTCCTCAAGGAGGTGCGAGCTCTGCTGATCACTGCACTGGAGCAGTGGCGGATGTACCACGAGTGCCTGCAGGCCGTCTCTGCATCCCTGGGAAAGGCCGAGTACTGCATCAGTCGAGTTGGCATGGCAACGGGGACCCTGGATTCGCTAGAGTTTCAGTTAAACAAGTTTAAGGTGGGGTTTTGTGTTTGATGAGGGAACTGATAGTATGATGACTTGGTGTTTATCACAATGACTGTGGCATAAAATCCCTTGAGTCTCCTGAATGTGGAACAGGTAGAAGATAATGCAGGGTCGGAAGTACTAATCCATATGTCCATGTACAAGGTTATTAAAAATTTTCCCTTTTTCTCACTTTACTTTGTATTTTGTTCCCCCCCCCCCACATGCCTGAAAATACAACACAGGATGTCTATGTATTCCAGGTTTGCATGCTTGATTTATGCTCCCAAAATCCAACCAAATTAAATGGCGCACATTTTGTACTAGTATGCACAGAGGTTTCCTGGTAGAGTGTTCCTGTTATCAAGTATGTTGGTTTGGTTTTTGTGCTGTGCGTATACAGTTGGATATCAACCAGGCACACTGAATTCTGACGTTAATTCTGAGCCTTTTGGTCTGTGTTATTTTCATTTTACTTTGAATGGTTAAAAAAAAAGTTCATTTGACACATAAACCTGAGCACATACTTCAATAGCACCCTGGATTTTTACTTTTTTTAGCGTAGCAGTGTGGTACTTATTTTGAACTTCAGCTTTCTTTCATTAGCGGTAGACTCAGTAGCCCATGAGTGTATTCCCATCTGTTCAAAATCTTGTCAACCAACACTTATGAGAGATTTTTCAGAAATTTCACCAAAATGAGATCAGTTGACACAAAGTCATTTGATATTTGGTAGTTGGCTTTAACAAATTCCTGTTTTGTTTTTTACCTTTGACTTTAATGCAGTGTTCTTTCAGTATATTAGAAGTTCAGTTTTGGTTGACATTGTATTTACAGAACAGTGACTAACATCAACCCTAACCCCCAAGGTGCAGTGTTGATTGCATAAAACCTTGAATTTTGCCATTATTTTGTCAATAATGTAAATTTCCTTTTCCTGATTCCTCCATTTACATTTCAGGACTTACAAGCAGAGTTCACAGGTCATAGAACACAACTGACTAACCTATGCAGATTAGCTGACCAATTAGGACTGGTATGCAAGTCATCCGTGTGTGAATCTCTTGACAGAACCGTCAATGACCTAACCACGAGGTACAGCATTCTCTATCATCTTTAGACCTTTATCATGGGGTAACCATCTTGCTTGTCAACCATTCAAACCGATGTTACCAAACTGAGGCTGGACGGGAGAATAATGTGCACCCTTTATCACTATGTGAAGTTGTATTACTATTGCCAATGGGTCTACAGGAAACAAGACAAAAATGGCAGCATCATGATAAAGGTCTACATATGTCTCCCTGAAAGATCTTAAGAGTTGTTACTGAGGTTTGTATGGCATTCTTCACCAACACAAATACTTGGGTTGCCATCCTAATGGAAATACTTGAACTCTAACCCCTAGGCCTTTTTACTAGGAACCATCCCCAATCCTCCAAAATCCTCCGATTTTCAACCTGAAAAAATTGTATTCAGCCTCAATCCTCCAAAATCCTCCAAAATTTCTTGAAAATGTTTTTTGGAGGTGTGCCTACTGCCTCAATCCTTCAAAATCCTCTGACAATTCCTGTGATTATGTTGAGGCAGTGTGAATGGTATTCTTGAGCTGTGCAGTTGATTCAAAAGAAATATCGGGGCTGAATTTGTGCTTGACAAAGCAAAAACAACACAAGGTCTTATCCATGACCTTCATGGATGGCATCCTTCACAATCAGCCATGCGCTTTTGCTGTTTACCCTCAATCCTCCAAAATCCTCCATAACCACCCGAAGGATTTTGGAGTATTAAGGAAGGTTAGGGTTAATCTGTTAATTGGGGAACATGTTAGTCGCCATTTCTGACACAATTTTCCAAGTATTAAACTTGGCAGTTGCAAGATTGTAACTAAATAGCAGTTGAAGAACATAGTCTGATACAGTGCAACCTTATCATTGGAAATAGACAGTGTTCTGTGGTCAACATTGCAGAAAATGATCCCTGAAATTACAGACAGATTATTTGGCAATTTTCAAACTGTATTTCAGGTGGAACAATGTGGATTACCAGCTGAGGGAGACAGTCACCAGTTTTGAGAAGTCCTGGTCTCTGTGGCACCAGTTTGAAGAAAGGCATGATGGGATTGAGGCATGGCTCATTGAGAAGGAGAATGAGTGCGAGTGTGCGATGGCAGTCCCAGAGGAATCAGACGTGGAGACGGATAGGGAGGCAGATAGGGTGACAGAGAGGGCAAAACAGGTGGAGACTTGCAAGGTTGGTTTCATTTTTAACCCCTGCAGACATTCTTGTCTAAAAACATCTTTAACCCTAACCCTCCTCAATCCTCCAACAGGTGAAGGATTGAGGAGGGTTAGGGCTAATCAGTCAGCAGTAAGCAGTTTGGCAATGGCATATTCACCGTGTCCAAACCAAATCGGGATTTGAAGCCAAATAATGGTGGGCTGGTCCCTACAACTGACCAACAGGGAACTGTGATGTTGTGTTCGAAAATGGGGCAGAAACCTTATTTATAATAGGCTTAATTAGTTTGCATTAGGTATCATTGATGTGATTTGGCTGGATTCCCAATCACGTCAAGCTGGTGCTCCATCAGTGGCTATAAGTGAACCACTCGTTCTTTGCCTGGTACCCAGGATGTACTCTGTGCATAGGTTATCAGAGAAAACGATGATTGCTCACTACTCCAACTTTGATGTAAGTGCAGCATCATCTCACCTTGGGCAATTTGGATTGGTTTTCATGATGTACAAAGCCCACTCCATAACTGTAAAATAGCTGGGAAAAAGTTGGTGGTTAAAAAAAATAGTGTTTATGTTTTAGAAGTTATGTGTAAAATTATTGAAAGTGAATGGTTATGTTGGCAGTCAATCAAAAATATACATTTTATGTTGTCTTCTCACAGAAACTTCTTGACGAGCTGAAATCCTACCACGAAATTGATGCCTTACGTAACCTAGTGGACCAACTGACCAGGCACATGGACGGCACCACAGCCAACAACATTGCCTCCAGGAGACGGGTGCTATCCTTGGTAAGATTAATGTTCCTCCAATTCATATTTTATTGACAAAAACTGTTAGTTATGAACAATTGTGAAATACTCATAAAAGAGCACACACTCTTTGCATCTCTGCTAAGTGCTGGATGCATTTGTTTAATTCCAGAAGATAATCAACTTTCATCCTCATTCTGGATATAGATCAGGCTGATCTATGCCCAGAATCATATTTTTCCCTTTAGTTGGCAAGATTAAGCTTTGTTCAAAAGTTATAGCTATGGCTAAAAATAACGCAGGCTTTTTGAAAGCCACTTGCTAGCAGCTGCAGTTACTTCCCTTAGATATGTGCTACACCGAGCCAAGGACACGTCTTAAGTGTGTTGCTCTTATGTAGAACCGCAGAAGGCCACACCTCATTGTCTGGATGACTTCTGGCACAGGGTCAGCTAAACCTGTGTTACATGCAAGTGGGACCTGCATTGCTCATGTAGGTTTCCTTGGGAACTTGGCTGATCAGACCATTGGCGAGGTCAAGTTTTCTTGAAACACAGCAGCTTGAATTCGATTTCAGAGGCTGCAAAGCATTTCATGTGCTGCCTTGTATGAGGTCAGGTGTCAAGCCTGTTCTCTTCTGTTCTCCAGAAACAAGACAACCTGTGCAAGGCCTTGAAGCGGTTCATCAAGACCCAGGAGGCAGACCTCAAGATGCAGCGTCAGCTAAGAGACAAGATACAGAAGCTCCTCTCCTGGCTGGAAGACGCCACTGACGTCATCAACATGGATGACCCCAACCGATCATCAGATGAGACCTCCATCAGGGAACGCATGGCTCAACTCAAGGTCAGATCCACAGGCAACACCCCATGAAACCAGTCAAATGATACTCAAAGAAAACAGCCGTCAGTGTCACTTAAATGTTTATCTGTTAATCTATCTTGAACTCCTGCAGCAAAAGTTATTTGACTTATTGTCCATTGCAGAGACTACCATACATGTTATGGCTAATCAGATCGTGAAAGCTTTTGAAACACTTGCTGAAATACTTTTAAAATACATCATTTTTTCACCTACATGGAGAACTTTTAACTTGTTGCTTTCCAAAATATTACCTGCATCAAGAGGATGTATATGTTTATGTTTGCTACGAAGGGGAAAATTTGTAAATGTTCGTTAGCTAAATGCATCATATTGTTCATTGAGGTGAAGTTGCGTGGTTAGTCTGTCCACTTTGATTAGTTAAGCGTCCTTGTTGTATATGGAAAGCGTATGTGAATTATCCATTCCTTGTCTTTGCAGGCTGTTATGGTGGAGTTCAGTGGGCGCCAGTCAGAGTTGAACTCCCTGAATGAGATGGGTTACCGGCTGAGTCTGAACCGCACCAACGCCGCCGACCTCTCCTCGGTCAACAACAAGTGGAACGCCTCCTTTGGCCGTGTCTGTGAGAAGTACCGTCGCCTGCAGGGCGTGCTGTTGCAGCAGCAGAGCTTTGCCCAGAAGTGTACCGCTTGGAGTAACTTCATCGAGGAGACAGAGAAGAACCTGGCGGTGGTCATAGCTGGTAGCTACTTGGAGCTTCTAGATCAACAAAAAATATATGAGGTTGGAGCTTTAGCCTTTCCAAGTGTCCTCTTTTCTCATCCGTTGGTTATTTGTTTATTACATGTTTCGCTAATTAGGCCCTCATCAGTTTCAAAGACATACATACAAGGCTGAAATATGATGCTGATACAACTATGTGAATGGTGCCCATGTGTGGCTTCTGTTTTGGAGACTAATTAAGATCATGCCTGAAATTGGCTTCCAGAGCTATGGTGTGGTCCATGCTCTGTGTGTCTCAGCATATTTCCAGTGGATTGGAGACCTAGCTCTAGACAACAGATATGGATGCAGCCTTAGCCAGCATCCAAGCTCACAGTAATTCTGAAAGTACTAAACTAATACTAAAATTAGGAAGACCTCCCAGAGAGAAGACTTCTTGTTGGAGCTCTAAAAATGAAGTGAAAGTATGAACATAGTTTCTTGCTTTTGTACTCAGTTTTTTAATCATGGATTGTAACCCAAGAGAGATAAACAAAGAAAAGAAATATTTTGGTGTTTCATTCACAACTAGTGCACACCAGGGAATTTGTACAGAGACAGAAGGTATTTGGTACACAATAGTTTTGGGCATTTCACATGGAAACATCTTGTGGATACCTAGCACCTGTTTGTTTCTTTACCCAAGGGACATGTTTTTGCTAGAAAACAAAACAACCTCACTTTGTCATATTAAGAGCTAATGTTGACAGCATAAATTGATATGGTTTCTATTGTATTATTCGCTTTCTTTAGGTATTTGAGTCAGACATCTTCAACCGCCAGCAAATCTTGTTTTCCATCATTAATGACGGTCAGCGCATGGTGCAAGACGGCGACCTGGACGACCCCGAGGAGTTCCAGCTCCAGCTGGACCAGCTCAGCGAACAGTGGCAGAGTGTCATCAGGCGGACAGCGGCCAAGAAGGACGACATCGACAAGAACATCAGGTCAGTTTCACAGTGTCATTTGGCACTTACTGCGTGCCTACGTCACCTCTTTTTCTGTTATTAACAGAGTCTGAAGCACCATTTCTGGTCTTTGCACCCATGCTCATGCCCCCCGCTGCTTTAGTTTTGTGCTTATTCAATTGAAATTTGTACTATACTCTACCCTGTCTCCATGGGTAAACGAGGCCTGATTTCCCGTAGCTGCTTGTCATAGAAGTTTGCTAAGCTCTAAAAACGTTTAATGAGCTAAAAGAGGTTACAGGTTTACAATTCTACAATGTATATTGCCAGTAACTGGTTCTCAGTTGATTTTTGGCTTAGCACATAATTTTGCCATTCTTCCTAGTGGCTCCCTGGGCCACACATAGAACAGCATCTACAGTTTGTATTGCACTCTCTAAGAGTTCATAATTTTCCACTGTTTTGACTGTTTCATGTAACCTCAGGGATGACCTTTTCAGTTTCCAGACATACATCCAGACATCAAATTTAATTTTGCCTTGTGCAGTGAAATTGCTTTCTTTGCCAAAAGAAAATCAGTTAGGTATCTTCTCACAGTTTGTTGTTTGATTATTGGAAACAGTCGCCATTCTGTGTTGGATGGGAAAGGGAACTTTTAACAAATCACTAGAGTGAATGTCTTGGTACAGGGTCGCTTTATGAAATCTTTAATATGCCAGAGATTCTGTGAAGTCAGAAACTGCTCACTTATATTCTCCTTCTCTAATGTTCTGTGCAGAGCGTGGAACGCTTACTACCAGATGCTGAGCAAGATGCAGGAGTGGCTAGAGGAGATTGAAGAGGAGGTCAAAGCTTACGACATCACCACTGCTCCCTTGCAGAGAATACGAAGCCTTGCCGATCAGGCAAAGGGGACTCAGAGGTCGGTCGAGCTCCAGGAAACCCTCTACCTCTCCCTTAATGATGCTGGCAAGAGCCTCCTCAGGAACTCAGACAGTCAGTCAGCCGAGAAACTCAAATTGGAATTGACGGATGTCCAGAACAGCTGGCACCAGGTGACCACGGGCCTGCGGAAGAACATGCAGCATCTGGAAGAGGTCATTGGGGAGTGGGAGGGCAGCGACGCACTGATGGACGAGCTGCACGACTGGCTACGCAGCAACAGGAAGGTGCTAAGTCAGCCCCTGCCCCACCAGTACGACGAGCTGCAGCGGGGGCTGGATAGATGCAAAGAGATTGAGAACTCATTTGATGCCACCGGGAGCCGGCTGGAGAAGCTGAGACATCTGGAGGGCCGCTTGCAACCCACAGTCAGTCCAGACGACATGGCCGTCCTGAGCGAGCGCATTGCGCTCCTGAGCAAGCAGTGGGAGGAGGTGCACCACCAGACGTGCCAGCGGCGACAGCAAATCACGGACAGGCTTAATGAGTGGGCTACCTTTACTGAGAGATATAAGGAGTTTTGTGATTGGCTGACACAGATGGAGGTGAAGATTGTACAGAATGGAGAGCACAGCATTGAGGATCTCTTGGCAAAGTTGACAGAGGTGAGTTCATTCTACTTTCTGTTTTTATCTGTCAACGTTTATATTTAGAAATCTGAATATTCATGTAATTATTTCTGATTGGATAAGAATTAGCAACAAGTAAATTTTACGTGAAAAGAATTCTCCACATAAAATCTTTATTTCTGAACTTAGAAGAAACTGTAAATTTGTCTTATGAATTTACAGTGTACACAAAAAACTTGCTTAAAAGTGGTTCTCAACCAGCAAAGGTTAGGTATTGAGGCGTAACTAAATAGAAAATTTTTCAGTTAATATTTGGAATTGCATAAGCGCAAGTGCTGTGGTGGAGATAAATGTTGGATCTAAAGACATTGTCCAACTATGTACAGAAACAAGTCTTCATAGCATCCCTTGTCCTTTCTTTGCTGTTATGTTCATGTATGCTACTTGTAGGCAGTCCTTTGACCTCAACTTGACAGGTCATGCCAGATCTTTCCCACCATATTCCTATCATACTGTGGCACAGCAAGCCGGTCATCCAATCATGAGCATTCTTTTGGTTCCAGTTCACTGCTTCTATTCAACTGCCTGAGTTGGTTTCCTTTTCAGTAGAGCTGTGATAAACAGTTGAAGCTTCCTTAGCCAAGTCCAAACAAACTGACAAAAAAAAAATCTGTTGTGTTGGTCAAGCCCTGAGGCTAATGGGTAATCATATGCAATACAGAAGAAAAGAAAGTACCCTACGTGTGTTCAATTTGAAATTTCTTTGCACTGAAAACCACTTCTTTTCTCACTTTCTCTGATGCACAAGTTCTGGAATATTTTGTATGAAATTCCGATCCGGTCCATTTGTGCCCGAAAAAGTGGTCTTTCTCCTGTCTAGAGTAAGAGCGTATTTGCTCAGGTAGTGTTGGTGCTGAAAGAGCTCAGAAGTGGTCTTTCCTGTACTACATGTACATGTACACGGACACAGAAACATGTCAATGCTGCAACAACTATGTAAGTTACACTCTCATAACTATTGTCTTTTGATCATTGCAAATCTTGTGCAATTGTAACTTCTCCTGTTCACATTTGTACTGACTGTAATGTTGCTTTATAATTTCCATCAAACAGGTCTAGGTGGTTTTTGTTTCTTTTTATGGGTATCAATCATAAATCTCAAGAGCCACTCAAGGTGCAGGCTAGTATAAAAAAACAAGACAATGGAAAGCAGAAATCACATGGATAGGCTGTTCTTAGTCACAGAATGATATTTAAAGGGACTTGTGAAAGATTTGAGTCTAATAGTCTGCAAGCCTTCCGTCTTCAAGTCCTTGTCTGTGTTTTATGGAGGAGGATTTGAGTAGCAAGGCCCAACAAAGTGATTTTAAAGGTTATGTGCAATTCCATAGGTTGTGCATCTTTTTCATTTTTCAAATGCCAGTTGGGTGGATTTTGAATTAACTTACAGAAACTGATATTATAAATTTGTCTGTAAACTGTATATAATTTATTGTTACCTTCAACTTGAATTCAAACATTTCAAAGTTCAAATCAAAGATTAAACATCTTTCCTTTTGCTATTTCCTTAAAATTGATTGGAAAGTAAAAATTGCCAAATATATTTATTCAGATCTAATTTATCTAATAAAAAAGTCGATATGAGAGCAGTGAATTATGACAAAATCTCAAAAGAAGGTCAACTCTCTCCAGTTCTTTTGGTGATATAGGAGCAAATTCCATAAAAGTCATAGCAAGTGGATGTTGTTTGGATATAGTCCCCCTTGGCCCATGGCATCTTGAATGGGAGATTAAATTTCCTGTACTTACATGTACGTGTATATTTCCAGCACAAATGCTATGCTTGTGTGGATGTAAATTACACAGAGACTCAAAACCAGCTCAGTGTGCATGTTGTATTCGCTTAGGAGTGGCTGCCATTTGACTTACTTCAAGGCAGCAAAAAAAAACTCCTTATCATTTTTTTCTAAAATGGAAAATATGTTAACCTGTGTACTTGATGTCTTTGCTGTGGGATTACATTCCTGTGGGTAAGTTGTGGTATTCATTGATTAAATTGAGCGTGCATAATGGAGCAAGGAACATGGGTGCAGCATTGGGTTGTTGCATGTACATTTTATTAGGGTGCAAGGATAGAATACACATTTACATGTACATGCAGTGGCTATGCACAGAAGGTGAGAGTGTTCACCCTTTTTGTACTGCTCCGTTGATGGCCAACAGTTGAGTGTCAAGGTGTGTTTTTTTAATCCTGAAATAAGATTTTTGTCACATTCCCAGGGTTATGGTCCAAATGAAAGATTGATGGATATTTCTCTGACAGGGTTGACCAGTTTGCAGCTATATATGGAAAAAGCTTTGAAAAGCATGATATAAACAGACAACAAAATTAAAAAGAGAAATATTGAATATTTTGCGTAATGCAAATGAAACCGTTAATCTGTTTTCAAGTCACATAACTAGACATCTGGAATCTGATAGTGAAAATGCAGTATATCCTTCATGTCAGCTATTTCGAAGTAACCATGGAGGGAAAAAACAGCTGAAGTATTTGACGATCGTGGACATTTCAGTGGCAAAAATACTTTTCTGATACTCAATAATATCAATAAGTCCTACAATGCTAATTGGTTTGTGTTGGTCCCTAATGATTTCAACACATCCACATCTTTACATATATAGACATATGTCCTATAGATCTGTCATTCTGACGCCGTTCCACTTCATGGGCACCGCAGCAACAAGCCTTCATGAACTATTCATATTACCTGCATAAATGCACTTTCTCACCCAAAGTGACCTGATTTACTTGTTCGTGTACATGCAGCTTGTACATGCACATTTTCGTTAGTTACTTTGGGACGTAGTTGATTTAGTGTGTTGTATGATTTGGGTCACAGATACAACATTGTTATCTCATAGAGTTGTGGTCGGCCTGTATCTTGACTATGTTGTCCAATGGAAATTTGTGGGCGCAAGGCAGAATTGAAAGCCAGTCAATGAGGTGTGTAGTGGTACCTTATCACCAGATAAACTCAGTTCCATCCGCAGAGGATTGCAAGGACTCTAAAACATTTGAAGCCGATATGAATGCTGTGTCCAATTTGTGCTGCTTTGTTGGAGTGATTTTCAAGCTTTAACCTTGTAATTGTACAAGTAAGCCCATCAGCATCACACTACTTATATCTATGGAGTTGGTTAATCTTTGAGATGATTTGCTTCTGAAATAGTAAGCAGAATGAGAATTTATAAGTTGTAGATTTTTTTCACATATGTCAAGTCTTTTCGTATGTTAATGTGCCAGTGAAAAGTAGTGTGGAACATATGCATATATTCAACTAATTACAGAGATGTATGGTATTTCTGCATTGATTGTCCTGCGTTTAAGCCTCCGGTACCAGTAGTACTGAGGGAAGTTTGAACGATTCATTTGCCATTTTGGACAATTTTGTCCTGGGCGCTTCTTGAAATTGTTGGCGTATCAGAATGTCATTGCCCACTTCTGCAACAGTTTCAACAGGACTGATGCCAGAATACAAGCAGCTACAATGTATGAAGTCGCTGATGCATAAACACATCACTAGTCCAAGTGCCATCAAGTTGGTTCAGTTTTGTGGCAATTATCAGCTGATACGTAGATTACTTATAATTTGCTAAGCAGTATTGTCTGCTGGATGCTCATTGAAACTCTTGCATGAGAAACAAACCTTGAAAAGCTTGCATAGTATCACTCTAAAAACAACTCTTTAAAACTTATGGTCACCATCATGCTCCACTTCGACTGTTGGCAGGCCCCTGCTGATCCCAGAGTCATTTGTGACAGGTGTAGGTGTGTTTGACATGGTCACAGAGGCCTGCTTTCACATCAGAAATTCTGTCTTCGTAGCTGAGGACACCATGGTCTGATCATCATCATGATGGCAGCCGGGCATTCATCACGAATGACCGGCTGCCATCACGATGATGATGATGATGGTCCACAGTAGTAATACCATTTACTTTTCCAGGTACACCCAGATCGTGCATTATGGAGGTCATGTGCTTGAAGTAGCTTTTACTTTTTAGAAGCAATTTGGGGATTATGCATCCAAACAAAACCTGAGTAGTTGGTGTAAGTATTTGGTCCTTCAGTAAACACATGTAGATGCATGTATGTGTCAGAGAACTAGACAGGGAGTTCTGAGAGGAGTCTCAGGTACAAGTACATGTATTTGGTTTTTCTCTGCATCAGTAGTAGGCAGGCCTATGTGTTCACACTGTGGTGTCATTTATGTAGAGGGTAGTGTATGAGGCCAGTGTGTGCTGGTATCTGGCCGGCCTCTGTGTTGAGGTGACAGATTTCTTTTGTTAAAGAAATTCGGGACCAAGTTGTGGGGACTGTATTCATTTGAATATCAAATTTGTCTTAGTAACTATTTAGTTCAGCATATGTAGGCCCCAGTGCCAGTATGGGTAATCACATTAAGATAAAAAATGCATAGTTAATATGTTGTGTGTTATGTATGATACAGGTTGACCTTGGTAGCTTGTGGAAAATCGCTGATGTCCAGAGATAGCTGATTAGACTGGATAATATGATTATTTATACCTTCTGACGCCAAAGAGTATCAAAATAAGTCAACAGTGATGGACACCTGTTTTGTTCCAACAGCAATGTGCAGTTGTTTTGTTCCACAGCGCTTTTTTCTATCAACAGTTTTTAAGCAAACGGGATCCGTATTGAAGCACTGAGCATAGTCTTCAAACTTGTCGGTATTCATGGTTTAAACAACAAACAGACAAAGGTACTAAGCATTGATGGAGTGCATACAAGCACTTAGTTGTTTCTATTTCCTTGTTACAGTAGTTGACAAGTATAATGGTTGACAGACTAGACCCTGCAACTGGAATGACTCATAAATATTCTGAATGTGAGGAAGAACAAGCAAGTCTAGCCACTGTTAACGTCATCCTCCTGTCTTGATCCTCAGGCCTACCAGGAGGAGATAGAGTCGGCCAAGTCCAGCAAGGAGCAGCTGCAGGAACTAGGCCAGCGACTGATCACCGCCAGCAATGAGGCCAGAGCCAGTGACATCGAGTACAAGCTAGCCAAGCTAGCTGAGCGCTGGAACCACCTCATGGAACTTGTCGGAGCACGGTGAGTACACAAGATATTTTTCCTCACAAAAAGAACCAGTTTTTGCAGCTTTTCTGAGCGCAGTGCATATACAAGAGTTTCCTTTTCCACAGAAATCCTTGGACTAGTTTTGCTGCTCTAATCGGGGTAAACAGAGAATGAAATCGAACTTTCTGTTGCTGAACCTTTACCTCATATTTTTCCCCTCAAAAAATTAATTAACTAATTTTGTAGCAATGCTTAGTGTGAAAACAGAATGAACATTAGCAGTACATGTTCATCGTCTGAAGCTACAAATTTTACCCGATTGATATGTCCAACCATTTAGCTATATTTGTACTTTTGAAATCAATTTTTAAACCTGTAGTAAGTCCTAACTCCTCATTCTTACAGTCCCTTGGACAGTTTGTAATTACATGGATGAGCTGAATGCCATCAATGCACGTTTTGGTGTTTGGCTATGAGACACCAATGCAGCTAACCAGTGATGATGTTGGAATAAAATAAGATTAAGAAATTAACAAACACCACTGCAGACAGTGCGTGGAGGGTAGCGACCTGGAATATGCAGATCTGAAAAGTTAGAATGATCTGACCTTCAGTCCCGAGCATGAAGAATCTGCCTGAAAAGCAGGCACAAAGTCAGACAACGAATTGCAAATTGAAATGTGGGATATTGCCAAGGAATCGATGTGCACCTGTGTCTTCAGTGCAAGTTGAAATCGGTAACTATGAGACATGTTTGAACAACTGTCTGGATATGTTTCTTCAGCCCAGCAGACAGCTATTGATTTTTACCTTCTGACAGAAAGCTAGTGAAAAATTGAATTAACACTGGCGGGTTGGACAGCGTTTATGTGAAACGTGACTTGTTTAACATTTTAGGTATGGTGTGCTCAAAGGTGCAAAGGATCGGTCTTTGAGAGAGGGAAATTTTATTTCAAATTAATGTGATAACATTGGGAAAATTACATCACAATATGTACACAACCTCATAGAAATGGTTTCCTAAAACCATTTCACTGTACCACAAATGATCAATATTGCAGTGACCTCATGAAAGAAACTTGATTGGAAAAAAGAACTCTGCATTACCCCAAAAAGTTACCATATAAAATATGTAAGGTTACATGGTGGTCCTGTGAAATGGTTTTATATAGCCTATACATTGTTATTACAAATAAACTGAATGAAAACATCTGAAATTGATAGTATTGGCATGTTATATTGTCAGCTTTACTCGTGTTACTTGCTTAGTGCAGGTTGTTTACTTCTAGTCTAGTTTGTAATTGAATATTTTGTACTCCTATAAGGGCTAGGTCGTGCCTATAAGGGCTAGGTCATGCCTATGAGACCAAATACTAATGCCTAGCAGACATAACTGCAGTCCCCCCCCACCATGCAGGGTATTTTGTATCTGAAACGCACCTGTTGGTTATTGAATTTCTAACCCTAACTTTACAGCAGCTCGGTAGTTATCGTATTGACCATCTGGTCATTGAATTTTTGCCTCAATTTCACATTAGATTGGCGACATTTGTATTTGCAATTATTTTCAGCTCAATCGACTGCCACAGCACAATCAGACTGACTAGAAATCAGATAACATTTAGGCTCTAATTCTCAGCATGGACTTTGCTGCAGAGGATGTCATGTCAGTCAAATTCATTTCATTTTTTTCCTGAAGTGTAATTTTTCACTCCTCATTTCTTTCACCCCCCCTCCGTTTAATTGCTTACCTCATGCCATAAGCCATTTTCTTTCCAAGGTCTTAACAGAGTTTATACTATTGAACATCTGCATTTTGAGTTATGTCTGTAAATAAGAACAAGAACTGGAATTTTTAGAGCCATCTGAAATAAGGTCTGGTTTCCAGTGGAAAATTGTCTAATCAATTATAAAGGTTCCACCCGAGGTCTTTTCAACTTCTGAGACAGTCATTCCCCTCCCCCTCGTACTTGTACTTCCAAAGGCAGGAAATGTACAATCCATTCAAGGTTGTTTGATTTAAAGCAATGGATTTAAATCGCCTAAAAATCAAACATGATCATTTTTTAAAAAGCCCATGTTAAAGAAACCTTTTGGTTTGGGTTTATGAAAGTTAGAAATGGCTGGAGTTACAACTGGTGCCTTTACAACATTTATACACAACCAGAATTGGGTCATTTTGTGTATGTACACCACTCTTCATTTTGTGCGACTACATGTACAGTACATATACATGTACATGTACATGTATGTACTTGCATTTGATATGCCCCAACATCTACCCAACTAATTGGTGAAGGTCTTATACAATTCACAACAAACAGTTTAGCTTCATGTAATGCTGTTCTCAGAATCATCTCTGCGTGTCTTACATGTAAGACAATTTTGCCAGTCATCACATGGTGTTTCATGTCTTGAACTTCAGGATCAAAAGCCTTCTTGACAACTCATACAAAGATCAATTTTAAAAAATTGAATTGAGATAAAAAAAATTGATTTAGATTTTTAAAAAATCAAATTTTTACTTTTTTTCTTAAATCATGATTTTTTACGAGCCTGAATCCATTCTACATGCACAAGATCAAAGACCTCGTGGACAAGGAAGGAATGGAGTTTAGTATACGTGTCTGTCTTAAGATCTTAAGTTGCTGTGGATTGGCTGTTGTCAGTGTTAGTATCTCCATGGTTACAGACATGTCAGCAAGCTCCAGTCTGATAAATAGCCTAGGAGTTGACCCTACACACCCGGGTGTAGGGTCAACACATCAGGTGTTAATCTGTGAGATCCCACTGTGCAGGGTACAAACCAAGCTGATGGTTTGGGTGTGAGGCCCGTGAAATCTAACATCATGTTGATGGAACTTGTACCGTGCCAACAATAGTGTTCAGACTTTGGAAGGGTTCCATATCCAAATGCCATGATTCTTAAAAAAATATGAGCTGAAACAACTTTTTCCCTAGACAATGTCAATTTAGTGATTGGACTTATCTTCAATGAAAATGGGCCAATATGGTGAGGTAGAATTTCTCATGTTTGGTGTTGGTGAGTACCTGTACATGCCAATTAGATATGAAACTCTTTCTCCTGTCATTGCAAACTGTTGCTGATCTGACTAAGAAACAACACCTTATTTATAATCCTCAACCATTTCAAATTCTGACTTGTGTGTGATAATCAAAGATATTGTAATGTGGCAAGGATGCTTCATGAGAATAATTGATAACAGTGAATATGATGTTGACAAATTAAGCTCCAAAAAAATAATAATATTGTTGACTTTTTCTTGAGATTTTTAAAAACTCCCAAAGCACCCTAAACAATATGTGTTTAACTCCATGGACAGAGTTATCCCTGTGGATTGACATGATCCACCCACAAGACTCTCCTTCTGACCATAGAGCTGACCCAGCACTGACCTGGGAACCCACAGATATATTCCCTGACCTCATTTGTGCATGCAAATACCAACCAACCAGCAACCAGGCCATCACCTGTTCCTAGTATCACCATGGTATCACTGCCCTGTGAAGGTGTGGCACATTTGTGTTTGACCTTCAAGTGTATCTTTGCTTGTCAAGCTACAGAATTTCCCCTGGGACTTGATAGGGCTATTGGTATCCTAGCAATGAGAGAGTGGCACAGCGTGGGAGGGGGCAGCTTGGCCCAAGGACCCTCCCTGGCACTGGCGTGGGCATAGGCAAAAGGTATCACACTGTGGCATTTGGTTGGCATTCAAGAGAAGAAATGGCTTCCCTGCAGTCAGATGAACTGGCAGGGAAGAGTTGCGGGATGGGTATTTGTGTTCTCGGGACAATTTCCAAAGATGTTTGGTCCGTGCTTTCAACTTTGTATGGCACTGGCAGGTGACTGAACTGGAATGATAAGCTGTGATTGCTGAGGGCGTCAAATTGTACAGCATGCAACCTGTGCATGAATACTGAAACACCATGGAGGAATACACCTGTTCAGACAACTTGAATGGATCTTTGTTACTGCATCCCTGTGGAATGCATTGATTGAAGGCTCTCCAGTGGCGCATTCCTGCTTGAGGATTGCTGTAAAGTTATGCACAGTACTATCACTTGCTAAATGGAATTCCTTTTCTTGCTTGGGGAGTCCAGATGATGGAAAGGATTTTGTGGTGATGAATGGTGCTTCAGGCTCAGGACCCCAGGACATGTATTTCATTCATTTACAAACCAGGAAGCAGTCATTGTTGTTGACCAACTCTGATTTTGTGTTGGTAGAGCTAGTCAAAAATAGGCTGTCCCTGTGTCTGTCTGTGGGAGTACAGCATAGCTAATTAGGTATCAGTGCATTGATTTTTCTGTTCCTGCTTTCTTGTCTGAACCAACATTTGACAGTCGTGGGGTTATCCCACATTTACATCAATCTTATTGATCTGGATAAAGGAGGTGATTCTTTCTAGGGGGCCCCTACTGTATGGATGATTATGTAACACTGTTTGTACTCCCTTGTCAGGAACCAGGAGCTAATAAAGAATAAGTTGTGTTGCTTGGAATGTGAGTGTTGTATGACCAGCTCGTAGGGAGGGGATCAGCTACTGTAAAACAGAAGTACTGGTTAACACAATTGTGTTTTGATCTGCACATTGCTAGACAATGGAGGAAGGCTGCCACATTTTTGGTCTTAGGAATGTATGACCTTCATCCATCGATTTCTGGTTGGAGGTAGAAAGTTTCCGTGAATTTTATCTGGATACGGATGGCAAAGCTTCTCAGACAGAAAAGTTCACCTCCTCATAGCAGTAAAAACTGAAATGATGACATACCTTTTGCAGTTGTGTGTGGCATCTGTTGCCTCATTACATTTGAAGACCCGTGTCAACCATTTTGTGTGCGGCTGATGACTTGTGATCATGAGCTCCTCAAACTCTTGCTGCTATCTGTGGAAGTACATAAGATTTTAGACTCTTCCTAACCTTATCTGACCTGTCTGATGGAAGAATTTCTGAGTTGCTTTTTCCAAGAAGGTGATGTCTTGACCATGTCGGCAGCAGTTCTGATCAACTCTGTCATTTTGCCAAGGTAGTACTCAGTTTATCTCAGGATTTTTTATTTTTTTTTTATGTAAACAGGGCTTTCATCATTTTAGCATTTAGTAAAAAATTTTTAGTGTTACATGGAACTGTGTTTTTTTTGCAAGTGTTCTTGGACTCTGGGTACTTGCTTTCATGTCAGTGCTGTTGTTCCTTTCTGGGTTCGGCTACTTTTTGCGAGAGTGGTGTGGAAACCATGGATAAGCAAAATACAAATTCTCAGACAAATTGTATTAAACCTTCCTCGCATCCCTCTGACAAACAGTGAAACACTCAAGTGTATGCTTCCTTGTTTTTTTCTCCAGCTATGTACAATGTATATGGTGAATTCACTATAATGTAAAAATAAAGGAATATACTCATCCTAATTTCACAGTTGCTTTAGCTACTGTAATTTCTCCTTTGCTTTTTACAGTCTTGCCTGATTCTGCGGGGAAGTTCTTGAATGTAATCCTCTCCTTTTTCAAAAATTGATGCCTTGCAGCTCACAAATTCCAAATGAGGAAGGAAGTAATCAAGTTTGTGGGCCAGTAGATGCAGCTTTATCTTAGTATTACCAACCGGAAATGGTTTAGTTAATCAGGAAAATAAGGTCCCTGTGTTGACAGATATCAAAGTGTAACTGACTTGGTTGAACCCAGGAGTTTGGCTTGCCAAAATAAATGCTGCATTTTGTCATTTGGAAAAACCAAAGTATTGTGGAATGGAGGTATGTTTCATTAGTCAGAACTACCGGGATGTTATTTGTGGTGATGACATTGAATTTCTCAAAGAATTCCCCTCAAGGTAAGTTGTATGTTTACTCAATTAGAGGATATTTGGGCCAGTTTGTCGTTAAGTCTTGTTTACAAAGTTTAACTGGAGTAATTATGTTTGACTTAGGTGCCAGCAGGAATGAAGTCGGTTCGTATGAAAGCTGTGCCCATGACATGCATGACAGCTAACTGTACACATCGAATATTTGAATATGAATAATCGGCAGTCGTGGTACCCTGCAGGGTTTAGATGAATAGCCTCTGTTTCGTCGAATGCACAGATAAATTTCATTCAAAGTTTCTTTTAGTTTAAGTACAAAAAGGGTTGAAGAAATTTTGTTTGTTCTTGTCTTGGAATGCTGCCAGGTTAATGTTATGAAAAGCACCTTCATATGATGTAATTAGCGTAGGTCATTTCTGTTTATTTGAAATGTTTCATTAAATGTTTTCAGACGGCAGTCAGACAGCAGTTGATAGTTTTCAAACAAACCATTTCTGCTGTCAACACCAACCGTTCCATTGGAGGGCAGATGGTGTAAACAGATTTGTTCATTGCTGCTTGCTCACCTAGCAAAAATTGCAAGAATTTTAAAAGGTCCTTTTTAAGCAGTCTACAATGTAGTAATCTAATAATATGATTTTTTTAATCCGAAATGATATGACAAATTTTTTTTTGTGGTTTACAGAACACCACCCACCCCCCAATTATTAAGTGTTGGCACTAAAAAAAAAACAGGAATAAGAAAATCATCAGCATGTCTCCAAAGGCATGGCAGGCCCCCCCCCCCAGTTTGCCACTGTATCTTACACCCTTTTGTCACCCATTTTTGAAATTCTCCAAAGTGCATTTTGCATCATTATTATGTATATTGAAAATTTTTTTGAACTGTCAGTCTTGTCAGTCTTTGGTTAGACATGTTTTTCAGAAGAAAATTTAATTTCTTTTGAAGAGCTCGCCCCAAGAATTGGAGGTAGCATTACCGCTAGACCAGAATATGTGGGCCTACAGGTATAGATATTTGGACAAACCACTGGAGCTATAGACAGCTGTCTCATAGGTACAAACACTCATGGAATATACTTGTATATTGTAGCATGTACCGGTACTTGGATTGCTTCAGCTGAAGTGATCGGTGCCATATGCAATGCAAATTATCCCATTATTTCTCAGTTGGAATGCAATGTATTACATGTACATTGCATTCCATTCTGCTTCTTGTCATGCATTCCATCAATTATTGCTAGTGATGGTATAAGTCCAACTATACATGGAGAGTAGTTTTAACTACTTCTAGTTAAATTTGATATACTGTATTTGAACTACATCGTCATGGATGTTATGTTTTATATTTCTTTTCATGACATGTGTTCTGCTTTATCTGTGCCAGATTTTTGTTATTTGACGTCAGTCAACCTTGAATCCTCCCATATCCTGTGCAGGAGGACATAGGCTTATTCTCTGTCCTTGGACTTACTAGTTGTGGATAATCTGTCATTCCCCAAATCCTTCAAAGTTTCCAATGCCTGGCAGATATGCAAAAGTATTTGGGTGACTGAATTTAGTTCAGCCTAATATTTTGTAGTATTTCTCCATTAGATATTGTACAAATACTTAGAATTAATCGCCAACACTTTCATCACAAACTTGACCTACCCTAAACCTACCAAACTCGGCAAACTCAATGTTGCAGCACTTCCAAGCAGCACAAGGGAAAAACAGCTGAGAACTGGAGAATGCAAGCAATACACATGTAGATGTATACTGTTTAGTGTTTGGGTTTGTATCCTGGCTTTGCTATGCAGATGTGCTGAGTGCAATCTGTGCGTAGTAGTTCTGTTATTTTGGTCCCGGGCTTTGACTTGGGTGTTTAATTAGGTGTTGGGTTCTGACTAGGAGGGATTAAGCTGAGGTCAGCTATATCACTGTCCCTGTAGTCACCCATCCAAGTTACTTGTTAAGAGTGCTTCTTTGATGCTATTACCCCTGCCCATAAATAAATAAAAATTGAAAACAATAGGTAATTAAAAATAGAAACATTTTGAAATGTTTGTATTCTTAATTCTGTCTTGTGGGAAACACGAAAGCTAATGTAACTCTTTGAAAATAATCATTAATTAAAATTTTTGTTGCGTCTGGACATAAACAGAGTGAAGAAGCTGCAAGGTACATTGACGGCAGTACAGGAGCTGGATCAAAACATGGGTCATCTCCGCCATTGGCTGACGCAGATGGAGAAGCAGCTAGCTTCCCCCATCATGTATGAGACGTGTGACAAGATCGAGATACAGGCCAAGCTGCAGACCCAACAGGTAAGGTCAGAATGCGAAGGTCATCTGGAGAGTGATCAAATTGTCCAAAGTTCATCACCATATTTGCATAGTGTACCATTCCTGTTGTCCCATCACTGATGCAAACAACCTGTTTTCAAAGATGCCGCTCTCTTTTGTGCCTTCTGCCTGTACTCTTTGTAATATGCGTGTAGCTTGTTCATGATCTTGAAAGTGATGTTAACTGCACGTGAAATTGGACCCAGCTGTCTGAAAGAGAATTTCTTGTATACATTTGCTTGTTTTGTAGTGTAAATCACGAGTTACTCAAAAAACGTGCTTCCAGAAATTAAGTTTGGATCAGTGCATAAAAAAGTTTCACTCATTAGCCTTTCTTTGAAAATTCCCTCTCCTAGGAGATCCAGAAGGACATCGAGCGCCACAGCAAAGGGGTGACCTCCGTTTTGAACCTATGCGAGATGCTACTTCACGACACAGATGCCTGCTCCTCAGATGCTGACAATGAGGCCATACAGACAGCTGCCAGAACCCTGGACCAGCGATGGAGGGCCATCTGCTCCTCCTCCATGGAGAGGAAGATGAAGTGAGCCCTCTGGAGTCTACGTTGAAAAATCTCTTTGGACTTGGATCTAGTGATATTGAAAAAAAGCAAAGTTGGAACAATACAGAATTTACAGATATTGCTGGTATGCGTTGTCATACCAACTAGGGAACATCTGATTACTAAGTGTAGTGAATATGGTCCCGTTTGTTAGAACTCAGACTTAGTACAGTTGGAATTCTTCTTTTGGCAGTTTGATTTTTGCTCGCTTTCCCCAAGCAATTTTGTCAAACTTGCCATGTGCATAAAGTAAAAATTTCTGTACAAATCCTGTGGTATCTCTTCAGATTCTTAAGTGTGATTCTCATGTTTTGATCATGTGATTTCTGCAGGATTGAGGAGACGTGGAGATTGTGGCAGAGGTTCATTGATGATTACACCCGATTTGATGACTGGCTAACGAGCAGTGAGCGAATAGCATCCAACCCGCACACCACCAGTGCACCGTTTGCTGTCATCAAGGAAGAGATCAAGAAATTTGACGTTAGTTTGCTGATTGTGAATCATGAAAAATTATTTGATATAATGAAAATGCAAGGCTTGCATTTTGGCGAATCACCTCACTGTTGGTTAGAGAGGTATGCAACACACATACCACCTCCCCATGAAGCATGGTGCCACTGTTGTGATGACCTCTAATTCTGGTTGCCAACTTAATCTATTTCCAAGAATTCCAAAACTGTCCAATTCCGGGTTGAAATCTCATCCCCCTTATGTGTATATATCCGATTTCCAACAATATGCATGACCTTAATTTCTTTTTCTTTTTTTTCCTAATTCAGATGTTCCAGAGGAAGGTCCAGGAGAACTTCACCCAGCTAGAGATCCTCAACAAGCAGTACCGGCGGCTGGCCCGGGAGGGCCGGGCTGACCGCACCCAGCAACTCAAAACCATGGTGCAGCAGGCCAACGACCGCTGGGACGACCTGGTCCGACGCTGCTCGGCCATCCTGAGGCGGCTGCGATACGCCCAGAGCCAGAAGGAGGAATTTGCCGCCTGCAAGGAGAGCATGCATGTGTGGCTGACGGAAATGGACCTGCAACTCACCAACGTGGAGCACTTCTCAGAGTCTGACATATCGGTCAAGATCAAGCAGATGATGGTGAGATTTGGCAGTTTGAGCTCTTACTTAATTTGGCATTCTGGCTGCGTACCTTCCTGGGGGAGAGTTTTAGAGGATGTAGAATGGTAGGGATTAACCTTGGGGGCTCACCCTCAATGACTTTAATAACCTGCACTGTGTATAAAAAGTCGTGTTTTCACACCGGTAACATTCTTTTGATAGAGACACACTGTGTGGGCTTATAGGTTCACATGCAGATGCACTTGGTGAGACAATGCTGAGCATGTGCAAGTTTCTGTTTTTCTTACATGCAGCCTTAAGATTTGTTTCTCGTGCCCGGTTGGAACAGTCCATTCCAACCTCCGTCTTGTTTGCCAGTGGGGGTATTTTTCTACATATAGAGTGGATGAGATTACAGCACTTTGAGAAAATTTATAAGTTTGATTAGGCAAGAGTCTGGATCTGTATTTTATTACTGATTTTGTTTTTAATGAGCCAATAACCCACAAATGTATTCCTAAATAGGATTAAAGGGATTGCCTTTCAAGAGCTGCATATCCAAAATTTGTCGTAGGCTTTCCAGCACGAAATCGAGCTCAACCGGCCCCGACTGCAGGAGATTGTTGAGCATGCCCAGGTCCTGATGCAGCGCTCCGATCCCCACGACAGCGCCTTCATACAGGAGGAGATGGACGAGCTGCAGCGGTACTCGGTGGAAGTGTTTGACAGGGTCAGAAAGTTCCAGCGCAAGCTTGAAAGACTCTCCATGGCACAGGTTGGTGTAGCATGCAAACATTTACCCTGAATGTGTGACACAAGAATGGGTGTGAAACAACCACATCAAGTGCCATTACAACAGAAAAAATTAAAAAGATAATTTTGGACATCATTTGACAATGCATCAAGTGAACTTTATGAACAAGAGACATACCCTTCTGATATACCGACATCCATTTGGTAAAATCTGTCTGTCGAGCTATGTGTAAATTACATAATCAAATTCTAGCTTTTGAGGTCGAGAAAATTGGCCTTGGTGTTTTCTTTTCAAACCCATTCACAGTTGCGTAGAAACCTTAGCTCAGCCTTCTTCAGCAGTTTGCAGTACAAGCCTTCTTGTGGTGGACAAATCAGGCTTGGCCTGTAAAGTCCAAAGAATCTTTGTTTCTTTTGGGGAAAACTTGGCCTTCAATTTCAGTAGAATTGCATTACTAACAATTTGTTTTTTTCGTAATGCAGTGGAGGAAATGCCCAGATTCACTCTTGAGTTTTGTGCGTTTGTCAAGGATTTGCTTTATGTTGGAATATTCCAAACCTGTAGGTGTTCTGTCATCAAAAGCTTTTTTCTACAAAAATGCTTGAAAGTGCCTGAAACTAATTTTAATCTTGATGCATGTTTTTTTTCCCGCTCAAATTTCAAATCTATTTCTGGGCAAATAAGTTTCTGACATATTCTGATTGATGTATTGATAGTGCGTAGCAATTCCGGCATGCATATATCAAGATTAAAAATAAATTCAACCAAAATATTGTTGAATATCAAGTAATGAGGAAAACCTACTTTCAAAAGTAAATTGTTGCAAGTTGTAATTGTCATGTTTGTGTTTAGAATATATCCTCACTTTGTGTCCGTTAATCCTTGATGTTGTATGTTTATAAACATTATAAATGTTGCACCTTGGGCATTGTGTCAAATCAAAAGATTGAGTCATCAACGTAATTGGTTGTGAAAGAAATGTGATCGCTAAACACCATAAACATTTCCACTAAACTAGCAGCACAGATTTGTATGTCTTACATGTGCACAGCACACCCATTTTAGAGTATCCCCTCAGAAATTCCATGGTTATGAATGTCAGACTTCACTTGAAACTTTGAAATTTTGCACCCCACTCTGTCTAATACAAATTCTAACTTTTCCCAATATCCCACAGGAGTTTTATTGATAGCCTGTGCCAGTTTACAGGATAGATAAATTGTTCAGCATTGTAGCTTGGATCACTTTAAAAAACCCAACAAAGAGGAGTGTAGTTAGGAATAAACCAAGGTATGCTTGACTTGTTTAAGTGAGCACTTTATAATAGTTGAAGTGGCTTTGTTAGTTGATCCACTGAACACCGTCCACGACTTATGCAGTTGACATGCACTAACTCATTCACTTGCCTTTTTACCCTGTTAATCAACTTTCATAGTTAGCTGATATGATCCAGTTAGTAGGCATAGTTATCAGGAATAGCCTTTAGATATTCAATCTAGCTTCAGTAGGATTGGTAAAAAAAGTCAGATTCCACGCGAAAAGAAAATGTCACGTTTTTGACTAATATTTGTGCTTTTTCACTCTTCCCTCATTTGCTCTCCTCATCCATTTAGTTCTTTGCCACGTCTCTTTTTTCCCACAACCAACCCCAGCTACCGCATCGTGTTTGGTAAACTAATCACAGTGGATACCGGATAATGCATATCACAGTGGCTGTTGTGGGGCCAAAGTTATCCCAAAAAGAATGTTGAATGCAAGTTGACTTGGCCTGAGTTGACTTGGCTTGCATTGATATTACTCAACTTAATTTGTGCATATGAGTAGATAGTGATAAGATAGGCAATGGTTATTTGTAATAACCCGTTGGGTTCACTGTAAACTTTTTGTTGAAAGAATTTGATCTGATTAAGAGATGTATCAGACCTACATACTGAGATGGTGATTTTTCTCTCAACTACCTCGTTTTTATATACATGTAGGTGTACTCAAAGGTGCTGGCCACGTGAACCTAGATTTTAGGGAAAAAAAGATTGCTCAGAAGGCACTGGCAGTAAATTGATATTTCAGAAAGATCCCCTCCAGTACTTGTCTGTCTGTCTGTCTGTCTGTCTGTCTGTCTGTCTGTCTGTCTGTCTGTCTGTCTGTCTGTCTGTCTGTCTGTCTGTCTGTCTGTCTGTCTGTCAGACTGTCTGTTTGTCAGGTTGTACATCCATCTCTCATACTATTTATAGGACTATGAGCAGACCACCTCTGCATGTACCATCATGAAGTTCATGTTATGAGGGAGTAGGACCAAAGTTCTCATCAGTGCTACTCTTTATGTTGTTTATGTTTGTTTGCTGTACAATTTGGATTCAATTACTGGCTCTGCATCTGCTGATGATGCATAGTATAGTGTGAAAAGTCACGATAACATAATCAGACTCTCAATGTTTTTCTTACTTGAAAGGTTTGTCCAGAAGGGAAGTTCTGGCTAAACAGAATTTCTCTATCCAAGTCTTGTTTCCAAAACTGTCTGTCCATTTTTGTGCTTACCTCTTGAGCGTATTGTCAGTAGAAGACACAGCTCCTTACTTCTTCTTTTTGTCTCAACCAAAAAAGGGAAGCGATTCCTCCTGCATTCCATTTGATTATCTCACTGTCAAACCCAAGGTGAGTCTGTTCGAATGGGGGGGGTCACTGAGATCAGAGGTCACAGTGGTGATGCTGGTGCAGCTGTGGTAGCTCTCGTGCTCTTTGTGTACTGTAGCTATTTTTGCATTGCTCCTAATTTGCAGAGATTTGTGCATACGTTAATGTTTGGTTGCTCTGTGTATTTATACTAGTTGTGTCTTTGTTGAACATTGACGTAATTGGTAGTGTACTGAAGTGTAATTAAATTTCATGTTGCAGCAAGAGGGATTGTGACAGTGCTGGTGATGTGCATTTACTTGATAAATTACTAGCTGGTCTCATGGAAGCATTTATTTTGCTGTTTAGTAGCATAGTTGTCATTAGTCTTAACATTTTAGTGAGTTGGGTAGGTACAGGGATACAATTATTGTGCTCTGTGGACAAGGTTGAAATCTCACCCATACCAAACCCATACCTACACAAGAATGGTGTTTATGCCCCAGTTTCAGGGTTTCCTTTTTGCCTCCAGAATGAAACCCTCGTCACATCTTTTATTGATTTTCTCCACATTTCTAAGCAGCAGTTCCTTAAGTTTATTTTTGAGAAATGGTGAGAAATACCTCAAAAAGCTAGAAGTTTTAATGACAAGAAAGGATCTTTTCAGTGGAGGTTAAGACGATATCCAATCTTTTGTTTGCGAGGAAACTGAAATAATGAGGATACAGTTTTAGACAGTTCACTGTCTTCTTGTTCCACGAACTGCCAAAACTTTACTTTCAAAAGTGACCAGATGCCTAGATTTGATCTGATGCTTCTCCCGCTACATACGCTTGGATGGTCTGGTAACTGTGAACCCTTTCTGTGTTCCCTGAATCAAGTTAATGCATATTTTACTGTTAGCAAGTGCCAACCTCATTGGATGCACCTGAAGAGGATAGGTTATGATGCCACCCAGCCCAGTGAACACAAAACACTCTACCTGCTGACACCAGTGTCCAGTACAGTGAACACTTTTTGTTGTCTTGAAAAGAGACCAAGCTTTGAGAATCGGTGAAGCATCATACCATTGTCATCATTCATTGTAAGCCAATAACTAACAAGTAAGAGATTACAGCACTGCCAGATTGTGAAAAGTGTGTTCCTGGAAACTGGCTTCCAAGCTATGATTCTTCAAGTTCTGATTTTGATGCTGGTTGGTGCTGAACTGGAAACAAAGTCTGTAGAAGTCAATTTTTGTGGTCTTGACAGTGGAAGTTATCTACATGTATGCTCTGAAATGGACTGTACAAGTATTTCTATGAGACTGGGGGCTTACCCATACTGGGCTTTAGAGCCTTTAGATATTGTAAGTAAGAATACTGATGTGACTTTGTTGACACCCAAGATGAACGTGTTAAGTTTATCTGACCTGTGCATGTAGCTAGATGTATGGAATTGCTATTTTAATTGTAGGTGCATCTTGAGAGTTTACCCACCCTGTACACTGCTGCTTATGAAACTAACCTTTCCACACCGTTTTTTGGCACGCTAGTTACACAGAAATACCTTGCTAATTTCCACTGTTTGTTTCTTTGCATTCTGTTTGAGTTGCACTTACAGCGACTGACCCTGTTTTCTTTCTTTGTTCCATTTTTCCTTTGTAATTTTGTAAGAGTGTTGCATCTGTGGTATTGTCAGTGATATGGTTGATGTTTCAAACATTTCAAAATGAAGTTCTGTGTTGTTTGAGTAGCTTTTCTGAAGTTTCTTTTTGACATTTTCTTTGTCTTTCAAATGCTAGGTTAAATTTGATTTGACTTTTTGACCAGAATGTATTGAAACAGTTGGACAGTTTATGAAAACAACTTACAAAAAAGTTTTATTTCTGGAAGGCTTTTAAAAGTGTGTCTAAATTTATCAGGAACGTTATTGTACAAATCTATATAAATGATATGCCTTGCTGACAAGGCAACAGATATGGTATGAATGCAAGCAAAATCTACTTTTACCCCAGGCCTCAAGTTGGCGTTTTCAAACAAAGGTTGCAGATTGAGTCCTTGCGAAAAGAGTGAACACAGACATTCAGTGTTATGTTATTTTTTTTGGATGCAGTATGAAACCACTAGCACCGAGACAGAAGAAGACAGCGAGGGTATCAGCTCGCGGGACATCAGCCCTGACCGGGACAGTCCGTCATTTGTCAGTTCCCACCGATCCCTCACCAGCACGGCCAGCGTCTTCTCCCGCTCCAGCCGGGGCAGCCGTAAGGAGCCCCCCGCCCAACGATCCCGGAGTAACTCGCGGTCGGCCTCCCCCTCCCCAGCCCATGAGGGCCACGCCTCCGGGCGGATCACCCCAGCCAGTGCTGTGTCGCTGGACTGGGACATGTACGTGTCAGGTAACACCCAGCAGTTCTCCGAGGCCCCCGGAGAGGAGACGGGACGATTCAAGGTGGAGAACCAGCACATCCAGCAGGCAATGGAGGACTGCTTGATGAGGATTGAAGCTACCGAGAATGCCTTGAGATGTCGGACTCCAACTGGGCCAGAGATTGAAGACGAGAAAGAAGGATATGTAAGTCTATGCTCACTTCCAAAGAACAGGGCCAGTTTCATAGCACTTTGGAAAAGTAGAAAGATAGAACTTGCTATTGGAGAAATTCTTGGTACTGAAGTACTATTTTGTGACATGGAATTGGTGATAACGGTTGTGCATGTATTGAGACTTGTTTGGCATCACTGAGTTAGGTGTTCCTTTTTCCCCTGGTGTAAACATTTTTCCTCTGATGTTGTTAAGTGTGTTTTTGCTGAGGTTACTGCTTAATGGTTTGGTGAAACAGATTCTATGAGCACAAAATCAAATGTTGTACAGTGCTATGAAATTGGTCCCAGATGCTTAGTAGGTTTTAGAAAGAATTGATGCAATTACTGTCTTAAATTTGTCTTCATTAGTTGCTCAACTTGTAATTTCATAACTACTCAAAAAAACTTGGGATAATAATTGCAAGACACTTTCAATTGCCAAACTCATTTCATTTTTATATTGTGTCTGTTCTTTTGATTTATTTGAGCATTTTCAATCTGTTTATGCATAGTTTTGATCTTGAAAATCATTCATGAAGAAGTCTGGAAATATATTTTTTTTAATGGTAGGATTCTCTGGTGGAGGATTGCCGTGTGAGTGTCGATGTCCTCAAGAGACTAGCAATGAGAATGCCTCAGGATGATCCAGTACTCACCCAACAGATCGCAGGTATACCTGAGAGAACCGTTCATGTAACTAAGTGATTTCATTGACTGATACTGCCGTAGCAACATGCTGCAGGAAGCAAAATATTGTTGCATAAACTCTGGGGTCATATTTGAGAGGGATGTCCATAAGCTGTCCGGCTGAAGATTTATTTTGTTTAACATTGTGAAACCTGCGTCATATATCACTAAGTGTGTAGTGTCTTTGGTTTTGCTGATATAATTTGATAAGAAAAAAAAGTTGCCAGCCCAAGTTTCAGGTTAATTGATTGTATGGGGCTTATTGCTTGCTTTGCTTTGCTTTGTGTGCTTAGCAATGCTCTTTATCTTTTTTCATTTTCTCCCAACCCACAGCTGTCTTGAATCGCTGGGAGATCCTCCAAGCAGACATCTTGGATAAGGACTCTCGCCTAAACCAGAACTACAAGCAGTGGCACCAGTTCCGCCTGGACCTAAACAATCTGAACTCCTGGCTGGATGAGGCCGAGGTGTTGCTCAGCACTCAGGAGACCGACTCTCCTGCCGGAGACCTGGAGGGCATGATCAGGAGACACAGGGTGAGTTTGGCAGATGGTCCTGCCGGGGGATGGGGGGAGATGGTTACTGAAATAAGGGTTCCTCGGTGGAAGAGGCAGGGGATCGGTCTACAGTAAATATGGCCTGACCAACAACGGGAAACTGAAATCACCGATGCATGAAGTGAATGAACTGTTCCCATTTCTGGTTAAGCCTGTCCCAATAATAACTCATTACGGGAAACTAGAGATTTATTGGTGCATTTTCATGAAATTGAATTTTTTGCATCATTGGTATCCAGAGTTTCAATTCATCTGGAATTATCTCTGATATAGAAATAGTTTGATATTTATTTGAACCCTTGCAGCCAGAATGCTAACTTGTAGTCAAAATTATGCAGAAACATAAAGAATAACAGTTGAAATGGTAAAGGCAGAAAGCAAATGCTTGTGTGTGACGTATTTAAAACAAGATATGTGATTTCAAGCTTAAGTCAGTATGATTTCACATATACCCCAGGGAGTTTGGGTTAACGCAATATTTGGTATCTTGAAAAACATAAGTGGCAGTAGTAAAAAGTGGACGGATAAAGTTCTAGTGAGAAACGTAAGTGGACTTTAAAGTTGGAAGTCTTTTCTGTAACCACAGGAGTTCATCCTAGGCCTGAATGCACGCAAGGCCATTGCCCTGTCCATCAACCTCTGCAGCCAGCAGTTCCTACGCCCTGACAGCCGGCACACCCAGGCGTTGCGGGAGGAGCTGAGCGCCATGAACCAGCGCTGGGACCGGGTCTGTGGCCGGGCGGCCGACTGGCAGAAGGAGCTGCAGCTGGCCATCATGCAGTGCGAGGAGTTCCACCAGACCACGGCCGATCTGATGGTGTGGCTGGACGGGATCGAAGCCACAGTGGTGGAGAATGAGCCCATCGACTTGAGCGCCGATGAGAACCGGCTGCACCACCAGTATAGGGTCTTCATGGTGAGGATTGTCTACTCATGATTTCATTTAGGATGCTGAGGAATAAAGTTGGTGGACAAGGTTTGCAAGCACAAGTCTGAAAATATCCTAAAACCTGAAATACATGTACATTTTGAAGTAATTCATCCAGTGATGTAAAAGTCTGACACATGACTCACACATTATTCACTTTGAAGTGGGCTGAGTGAAGAAAGGAAAACCACTGGTCATACAAACTTCTGTAAAATTCTGTGCGACTGTGTAGTCTCTAACATGCTTACTCTATTTTAACTGTACAGACTGTTCTGTTTTTCAGTTTTAACAAACTTTTATGTGTTGTGAAATGAATGGTTGTGAAGCAGTGTAAAACTGAAGGAGTCTGACATCCTAATCCCAGCAGAATCATTTCCAGATTTTACCTTTTAGGAAGATTTTGCAAGGATCCACAAATCAGACCCTCCTTACCGTGTCATTGATAAGTTCAGCTCACTTCTGTCTGAAATAGTTTTGCAGTAGCTTTACGTTTCTTAAGCTAGTTGCAACATGTTTTGGTATTTCTCTCTCTCAGAAATTCAAGCGTGAGTTGCAGTCTTCCCAGCCTAAGGTGTCCTCCTTGAAGGAGACAGCCGACCAGCTGCTGGTCGATGTGGAATCGGAAGACTGTCAAGCCACACGAGATAAACTCCACCTCATCTCTCGCAAGATTACCTCATTACTCAGACGCTGTGAAGACAACCTGGAGTTACTAGAGACCACCATAGACCCTACGCAGTTTGAGTTAGACAAGGTGAGCAGAAAGTATTGGCTGAGGTCATTTTTGTCTTAAGAAATTTCCCTGAACTCTCCAAAATCCAACACTGTGCAACTAGCATGCTTTACACGCCAACCACACATGGGGTGTCAGGGTAAGATAACAGCCCCTCAGGTGGGCTGTACCGTATCCGTCAAACTACTGCCAAACCAGGTTTAGAATTTGGGGAGGTTTTTAGGAATTGTCAACTGTACACAGAGGAAGAGCCATGTTTGGTTCAAGAATGGGATTTGGCTGCTGTATTGAACAAGCTAGATCTGTTATTGTTTATTTTATTTTCCTGTTTTGGGCAGTCTGAAGGCATCTTTCCATAAGTTTGTTTTTGGGAGCATTGCATACATGATGCATTCATGCATTTCACTTTCACGGACACAAAATTGACTACATAGCATAATACGCGTGTGTTGTGTTCAGCTGTCACAATTGCCCCGTGAGTGATTCTGATAGATATGCAATGCTTGGCACAAGCTTTCATGCACATGCGGAAGGGCGCCTTGAGAAGGGTTTAATCCCAAAATGGTGTGTGTTTTTTTAGTAAAAATTACTGTAAAGTCATTTATGCTGCAGTTGAAAAGTTCACTCGTCAATTTGTTCCTGTTTTTGGGGGGGAGGCCATTTGGCCATTTCTTTTCATTGAAGTACATTTGGTCTGCGTGTTGTACTAAAACTCACAACAATGAAAATATTGCATTATGATATTCATCATCTTTGCCAAAACAAGTGTGATATAAACTGAGTTCTTGGGATTTCCTTGTGGCAGCCTGAAGACCAGAGCATTGCACCTCAGCGAGCGGCCTTCCCCCTACAAGCCATGGGGGACATGATGGGAGAGTTTGGTAGCACCCCAATGTTGAGATCTGGTACCCCAGTCTACACCATGAGACACTTCACTGATGCTGCCACCAACACCATACCAGAGGATGAGGTAGACGGAGCTGCCATTGTGTAAGTTGAAATACATGCGTGGAGAGAAATTATTCCCTTGGAAAAAAAGCAATGAAAAAAAGGTTGCAAATTTGTCTAAATGAGATCTTTGTCAAGTAGACTGTACACTATTTTGTTTGTAAAAAGATGCTGTGTTTGTTTTATGTTCGTCATGATTGGATGCTGCTAGATGCATGGGTTATTGCATGTCCAATGGAATCAATATTGAAGTCGAGACAGGACACGAGACCTACCACAAGCAAATGGTGAACAATGTCAACCGAGTCAGTAGTGCACTCTCTTGTTTTAGGGACAATGAAAGCAAAATGAACTGTGGCATGTACATGTACAGTAGTCCGTGTGCACTGCCAAATTTTACCGCTGCTTTGTTGCGGTGTGTCCAAATACTGACCTTGTTAACAAGAGTGCTCTCAATACAGCCTGCTGCTATAACAAGGACATTTTTAGATCCCAATCTTTTGTTCATTGTTTTCATTCCGCCTAATGCAAGGTTTGTAACAAGGTCATCTGTTGAGTCCGACAGACCTTTTATTAACGAGTTTCGACTGTACATGTAGCTTATGATTTGAATTCCGAATGTAGGTCTTGTAACCAGATGCCTGTCACCTGTGTGACACCAGACTGACTAAATTTCTTGTACTTCACAGTCCGGTAGCTGGTGCTCCTGTCCACCGTCGTCGGTCCCCCTTTATCTCCAGAGCATTGAGGGCAGCACTGCCACTTCATCTGCTCATGCTCCTCCTCCTGGGCGTGGCCTGTCTCGTGCCGATGACCGAGGAAGACTACAGCTGTACGCTGACCAATAACTTTGCCCGGTCGCTGCAGCCCATGCTAAGATTCACCAATGGACCGCCCCCAATCTGAAGAACTTGGGGGACCAACAGATTGTCTCGGGTCTTTGATCTTGTGCAATTTTTGAAAGAGGTATTTCAAGTGGTCCAGAGCATTAACTACAGATTTTAACCAGAAGAGTTTTTATGACAAATCAAATGTTCTATTTTAGTACTACTGGATTGGGGGGGTGTCAGCATAAGAAAATGTACACAGCCATCCAGTTCATCTTAAAGCTGCTCTCATTTGACAGAACAGCATCTTGTGATATACCACAACAATCCACTGGGTGTGTGCTGGAGTGTTTGTATATCATTTTCTCCAAATAACTGCAAAAATCTGTTTTTCAGAAATTCAAAAGAAAGTTTTGGTACAATTACTGGTATTAAGAATTTCCGTGCTGACCTTTTTTTTCTGGCAGATGCTGTGAAATGGGTATTCAATACAACTCCTATTTTGTGACTGCTTGCTGATTACCAAAAATATTTACTTTTGTACATTTGACTGTAAATTCCGCTTTCAAAGGGTTGATGTGATGTTAATCTGGAATATATCAGTGTTTGTAATTAATCCAACAAAGCCATGGAAGTAATGTGAATCGACTGTCATTGATGAGCTTTCATTTTGGGATCATGGAACAGGTTGTAATTCGAACACAGTCGGTCGGTCCAAACACTTTGTTTTTAGAAATAGGAACTGTGGTCTCATGTAAAACGAAACCACATACAATTACCTTCAGACCCAGTTCTAACTGGCCTTGTTTTTCCCCCAGTTCGTTTGAGTTGGGAATTTATATAGCTTTATTTCAAAGTCTTTCGCTTTTTTATCCAATCAAGGTCCATCATATTCAGTTAAGATTGAAATTAATTTTTCACCTGGATTTTCTCTACAAGTGTAGTAAGGCTTATCTTCCTGTTTGAAGTTGACACTAATGGCTTTATCATGCATGACTTCCTGAAGTGCATGTTTTTAAGTTTAACCACTTGCTGCGGGCGGAACTTGAAGTTGGACGACATATACTCGGGGGATTTTCCAGATTTTCTGTTTCCAAAATTCTTCAAAAAAATCATAACTTCATTAACTACACATTTACACCCACATGAAGGACTGTCTGATGGCTGCTCTAATCTGACAGACAAAATGTACTGACGCCGAGTATTTCAACCAGGCCTGCTGCCTTGTAAAAAGAGCACAGATTGTGCTGTGTTATGTAAGTTTCCCGAAACCAGCACAGTGCACTGCTTGCGTCTTTTCAATAGGAGCCAGATCAGCGTGCAGCAGTATTGTATCGCTCATCGCTGGAGTGCTTTTATCCCTGGTGGTAATCCGCTTGTGCATAATGCCACAAATAGAGGTATAATCTTTCGAAACAAGGACGGATTTTCTCCGATATTGACAACTGAAAAAATGTTCGCAATTCCCAGCAGCTCAGTCTTTTGTACCGAGTACGGTCTTTTGTTACAAGGCCCAGCTCTTTTGTCTGGCTCCCTGACTTCATGTATTCAAACCTATGTGCCCGAAATCTGGTCTCCCGCAGCATGTAGTTAATTCTTTAGTAGTTTTATCAAGATTTTCAGCAGTTTATTTCTTGGTTGACATTTTAAAAATCTTACATTAGTTTAGTAGATCTAACTAATAGTGACACACAGTTACTGTGATTGAACTTTGCACTTACAATTCAAAGTCATGATGTGTGCTGAGAGTAAGTTTACCTGTTAGTCTTGGTAATTTAACTCTTATCCTTCCAGTGTGCATGAAAAAATAATTTTAACACTTCAAGATTCAGGACTGTTGGGTTCAAGTGAAAGAAGTACTTGCCAAAAATTGTGAAAAAAATTCAAGTAATTCCTTTTCACACAATTATCAAAAGTTTAACATGTGACTTGTATTTTATTGAAGTGAAATTAAACAATATTTTTGTACAGGTATTCGATTTTTAAGGAGTGTATGCAGTTTGATGCCCCTTAAATTATTTGTACATTTGCTGTGTTGTACAAAGTGGTTTTAAAAGTAGGGAAAAACACTGAAAGTAGCCGTGGCGATTTGCTGTATTCATGGATGAGTTTTTAATGCATTGGAAGCTCTCAAATTGTATTTCTTAGAATTGACTAGTTTTTAACATAGATGATTTGTAATAACATTTACAAAGTACGTGTAGTTATTTTTGTATATTTGCGTATTCACTTTTATTTTGAAGCTGTACATATCTGACATCATGCTGCTAAATTGTACATGGGGGAATACAAATAAACTATGCTTCGTGTTTACCTATGACATGTTTTCTGTGAATAACCTTTGTGAGTGAAAAACTATTGGATGTATGCTACATCTTTTATAAAGTCAATTTTGCTATCCGCAGATGAAAAATTACATGCAAATGCGATCTGCAGTGAAATATAAAGTTATAATTTATTTATGGCGTTGGTTTTAATAAAGTTATCAAAATATGACATAACCATTTAAACATTTTCAAAAAACACTTCGAAATGCATATTTCCAAAAGGTGCCTTTTACAAATTGAATATAGTTTATACGCTAAAAGAGGAAGAATGCAAACACTGCCGTCAAGAATATTAGTCTTGACAGGAGGGCACTTTTTAACTTTATGGACAGTTACTAGGCTGAAAATTAATAGACGAGGTGAGACAGCCAAACAACACAAACACTGCGGAGTCATTTGAATAAAATTTGTGTATTTCTTGCCCAGCCTTATATTTTACTTCATGTATTCTGGGTGGGCACACAAAGCAATGTTCGCTTCCACAATAGGCATTCCAAGAAGCCAAGTTCTTCAGTGAATCTACCTCCATAAATTTCTCAGAAATGGGGATTAATGTATTGCGGGGCTGCTGGTTATGACTCGTGGTATGCATGCCTGTGTAGGCAGGCTGCAAGCTCATGTTTAAAGTCCTCCAGAGCAAACTGGTTAAACTTTAAAGAGGAAAATGAATGCTGGAAAAGCTGTCTGTGTAAAGAACTTGCAAAGTTGCAATATTGAGTCACGCTGCATCTAATCCAAGGCTGATGCAATTTCAGCCAAATCCTTGGCAAAATTAGGTTGCATCTGAAAGCCTTTCTTCTACGAATCGCACTTGCTCGAAAAAGGTGTCATAATGCAGGACGGTGTCGAACCAAACGAGTAGCCAAACCTTGGACCTTCTTCAACTGCTCACAGGACTTCCTGTCATCCTTTCTGCTGAAGTAGTTCTGTACGCGCTTGACAAATGGCAAGTCTGAAAGCGAAGTACATCATTGTTTGTTGAAAGATCTACCCGGCAATTTGAACCATTTTCTAAGCTTTCTTATTTAACACACGATTCCAGGAAGATGAGGAATGTGGATTGGAAACCATCAAATACATGAAGTAGTAATAAAATCGCCCCTCCCAAATAAAATGTACATGGGTAATTCCAGAAATTAGGGTCCTTTTTTTCGTGCCCCTGTCAAGTCTGACATATGATTTTGTCAGTTCAGAACACATTTTCCACTTTCCAAGAGTGCTGAATTAATGCAAATTACCTGCCAAAGAAATAGTAATAGTTTGAAAACAATTCCGGTGATATTTCCATGCCAAATAACAAAGGTCAGATGTAACAGGGACACAAAAATGTCACACTTTTGGACCTCCTTATTGCTGGAATTACCCACATGTATTTTCTTTTTAAGATGTGAACTAATTTAAAAGAAAGTCTTTTAAAAGATTTGAAAACAGTTCTCAAGTATTTCATTGCAATTTCCTTGCAATTCTTACAAACAGTTAAGCTGAACATTTCTGAGAGCCAATATTCTGAACCCTGATCCAGACTTGAACATCCTGAGGCAATTCTAAGGGATTCTACACTTCTGAGACTAACTTTTGCCAGCTGTCTGCATGGCTGAAGCTACCAAAGCCTTCTGCAATGCAACCTCCTTGCTCTTCTTGACAAGTCTTTTAACAACCTTGGGATCAAAGTGGTGGTAAAGCCACCAGTCTCTTTGACTCCAGCACATCACTGCTGCATCCATGGCAACACGGTCCCGTCTAATCAAGGAGACAAAAATAGGCTTGAAGGGAAATAACAAATTTAGGTCACCATTTAGCAAGCAGGTGATCACACAATCAAAAAGGAAACACAACCATGTCCATACACAAATGGCATAATCCTATCAATTCCCGAAGACGACCGGGTGAATTCAACAATAGCAAATAAATCTGAATCATAAACCAACCACAGAAGAGTAAGATAATTCCTGAATCCAAAAGAAGCTAAAAATGAGAGGGCAAAGTGTGCATCTAATGAATCCACAATCTAACAGGGTCCAAATATACAGTGCCAACAAAAACAAAACCATGTGCAGCCTACTGATCCAACAGACTGAAAAAACGGAAGCCTGACAGTTTCCAGCAACATTGTGTCACTGCTGAATCTAAAAAAATCCAACAACTGCAAAGTGTGAGGCCTGCCAAGTCCAACAAATCCAAGCATGCGATATGATATGTAATCCACCGACAGAAAAAGTGAAGACCTACTGAGTTGAAGTAATCAACTTACTTCTTCAGTATCCTTGTCAGGTGTCTGGCGAGTGCCTTCCATGGTGCTAGTCTGTCATACCAGCAGGGGTAATCCAACATCTCAAACAATGAGTTGGTGATCCAGCCAATCTTATTGCTGTACTCGGGATTCTGACGCTTCAGCCCCTGTTGTAGGAGACTAACCAAATCTAAAGCAAGGAGATCAGATGGAATTCTCTTCACATACTCCTGGAAAAAAGGGGAAAAAAGACAGGAGAAAGATGAAGCAATTATTGGCCTCAGTGTATGTTTTAAATGTACAGCTGTGACACACTTGAGTAATAAGGGATCAGATTTCATCATCTTAAGACAATGAAGTACATTCTCACAGCATATTACTTACCATAAAGTGTTGACATTACGCAAAGGATAGGTAAACATTCCACTGGCAAACCTTTCCATACTTTGTACTTTTCAGTTTTGTAGAAAAACAATTTTGCACACATGACAGCATGATCTGAATATAATCCTAAAATCAGATTTAAACCCTACATCATATTGAACTGAAGCTCAATAGATGAATGTTTTTATATGCACCTCAAGTTCCCAAAAGATTGGGTGAGGGATGCAATCTCCCCCCCCCCCGTCTGTTTTAAGAGTTGACCCCAACATCAGGGATCACAAAGGCCTATTCTTATTCTTTGTTTAAAGTGGCAGACATTGTTCAGACTTTGTATTAACCACTTACCACTGGGGTTGCCGGTACCAGACAAGTATCCTTTATACGTGTGGCTGGGGTCTCCAAAATCGGACAGAGGGAACTGGGCCTTGTAACAAAAGACCGTACTCATAACAAAAGACCAGGCTGCTGGGCATTACCGACATTTTTTCACTCTCAATAGTGGTGATAATCCAGCCTTGTTTTGAAACAGTATACCACGGTTTTGGGAATTTAGCGGCTTACTACCGGGGACAAAAGTGCTCCACCACCGTAGAGATGAGACACACTGTACCGCAGCACGCTAATCCGGCCCCTATTAAAAAGAGGTCAGCAGCGCACTGTGCCAGGTCCGTGAACAAAAGAAAATTACATAACATCGTACAATCTGGGTTCTTTTTTACAAGGCAGCAGGCCCGGCTGAAATACTCCAGCATCAATAGATGTTGTCTGTCAGATTAGAGTAGAAACCAGACAGTACTTCGTGTGGGTGTAAGTGTCCAATGAATGAAGATATGAATTTTTAAAGAATTTTGAAAGCTAAAAAAAGGAAATTATCCCATCCCAGCATCATCAACATTCATCAATGCCCCCGGCGTGAAGTGGTTAAGAGCTTACCCCAAGAACTCCAATCACCTCCTGTTGGTCACCGTTGTTTCTCTTGAGGTGTCTGTACAGGTATTTGTATGCGTTGGGGTTGTCCGGGCCGGAGGTAATGTACTTCTGTAGCAGTTCTCTGGCATCGTCAACTTTGCCATTTGTCTCTAGGATCTGGAGAAGGAATTTGTAGGGAACGACCAATCAACTTCATCTTTCCAGCAAAATTTTATCCTTTTTCATACATTCCGTTTCACCTGTCAATTCCAAGACTCTTAAAATTTCTGAAATCCTTTTAAAGAAATATTTGAGAACCATATTGAACCAAGCCTCCAAGGAATTACCTCTGCTTGCTTAGTGATGAAGATGTCCCAGACACCAGGTTTATCAGGCACTGGCACCGTGAATTGACTGCCATTAACTCCATCTGCATCACTAAATCCAGGCTTTTCTGTGTTGAAGACAAACCATACCGTGGAAAATTGGTTTCCCTAACACCGAGTATATTAAGAGCAAGGAGAAACACGACAGATACGACTGCAAGGCATTTATAACGTCAAGGACATGAAGATAGTTGAAATAATGAAATTCACTGTGCCAACATTTTCAACGGGCCAATCCATTCAACATGCTCACAGGTCTGTGCGAGCGTGTAACACATTTGTATGACTGTTGGTTATGAAATCAAAACTATAATATTGGTCGAAACATCATGGGGGTGTGGCTGAACCTTGTCCCCTCCCAGGTGTGAGAAAAATGTCATTGAAATTGCAGGATTCTGGCTCTTTAGTCTTAACGAGGGGGCTTAGTGGATCGACGAATTTCACTAATGATGAGTTTAGTGTCCTGGAAAATATTCCTCTGAACATTCTGTATTCCTGAAGGAAGTGTATCTCACAACAGATCATATCATCATAGTCCACACCCCACACTATTGAGCAAAACCTGCAATATGATCTAAATCGTTTCATGTCCAAACAATCACTGAACAACAAATGGAAGATCTGTAACTATCTGTATCCACAGCAGCTCCAACAAGTTCCTACGATGTTAAAATCTTCAGGCAGAGCAGAGAGGTTGGTGAAAGGTTCTGACATGTACATAAGATGTTATTCTGCACGAGGGGCATGCAGTTATTTTTTTATTTCTGGAGTTTTGCCTTTCACTAGGGTATCTTTTTAACACTGTGTTCTCAGTTTCCCAAAGGGCTTGTGAAAAAAAAATGACAAGCTTTCTTAGATGGGAACTGAACTCATCTCCTGCTATCTGTTCAGAAGTCTCACCACTCAACTACCAAGCTTGCCAGGATTGGCTGGCCAGTTTGAGTATCAGCAACAGCCAGCATGCGCTGCGCCAAACAAGTATTTTTTTAAGTTGGTGTTTTCCCTTCATCTGCTTGCATTTGTATAAAAAAAACACATTTTATGACCATTTCCTGAAATGTTTCATGAAAACCCTCAAAATTTGGAGAAGGCATGTATGAACAAACTGTGCATGTGCTTAAGGTCTTACCGGCTCGAAGCTGATTGGTACCCGCTTCCTGCCGTGGCAATAGATAGTTGCGATACCAGTTAACATACTTGAGCAGTCCAGAGTACGCCTTGATCATCATCATCCAATACTCTTGTCTCTCTACATCACTTTTCTTGAGCCGAATCTGATTTGTAATCTTAGCAGACTGGGATGAAAAACATTTTCAGAAACAGTTGGAAGCTTTGAAATGTTTCCCTTTGTTTCCCCCGAAATTTCAGTTGGCTGTTTTTGCACCCATTTGAACAGCAACTCGGTGCCTGAGTTGTTCTAAGTTAACTAAGTTGCATTTTAGAAGATTTTAGAGATAGCCTTTATGCAGCACTAAGGCTCTCGCTCCACATGCAATGCATTTATTCATCAGAGGTAATGGGGGTGTTCTGCTGTAAAGGGGTCACAGTTGTGATGCATGACTTTGGCTCAAGCTTAATTTACTTTCAGTGTTCTACCCTAACACCCTGTAGAAGAGTTATACATGGACGTACATTCCGTGGAACCTCAACATGACACAGCAGCACTGAAGGAAGCAGCATGGTACAGCAGGGTGTGTTTTGTAAAGGCAACATCATTCAAAAGCACAGCACCATATGACAGTGTGTGCTTTCTGCTGCACAGCCTTGATAACGCCAAGCATACACATACATAGAGGTGTTTTCAAATGACCCTGACCCCTTTCAGCATGCACCTTTGAAAAAGTGGCTCACTATCGCTGTTTAAATCTTCAAACAACAGCTCTTTAAGACACACTAACAGGGTGCAGTCACCACCTTACATAACGGTAGGCAGAGCATTTACACAGGATTTACAGAGACAACATCCATAAAACAATGATTTGATTCTCTTTTCAGTGCACATTCAAAAGATTTTACCTGTAGCTGGACCTCTGCGTCCTGGAACTGTCCTCTACTTAGAAGATGAAACACCTTCTCCAGTCTCTTCCTCTTCCGGTGACGATAAATCCCCTCCATCTTTCTGCGGAGTACAAAGAAGTTGAAGAAAACAGAATTTTCATTGACTCTGCAAGGAGATATCCCCTGCCTTTTCCTCTCTTAGAGGGTCGCACTGTTCTACTCACTCAAAAATCCCAAAAACGAAAAGTGGAAAACAGAACAGATTTAAGGCTTAAACTTGCCACATATTAGAACAAAATTCCACCAGCAAAGCTACAAATCATGGAACAGAAAATCTTAAGTGAAAAATGTGATCATCTACATCTCACCTTGCAAACTTCTCAATTCTGGGTCATGTACAACTCCCCTTGCAAACTTCTCAACCAATTCTGGGTCAGGTACAACTCCCCTTGCAAACTTCTCAATCAATTCTGGGTCATGTACAACTCACCTTGCAAACTTCTCAATCAATTCTGGGTCATGTACAACTCACCTTGCAAACTTCTCAACCAATTCTGGGTCATGTACAACTCACCTTGCAAACTTCTCAATCAATTCTGGGTCATGTACAACTCACCTTGCAAACTTCTCAATCAATTCTGGGTCACGTACAACTCACCTTGCAAATTTCTCAATCAATTCTAGGTCTGAATCAGGGTGGTTGTACAAAATCTCCATACCACACTAAAAAGAACAAAATTTCACTTCTTAAAAGAGGTGGAATTATTCACAGCTACCCCCAATTTTAGAAATCCTGACGTCAAATCTTTAAGACACAAACACTGACAAATAAGCCCCAAATGACACTTTGAATAGTCGCAAACATTACCAAATATGATACCAAGTCACAATAGATTCAATAAACATCATGGTTTATATGTTTCCAACAGACAATAAATAAACACATTGAGCATTTTTCATCGAAGAGCATCCATTGTTAAGCCACCCACTCCAGCCTACCTAAAACTGCTTGGCAACTGTTTGCTGTATCCAAAATGTTCTGGTTAGTTTGCTACCATCAAGCCTCCTCTTTTCATTCAAAAGTCAAGTGACCCCAACTCTCTCAGTAATTTTGTAAGAAACCTTCCAGTTCCGATATCCTACAAAATCCTACACTGAAATTTAACTTAAACCTTCTACTAAATGTACATCAATAACAAATATTCCAACATTTGCATAAAGTCAGTGGACTGTTAGGGAGCAAGGGTTTCAACATATGAAAAGCAACAGTGGCTAAGTTCTTCCTCTCCAACAAAACCCTTGAACCCTTCATGTAGATTTTGAAGGATCTGGGAGGGTTTTAGAGTCTCTTGTCATACCTTCCAGACATGATCTTCATAATGGTGTGTTGGATAGAGGCAGACTATTTCAATGGCTTGGCTTGCCTCTTGCCATCGGTGGGTCAACAGACAGTCTCTAAGTGATGCCAGAAGGAGGCTGAAACCTGTCCGATCCAAAGGATTTCTTAAGATCCCTGATGAGAAAAAAAACAAGCAGAAACAAACCAACTAAACACTTATCAATGGCAGTGACAAAGAACACAATTCACACAGCACTTTGTTTTGTTGTGACTACCATAAGAACCATCAACGTTCCTTGCAAAAATCTTTCGGAAACTACAGCAGTGAAAAAAACTTTAATGTCACAACTTTTCTGAACGTCAAGGCTCATAGGAAGTAACAGTTGTTAAGCTCTACCATCTTACATCCCAAAAATCCTCATCTCATCATCACTAGTGATAGAAACAGTCATTGCTATAAAACTGACATATTGGGGGGATGCCCCCAATATAATAAACAGAGTGATTCCTTTTTGCTTAGAAAATGGGAAGAATTCTATTTATGGATGCTAGTGATTTTTCCCTACTCTGACCTATTTGCCATCAGAAAGCAAAAAAAGTCCAGAAAAGTTCAATTTCAAGGAGGAAAAACACCAAGGTGTTTGCTGGGAAATACTTGAAATTTTTCAGACCAGTCTCTAAGCGTTTGTGTCCAGGGTGTGGAGTGGCGTCCGTATATATGGACTCTTTCCTGGAAAACTAATGCGCAGAAAGCTTCTGGGACCATTTCATTTCCCCTTCTTCAAAAGTATGTAAAAAGTCCCAATATTTAGCCACTCAGAAAGGCTGTAGAAAAATACATACAGAAATTTCCCAACTTTTGGGACACCCCCCTGAAAATGTTTGCCACCCCTCCTGCCCCCAAAATGAATTGGCTCTGCATCCGCCCTTTGGGCTATGAGATATGTCACTGCACTAAAGTAGGCATAGACTAATTGATTAGATTACAAACAGACCTGAAACACAATTCGTCACAAGATTGAATTTCATCCAGACTTACTTCTGAGGAAGGAACCCAACCCAGCGAGAGACTCCTGATCATAGAGGGCACCAAGTTCCTCCTGGAGAATGCCTGACTGTAGACCAGAGTCTGCACTGCCTGCCTCGTCAGTGAAGAATGCCGAGTACTCAGAGTCCGACTCAGTGTCCGACTGACTGCTGGACTGGTCAGAGAAAGAATTGGAACACAACATGCAGTTGACTACGCCTTCCTTTAATCACAGGGGGAAAATAAAGGTAATTATAAGGGATGAACTGAACGCTTGTATATTTTCTCATTTGCTTAATATTCATATATATCTTTTTCAAATCAAATATTCCCAGGGAAAAAATCAACAAAATAACATAGGAAAAAATACAATTATTTGTTTACAAAACATGATTGCATGCTAAAATGAAAATGCATTTCAAAACTTGGCCCTATAGACATTATTTCCTTTATGAATCCTCCAGGGGTATGAATCTTGTTATTGTCTTCCTAACCTTTTCAGAGTCTTCATCCTGGAAGCTGTTTCCGCTCGAGTCTGATCCTTGTTCATCCATGGTTCAATTTCAAATCTCAAACTCCGTCAAAGCATGTTTTCCTAGTTTTCCTCCGCTCCCTGGCCCGTCAACACATGCTTTTTGCTGCAACCAATAGCGCCCCCAATTGTCAAGGTGTGTCAATGTGGCCGGGACATAGATACATTAATTTATTCCAACTCTTAAGGGTGCAGTGCACTGAACCAATTCAAGCTCCACTGAAAATAGTGTAAAACCAACAAAGTTTAGAGCCCCATGGCAGGCAACTGAAGTCTCTGAGGCCTCTCAAACAAAAAAACAATGTGTTGTTTAGTCCTTTAGATTTCATTTGATTTGCAATTTTTAGTAGGTTAACCAATGAATGTTTCAATTATCCGCCCAAAACAAACTCACTTCCTCCCCAAGCGAATGTTCCTAAGTATTCTCAGCAACTATTCAAACGACACCCCTTTCTCAGGCTCTTCTGACAAATTTTCAATTACATTTTTGTCTGCTTCGCCCCCAGATGGGTGCCCCTGAATCTACAGAGATGATCCTGGGCCATACTTACACAATCCCATAATTTCTTGGCCAACACAGACTCCTCTTTTCGAAAGAACCTTGCGGAATTTTCCTTGAATTGTCGGAGACAATGCACCCTTTGCACCCTTAAGGGCTGGGACGACGGACGGATTTTACATACGTCCGTGGCTGGGACGAACACGCTTGAATAGTGATATACAAGGAACAAGATTGGTCCCTTGTGATGCTAACTACCACCCTTCGAAGCTCAAGAATATCATTTTGCAAAGTTAGTCACACGATGACGCCGAAAGATGTCCGCGTAGTGAATTCCTGTACTAGGTTTGTTTGTTTGTTGGGGTGTTGGGGGTGTTTGTTTGTTTGTTTGTTTGTTTGTTTGTTGGGGGTGTTGGGGTTGTTTGTTTGTTTGTTTGTTGGGGTGTTTGTTTGTTTGTTTGTTTTCATCCCCGGTGCAGTCCAGCTTAGACTCTTTAAGAGTGAGTGAAATGCTCAATTGTATTGAATTGAATGGACTGAAATTCAAAACTTGTGAAACCCAGCCCTGATTCTCCAGAGAATGTTCGAAGATTTAGTTACGATAGGGTGTTGTCATTAATGATAATTATCAATAAGAATACGAACAATAAATTGACTACAATTTTGTTGCAAATGCAAACTCACAAATTAATACAGTGATTCTGTTTCTTATTTCTGGTTGCTCCTCCTGAAGCGAATATTTTGTTCTTCATTATTTTGTGCCCGTTTCACCAGCTCACAAAAAGACTGTTTCATAAACTGGATTGATTAAAAATAGATTTAAAATATTGATTTTTGTGTCTAGATTATTTAATATGCCTGCTTTTCGAAAAACGGTCCATACAGTCCTTGCACCAATTTGAAAACCAATCTATTCGTGTTTATTATGTGTGTCTGGAGGTGCTATGTTCCTTCCATATAACTTCTACTAGTTACCACATTGGGCATCAGTGTAGTTCGTTATCATTTTATTAATGCCTTTTACCAAGCTGCTTCTTTAACATGTGGTGAAATTATTTTAGCTTGAGCCATGATATGACGCTGTCGATTCTTCTCAGGCTTTGTTCTCCTTTCGGCAAAACTCTGTTCAGAAAGATTCATCATCACAGCTTCCAGAAACGATCAAAAGAAAACCATTACAATAACACCCTGAAGGTAATCGTTTCATACCCTAAGCAAGCTATTTTATTTCCATTGACTGAATGGTAGAAACAGAATTTTAAGTGAGTGGTCTGACATGCAATAAACATTGGAGCTAATTTGGGCGCTTGAATGTAGCAAAGTTTGCCGCAAGTCTTGCGTGACGTCAAATTCGCCTCGCTTTCACATTTGCCTGTAGAATTTCACATTTACCTGCTTCACATTAGCCTTCCAAACAATAGAATGATATATTTGAAGTTTGTAAACCCCTTCTAATGTTCCAACAGCTTTTCCGCTAAGTCCATTCACGGGGCTAGTTATTTTGTATTCATCCATAAAGGGTAGGCATATATATAATCTAAAAGCAATGAGTCTGAACCTCGGTTGCCGCATGTATCGCGGGAATTCATCGTACCTTTATAACGGGTGCAAAAGAGGAATTTCCACCTCTTTCACCTCTGACATGTCCATGAACCGTGGTGAACTTAATATACAATGCCATGAGGCTCATTCGAGAAGTCCCCGTTGCGGTTCTCAAGCTTTGCGCAAGGCCGGTATTTTAAATTGGCTCACTCTATTCAGAGATTATTTTTCTAAAGATTTTTAGCAGGGGATTGAATCGACCAAATATATTTTTCACTCAACATCTAACCTTTGGTTTGATTCATTTTCAGTGTCACTTGAAGTGAACAAGAACTGTTGTTTCGGGTATGAGTACTTGGAAATTCGAGTACAAGTAAGACACGAATATTCTGAAAATAGTTCTCGAGTAGGCCTAAATGCGTACTGTGACCGAGTACATTTACTACAACGCTGACCACTTCTTGAGAAAAATTCTTCTTGAAAAGTAAAAAAAAAATCCCAGATAGAGTTGACGGAACGCAGAAACTTGATTGACTCCCCCAAACCTTCGGATTAACTCCGGTGTTATTTACTTAATTATATGTTGGGTACATAAGCGTGCAAAGAGGGTTCTTGAAATAATGTCTTCAATGTGGAATAACTTTATGTTTCCTGTCTTAGCAGCTGTAGCATTGAAAACGGTATTTGGTACACTTTGGTGAAACCGCACTCTTTCGGAAAAGTTAACACAGTAAAACTGTGATCAATAAGAAAGTCTGCTGAAGTACAGAGCAAGTAGTAGACCTATCTTGTAATTAAAAAAGTAATTGAAGGAAGCTGTAAAGTGACAATTCTGTCTCAACTGAAGAACAGAACAGAAAAGCTGAAAGAAAAAGGTCCGGCAGCGAGGCCATTGGGGTATAAAATTAAGACCCTTGTCAAGGTCACGACATGAAATCAGTTCGGTGAGCGCTTATCCCTAACCACTATAACTTTCAATTTCAATCGAAATTAATGCGTCCTTCTGACAGGCCTCCTAATTTTCCATCTGATTTCCAGTGTTTAAAAAATAGTTTATACTAGGATAAGTTCCAAGTCAGAATGCTCGATTTCTTGAAGAAATAAAGTCGAAGCAGCGGACTCGGACCAACTTTGCGCATATGGGTTACGATTCATTCTGACTAAGTGCCAAGCCTAATCACTTCAAGTTTATATGGGGTCTGCAAGTGCGTTTTTCCTGCAAGTTTTTCCTGAGGTTGGCCGTCGGTGCAAAAGTAAAGGAATAATTCGCAAAGTGTTAAAAATCCCACAGAGCCATTAGAACACCAGATAATAATTATATAATACATGTACTACTTGAAACTAAATAAAAGTACCACCCAATTCAACAATAATGGGAAAACTGTCCGGTTTGAACGAATTAGAGGTAAAATCGAAAACCAACCTAAAGTGATATTTCTGTAAACTCTATTCGCCAGCCGATGCAAATTGTTGGCAAAATGAGAGTGGTCTATATACTGTAGGAAAAGTAATTTGTACTGTCTAATAAACGTAGCAACTTAGTATGATATAATGTAATCCTAATTTAGCTGTAAAAAGTTCCACATGAATGTTTTTTTGTGTGTGACTTAATTACTGATGAATCATAGAAACTTGTAGATTGAAGTAATTTTTACTGATTTCAATCTTCCCTGTTGACCTCATTATTTCTTATTTGCTCGGTGCGTAAATTGCCACTGTCTATAAAAATTAGCTGGATGGGCGCCGACGCAACCAACTTGCAAAATAAAAAAAAAATAATCTAGCAACCAATTAATAGATCAGTGAATCGGGTTAATTGATTCGTGGGAAGCAAGACTCAGGCTTAGGCCTAGATTTTTTTGTTTTCCGTCAGCGCCGGCATGTTATTTGGCCCTGCATCAGAAAATCAGTCCGTTGTTTTTGAGCAAAATTGGCGAACTTTACGGAAAATCCCACTCCCAGCATCGATCGAAAAAGTTGCCTGTCTTTTCCAACCAGGCTCCAATGGTTTGGTTCCATGGTTCCAGCAACTTGAATGATCCCGCTCATCAGAACAAAAAACCTGGATCCCACTGAATGTCACTCCCATATGAGCTCCTTGTCAGCCTAGCGGGGCCCCCAATAGTATTGGGCCAAAACAAGGCACCCAATAGCTTTTTATGCAGTATATTAATAAACAGATACATGATGTATAGATAAAAGGATATTTAACAAAAAACACCTAAATTTGAAAAAACCCTACGACAAACAATAAATCAAATTTCGTTGGCCTATTTTATTCGGCCCAAACCAAGATGGCTGCCTAAATACATGTAGCTGAAGCAGTTTAGCTCGTGCCTACTACAAAGTTTAATTAACATTAATAATGGCTGAAGATAAAAAATTTGCCATGTTGTCTTCTGGATCGGTGAAGGTGGTAGCAGAGTCTGCTGGTGTAAGCAGTTTATCAGACGAGATTGCTGGCATGATTGCCGAAGATGTTTGTTACCGGTTGCGGGAAGTCACGCAAGTAAGTACTAAAAAGTAGCTTACCCAGAACTGTGGGGTCCGACGTCCGCCCCGCTCCTCTCCCTACGGGCTGCCAGTGCCACGGGGAGCGGGGCGGACGTCGGACCCTACACTTCTGGGGGTAGCAAGTAAGTAGACCCTTATAACCAGCATGATCAGCTTGTAGTATTAAGCATGTTATGCCCTATAAATTAATTGGGACAGTCCCAACTGTAGTGCTGCAGTTGGGCTGGCTCAACTGTTTACTAATTTTTATAAAAAATTTCTCAACCTTATACAAGTTTATGCATTTCACAATGGCATCTAGCCTAGGCGTCAGCCCAGTGGACATCGTCTACATTGCATTGCGACTAACGTCCAGGATATAAAGTCCTCCTGCCATAGCAAAAATTTTTCAACTGTTTTTTTTTCTCACATTTTCACCTGGTAGAGGCAGCTCAAATGTGGTTCACAAGTGCCTTGTATCTCGAATTCCATAAATGCTGTGTTAAAATTACTAGATACACCCACAGACGATGTATTTTGTAGGAAATTTAGTGCAACTCCACACTTTTCGTCATGATTTGTGAATGATCTATGTTCATTAAGGAACTCTTTGAGTGAGAATCTGAAAACCTCAAAAAATTTGCGAATCATCAGACGGAACTTCAAAAGATCATATTGAATGATTTCTATTAATTATTATTGACTGGAATTGATTAGCTTTATCTTCCAGGGTTCTTATTCTCTGTCATTTTTCCTATTCTTATTTTTTATTGCAGACTTAGGTAATTGTTTAACTGACTTGCAGAGTAAGTGTCATGTCTGTCTAGTGTTTGTCTTTTGTATGTGGTAATTAAGTAATAGTAACTATGAATTGTTTAAAGGGCCCATCATCCTAAGCTTTGCTTTTTGGTGGGTGCCTTCACGGCTTTTCCCCTGTAGTTTTTATAGTGTTTGAAAATTGAGATTGTATGTATGCAAAACTGTGGAAATAAATTAATAACAACAACAACATCTAGCAGTACGTGTACATTATGCATGCATTCAATAGCCTTCATTGCATTAATAATCCTTGACCCATATTCTGTCAGTTATGTTGTCTAGAGCGAGGTCTATCTTCGCTCCATTGGAAATGCGTGGAGACTCGCGGACAACAGACCTAGCCGTAGCTCTGGAAGCTATTTCAGACATGGCCTTATCTGCGACTTCTTCATGCCTACAGTTCTTCTGTGCATGTGTAAGGGGCGGTCAGTTGCTATGCATTTTGGGCATGTGCAAATGAGTACTCCTAGATACTAGACGTACGTAGATCGTTCACAACAGAAAACATGGAGTTGTGCTAAATTTCCTGCAAAATACTTCGTCCGGGCATATTTAGTCATTTGAACACAGTATAAATGGAATTCAGGATACAAGTCACTTGTAAACAACATTTGAGCTGCCTCTGCCAGTTAAAAATGTGAGAAAAAATGTTGAAAAATTTTGCTATGGCAGGAGGACTTTATACCCTGGACGTCAGTCATAGCGTAAATGAAGACAACGTCCAATCTGGGCTAATCTAGGCCTGTGACATGGCACTGAAACCAATATGACTTTGGCACATGCACACTGCACCTGTGCTGTAGAGTAGTTGGGCGGGCCCAACTTTAGCGTTCTAATTGGGATGGTCTCAACTATAGTTGGGTCGGTCCCAACTGTAGTTGGGTCAGTCCCAACTGTACGTGGGGTGTAACAAGCATAAGGTTTAATGGGGGGGTAGGCTTAGGCCCAACTGTCATGGCTGTCAACTGTCAGCAAGTGTCTATGGTTGGAGAGGAGAAACTTTCTGAAAATGATATCAAAAGCAAACATTCTCTCCTATCAGGCCATTGTAGCTCAACGCTGGCATGACTGGCCAGCAGATTCACATCGTCCAAAGCCCAGCACACCGCTTTCTATTCTCTTAAGTTTAAAAGTTTGACCTTTTCTGAAAGAGCTTGAAATTTACAACAGATTTCGGGAGATTTCACTTGTGTAGCTATACCCAGTAACTGGGGGTGCTGTATTTCTTTTTGACATAACTTCCACCACGACGAAAACCTGTTTTTAAGCAATATATTATTCTTACCACACACAGAGCCCCCCCGGGCAATAATGATGACAGAGCTACCACAAAATTCCTTCAAAATTGCCTAAAACCAGTTTCTCTACTTCAAGGCAAATCAGTAGAACTTCAGTGCTGCTCAGATCACACTCATTTCTTGGGCTTAGAACCAACAAATTTTAACTAAATTCCACCAAAGGTGCCTACCGCCAAATGAATACTTGTTGACTGTACACTGCATGTCTGAAACGTACGGTTCTACTGTGATTGAAATCCGGGACATTTTCAGTTCACAGACTTGTTCCAACTTACATAGTGAGCAAATCATGAATGTTTGTCTACAACAGAATCTGTCATTTCCAAGACATTTGAGCGGACAAACGTTCAAACATGGACAAACGTTCTACTTTTTACTTGATGTACAGGCCAGCACTCAGTTCATGAAGCATGCAAAGAGGAAACGTCTGCACTCTGAGGATTTCAATAAAGCTCTAAGATGGAGTGATGTAGAGGTGGGTGGGCATAATGACAAACAACCCTGACATTTATTGTTTGGGCATGAATTTTGCTTTGAACTTAATATCACATTGAAAAAAAGAAGCTAGTTTCATTTTTTCCTTTTCACTTTTTTGCTTTACTATACACTGTGATCACTTCATGCCACTTCACTTTATTACCATTGTTTTTTGTTAATTCTGTGTTTCAATTGGAGTTTTATCCTCAGGAAAAGTGACCTTGGTCTTTCCGTTAATCCTGCAATTCCTTGTTCCATACTACCCCTTTTAGCCCATCCATGGCCATGGATCCAATGATCCCTTGACCTTCATACCCATCAAGGATTCAGAGCTTTTCTTTGTGGAAGACAAGGAGATCAACTTAATAGATCTGGCGACTGACACCAAGATCCCATCAGCAGCTGGAACAACATCGATCAAAGGTCTGTAACAGATTTCTGTCTTTCGATGAGTATTTTCGATGTGCACATTGATTTTTTTCCAGAAATTTGTGGGTGGCACAGTTGTGATGATTCAGCAAGCTTCAGTTATCATGCATTATGCTTAGGCCTTTTCGCACTAGACAAATCTCGGGGTTGAGGCATGGTTCAAAACTGGTGACGGACCAGGGTTGAGAATTTTCAACCTGGGTTGAAAATTTTTCGTGCTCATTTTCTGGGTTGGAGTCGTCCCAATAAGCTCGGTTTGTGCAAAACAAGTGTGAAACAAGACCAGCTTGAACGTGGGGTTGAAAAAGGTATGAAAAGGTCTTTTCTTCTGATTGAGGCACTTGAATATTTACATACAACATTCACTTTTTTCACATTCATTTTGAGGTAAAATACTTGTACAACTCTTCATTGCTACCCCAGATCACGATTTTGCAACTTTGGCATAAGTTGTCTCATCTTTACTTCTGTTAGTTTCCATCATAAGTCTGAGCAGTATCTTCTTCTCTTACAGCTTCTTGGGTTGCTATTGAGGGCATTCAAAAGCCATCAGGATCCCAAGCAGGAACAGGTAATTGCACAGCGCCATCACCAAAATACTACACACAAGTACTGTCCAGTTAAAATATAAACATCAACTGGCAGTGTTCATAACTTGCACCATTTCAAAGAAGACACTCGTAGCCTAATCATTTTGTCAATTCGTCTTATTTGCTTGTGGCGATCCAGAGATAAAACCCAGTAAACTCAAGAACATCCTAATTAAATTGGTGCCACTTTTCAGAAACAGAAGGATACTCCTCGGCAGTTTTCAGCGCTCAACTTTAACAGTCCTCAATGTTCCAATTTCAGTACGATATTTAGGTACACCCTAGTGGGGTGAGGTTAACATTGTCAGAAACTCCTTTGAAATGTACTTTTTGTTACTTCAGTCAGGTCTTGTGGTCAGACCGGAAAGTGGCAAAAACTCAATTTTGATTGCGTGTATTTACTAAGGACTATCTTTGGATCTTCCAAAGCAATATCATTCCTAGACATTTTATGTTTTAACACAGACAGTAGTTGTTTGCACTTTATTTTCTGGACACACTGTAGTTTACAAAATCAATACAATTCATTTCTTGCAAGGAAACCTCCCAGTTTAACTGTAGTCTGTCGTCATTTTCAGCAGTAACCCACAAGTTTGAGACTCTGTCACAGGATCTGCAGCAGTATTACAAAGATGCCACCAAGGCCATCTTAGAATCAGATCACCAACAAGCTGAGGTAATTTAATCACTTCCTGCCGGATGGAATTTGTATATGCGGGACGAGTTCCTGGGTGGTTTTCAAGATTTTCATTTACTGGACGCTTACGCGAATGACTGTCTGGTGGGTACTCTAATCTGACAGGCAACCTCCATTGACACGCGACTATTGCAGCCAGGCCTGCCGGCCAGTAAAGAGAGCCTGGATTGTGCGATGTTGCGTAATTTCCTTTGTTCCCAAAATTGGCCAAGTGCATTGCTGAAAGGCAGTGGTGTCTTTTCAAATGCGGCCAGATTGTTGTGCAGCGGTACTGTATTGCTCATCGCTGGAGTGCTGGAGCAGTTTGGTCCCCACTGATAATCTGCGGGCGCTAAATGCCACAAACAGTGGTACACTGTTTCCAAACAGTGATGGATTACCCCCGCTAATGCCATCTGAAAAATTATCGCAAGTCCCATTAGCTTGATCTTTTTGTTACAAGGCCCAGCTCCTATGTCCGATTTCAGGCACCTCCGGCTGTGTTTACAAACCCGAGGTCTCCGGTAACGGGAACCCCGGTACCGAGTGGTTAACAGAGGTAGAATGATATGACTGGACCAACCTGGACATAATCACACTCAGTAAATTCCTCCTAAATTACGTACATGTATGTTGTTATGTGAATGTCTGCTGTCAAAGAGGTGTCTCTAGTGTGCCCTTCTTTGTGTTCAGCATGGAATTGCTCCACTCCCCGATAAAGGGTCATTGTACAATGCACCTGTCAGGTGTATATATTTCAAGTTTCTCCCCTGCAAAATATAGCACAAGTGAGCCATTCATTCAAATATTCTTTGCTTGTTGGTAGATGGCAAGTGATTAACTAGCTTTCCACCATATTTATTATTAGTATAGTTGTCAATTGGCAACTGATTCATCAGTTTGTTCCTTACTGGTTTCCTTTTAGATTTTTCTCAGTGATCTCCGTAGGAACACCAAAGTGTCTGGCTTGTTGCCCTATTTTGCCAACTTTGTGTCTTGCGGAGTGAAGATGGTGAGTCACGATTTGGGCCAGCTGATGAGACTCATGCAGCTTGTGGATGCATTGATCCACAACCAGGTGCTGTTCCTGGGCCCCTATGTGAGTACTGTCTCTCTCTCACTTTCCTCCATTGATTCTAGACATGTATTCCAGAGTCAGACTTTGCAGTTAACATCGGTCCATTCTCTTGACCAATTTAGTGGGATTTTTATTTCAGGCTTGTAGATGTGCCATGTTAGGAATTATCTTTTTTGAAAGAAGTGTGGCTCACTGAGCTCAATAAGACTCATTTCAATTTCAGCTCTGAGGAAGCTGTATACAGTCAAATGACTGGCTCTTGGTTGATAAAATTACCACGGGGCTATCTTCTTAATAAAAAAAGAAAGAAAGAATCGCTGGCCCCAAAACCATGGTCTGCTGAGGAAGCCTTAATCTCCAGCACATTTCTGAGGAATTTCCCTGAATAATCCAAAGTCTGTCACTCTGCAGGTTCCTAAGGCAACAATCTGCATACTTCCAACTTTCATGGGGCACAATACACCAATTTGATAGTTAGTGCTGTGGCTCTTCCTCAAACCAGGAAAATTTTTCAAAACCTGGTTGATTTTCCAGTATCTGAAATGGTTAAGTTTAAAGACCCAAAGCATATGTTGTGATGAATGAGTGGTAGATTTATAAATTGATTTCCTGCGTGTCATTGTTTTGCCCAATAGTTGATGAATTTGATCTCCACTGTGATGTACTGTATCTTGGAGCCTCTGGCTGTCTCTATCAATCCACTCAATGACCACTGGGCTTTGAGGGACTACGCAGCAAGACTACTTTCTCAGATTCTCAGGTATTTAGATCTATTTATTCTACTCGCACAATGTACAGAGTGTGCTTGCAGTGGATAAAACACAAATCTGATTGTTTGGTGTGTTAACTGTTAGTTTTAATAATCCTCAGTTAAACTGTGGTCAGGTGTTGTTTAGAAACTTTGCTGTGGTTTTGGCTCCCTGCTCTACACTGCAGTATGCTTGGATGTTGGTAATCGATGATATGACCCACCTGTGTAAGCTGGTCGTTAATAGTGAGATTGTCCACTTCAATAAATCTCGACTTACATTCCTTTGATGAGATTGGTCCAAATATGGTAACCTTTCTGCTACCACACTGAAAGTGTTAACATTTAAAGCTCTAAAATGCCATCCTATGATTATCAGGCAATTTCTGTTATTCTTTATTTCAAAAGTGGTCGCATCAGATGTTTTTTTTTGTGAGCTTGCGTGACATATTGAATGGGCTGAGGTGTACAGGCATTGCTGGAAAACTGCAGTATTTTGTTATTGCAGATCTTCCATTGAGATCATGGGGAGATTTGAGCATCAGCTCCTGGCCACATTAAAGGAAGTTTTGAGTGATCCGGCTAGGCCTCTCTGCTCCCATTATGGGGCCGTTGTTGGTCTCTGCGCCCTTGGAACCAGGGTAAGGATCTTAGAATCCCTCTATGTTGTCAAACCTCAGGTACTTTTTAAAACACACCAGTTAGAGGCAACTTTGTTTCTAGCCTGATTTTGGGTTCTGTCTTCCATTAAGAAAATTGAACCTAGGTTACAAAGACATTTTTAATTTCAAATCAAACACTGAAATTGGAAACCTTATTCCTAGCAAGAATTTATCTCAGTCATAAAGCACTTTGCACTGAACGCTCTGGGTTTCAAGACATTAAATGGAAATTATTAATTTGATAGAAATTAATAAGGGAATAAATATGTGCTCGGTCGGTCGTAAATGCAAGACTGCAGCGAGGGCATTATTAGCGTTTGTTCTCGTGAGCAAGGTACCACATATTTATTCCCATTCATAAATGACCTTTTTATTCAGTCCAAAGAAGTCAACATATGATGGATTTCCAACGATTTTGTCCTAAAAATTTACTTTCATTTTCCTGAACACCCCTGTCAATTTTATGGTGCATTCCTTTTGAAAGCCGTCTAGTAGAATTCCCAACAGTGAAATTGGCGTGCATGTGGCGCATCGCGTGCACACAGACTCCTGACCAATCAGACCCGATTAAATTTTCTTGTATCCATGTGCCAGCACATGATTTACGCAGTGGGCATGATCACTTCCCAGCAGACATTATCAAATGTTAATACACGGTCATGTGATGTGTTTCGACCAATAGGAACAGAAAAACCGTCCCAGGTATTTATGTATTTCATTGAATACAGTTCTCCTTTAAGATGTTGGATGGGGAAAGGGCAGCTGGCACATTGTTTTCCAGGACATACCAAGATCATGGTATTCATGTTTAGGAATTAGGGTTCAAAATTTGGGAATTCCAGACAACATATTTCCAACTAATATTTCACCCTTATGTTGACAGAAGGTCTACCAGAGAACATTTTCTGAAGCCTGTTTTGAGACTGCACCTTTAACATTATCTTTTTGCCAACTGTTTGGCCCTCTGTAGAGGGATTTCCAATGAGCCCTCAAAATCCTTTGGAAGCCAAGAAACCTACACATTTTATGCTACCAAGGATCATCCTTTTCCCAGCTTTATAAGAATTGTAAATGTCTTGTTCCCTCCCCCCTCCAACCTTACAGGCTGTTGAGGAGGTTTTAGTCAGTCAGCTGTCCACCTATTGGCCGATTCTTCAGCAAGTCTTGGAAGATACTTCAATTTCCAACTCACAAGTCAAGATGGATGGACACAAAGTGCATGGAGCCATTTTGGTAAACAGACATATTTTTTTGATAATGCATGTAGCTTCACTTTCTGAGGATGGTATTAACATGAGCATTCTGTAAATCCTGGGATGAGTTGAACATGTATGAGCTTGTGCATAGTTCTGTGTGTTATAGAATTGTCTTTGTCTAGGCACAGTTGGATGCATTTTGAAGAAAGCACAGGCCACTACAAAAGTTCAGTACAGTGAGTGCTGATTGCAAACAAATGTTTTGTTTAGCTAATTGAAAAATAAAGGGAATCTCAGTGTTGTATTCGACGCCATCACAAGTCCTACAAGTCCCTGCAAGTCCATAACAAGTCATTTAGTCTTGACCAGTTAACATTGGATTTTCTTACCCGAAAAAGCTGCTATGGTTAGGTTTTTTACCCACAAATTCTTCAAACTTACACTTTGAACCAACCAAGTGTGATGCGTTAAAACATCAAACACTGATATGAAAAAAGAATTAAATGCTTGTACATGTCCTCCGTGGATCAAACAAGGAAAGTTATGTGCGTTTACATGTCATCCGGCGTCAAGTGGTTTAGCCAATTCACAAGCTATTCAAATGAGCTGTGACAAAAGCATTCTTTTGTCATTGCTCACCTTGTTACTTCTAACTGGTCTGATGAAGGGACTTGTGATTGGACTTGTGAAAGGACTTGTGATGAGCTTGATTACTGCACTGTGGCATCTTCATTATCATCAAGAGTTTTGTGTTACACTACTGCAATAGTTGTTGCAGTAACTTTTTGTATGTGTATACATTTTGAAAGATCAGATGTGTTATTGCATTCTTTTTGAGATATGAACTTGACTATATTTTTTCGTAAGGCCGCTGCTGAGATGCTCCTCAAGAGCAAAGAAGATCAGCCAGATGGTGGAGAGTCACCCTCTCCAAGTTATGGACAATCACCCAATGCTAGCCCTGACCATCAGGCAGAGTTTGCTTTCGGCACAGCCAGTCACCTCATGCACCTCAGCTCCACTGGGATTTCGGGAAGCACCGCTCCGGAGCCCATCAAGAAACCCAAGCACTGCTCCATCTCTGACACCTACTCTCACCTCTATGAGTACCTTGGGGATAGCCTGACCATGAGACTGCATCCCCGCAGGGATCCTGGCAAGCGGATTCCAGAGCCTCCCAAGGATGTGGACCTGATGCAGCTGCTGAATGCAGAGTCCCAAAGCAGCCATCACTACCGGGAGGACTATCACAGAGGACTGATGAGCCTGACTAGACAGAAGTTTCCCAACAGGCCTCGTCTGCCCTCAGGTGGAACTGCTAGAGAGGGTCTCCGTCCACGGCACGCCAAAACCCCAAAGAAAATCCGTGGCAGGGCTGCAAGTCTCAAGGATGCCTTCCCTCTAGCAAAAACCATCAAGATACACAAGTCCGATTTCAAGACTCAACTGAGCATCCCAGGAAAATTAGTCAGTCTGAGAACCAAAAGAGGAACTTCAGAGGGCAGCAGCACAGTACCCTCTTGGCTGAAGAGCAACTCAGATGTGTGGAAGATAAATATGAGAATGGCGGTGTTCGGGAAAAGGAGGATTCATTTGATGCAGCTTCCTGAGAATCTCCACTCTAATCTCCATCAGAGGGCAGTGTGTGACTTGAATGCCATGTTCTAAAACCTCACACACTCTTTTCATGTTTACAGGAAATTCTGCTTACTCTCACAAATATAAACACTCATGTACAAAAATCACCTGAAATGAGAATTCCATGGTTATCTAAAGGATTCTGTTGTATACCTCGTGTACCTCACACCATGTACCTGGCAGATGAATCATTCTTTTCCATGAGTATTCATCTGTTGTATTTACAAATAAATGTCGTCTCATGAACAAGGAGTGTGATCAATGGAAACTACATGTACATGTATTCAATTTGATAAAATTGTCACGAGTCCTTGTTTTTCATAATGACTGGTCAGTCAGGGCATTTAACCCCACAAAACCCATCTTGCCTTAAAATATGGGTTGTGTTCATTTTTTCCTTGGATACATTTATATAATAACTCTTGCATGCCCTATCACGTTATCATGAGGGGACAGGGCATGTCCATAGGTTTATGTTGTGCAAAAACAGCTGACTTCAGCCACGTGGAATTTGTTTGTCCGTGCTAGTCACATCTTACAGCACAGACAACTTAGTAATGTCTCTCATAGTATCATATGGGTTTATGTTGTGTCTTTGAAACTGTAAGGACTCTGTGATTATGCATACAGACCCATCAACATTGAAAATGGCACTGGCTGTGAAGGATCCTTGACGCAGCATCCCAACAGAGCTCTCTTAGAATGTCACATATGAGCTGGGTTTTGTCATGGTGTAGTCAAAAAAGGTATTTGATGCATGCTAATATCTTTTTTTTATGCCAGGAAAAACTTCTGACAATTCACCAATATGTTAGCATACACGTGTTTAGGCAAATGGACAGACGGACATCAATATGTTAAATTATACAAGTCATGGAAAGGACAAAGTAGAATTAGTCAAGAAAAGCACCAGGAAGGAATCCCATTTACGATAGAATAACCCCACATTGATGTTGCACAAAGAAATATGTTTTTCGGCAGAAAGATACCTCTTTAAATCGTTTTTGAAAACTGAAAGGGAAGGCACTTTTTGCACTCGTTTTCATTTTGTAGATATGAAAACGGCAAATTAATAAAAATTAGATTTACAGCTTTATCTTCAATATCGGTTCCACCAAACAGGAATACTTCATTTTCCGAGTTAATACAATAACTGGCCTTTTCCTTGATTCAGGAAACTACCACACACCAAAAGGATAGTGTGCGATTACATAAGCAAAATATATGAATAAGAGTTTCCTCTTCGGTTTTACAAAAGGTACACATTTTGGAGGTGGACTTGTTTATTTAAAACAGAAAGCTATTTGTGCCTAATATTCTATGTGTTAATCTATATTGGAACTATCGTAACCTGGTGTCCACTGTACATTTAAAAGGACTGTTAAAAATGGAGGACCATTCAGAGAAGTCGTAATCTATATGAAGCTTGCCATTCCACTTGGTTGTAAACGTATGAGTGATTTTCTTACCAGACGTCAGCACCGAAAACATTCTACAGGAGCCTTTTTTGTCCCTCAAAAGAGTACCTAAATGGAAAGGTATGGCAGGAAATCGATAACATATTTATCTAAATTTGATAAATTTGGAAATGCTATCTTAACCGCCCTAATTACAGCTCCGTATTCGAAAGAATTAGTTCTAAGATTTAACTCTGCCTTAAATCCATCACATGAAAGAAAGTTGCCGTTTTCATCGAAAAGATCAAAATAAAGTTGACACCAGCCGACTCCCAGTGCTTGTAATAAGCTGTGAGAACGTCCAAACAAAAACGGTTCCCATCAATGAGACCTGTACTAAGAAAAAGTGAATTCAACGATCCCCCTTCCAGCAAAAGCGTGGATGGGATCCTAATTATTTTATGGCACAGAAACGCCCAACCACAGTTATTATCTGCAACCAGGAGTCTGCGGAATCAGGTTATCTTCAGAGCTTTCGTATAATCCCTAACATCCACCATACGCAGCCCACCTTGGCTGTAATCTTGTACCATTTAATTTCTGCCCCTCCAAATAAATTGAAACAACATAGTGTTTAGTTCATTGACAATGTGGTGAGGTGATCAGGGATACTTAAAAGAAGAAACGTAACAAGCTTAGACAAAAGTAAAGATTTGACTACAGTAATTCTGCCGAGCACCGTAAAGTTCCTCTTGGACCATTTCATAATCATATTGCGTAGAGATAAAACAACATTGTTGTAATAAAGTAAAACCATCGAATGCAGGTCTGTAGAGATTATAATACCAAGTATTTTAAATGTTTCCTCAACGCGCACCCAGTGCATCTTAATCTCGTCACAGAGCTTCTCTCTACTACCTGTTTTCGAACCAATCCAAACCACTTTCGTTTTATCATCATTAACTTTCAATCCTGAGGCAGGGGCAAAAGTATCTAGAATTTTAAAAGCAGCACTCATAGAATTTGCTGACCCATCGAGAAACAACACAGTATCGTCTGCATACTGAGAGACTTTAAATTCTCTGCCATCTATCTCAATACCTTTGAGTTCATTATGAATAGACACTATCATGGCCAAAACCTCGGCGAACAAAAGAAATAGATATTAGATAAGACCACCACCTTGTCTGCAACCCCTTTCAATTTTGAGGGATTCCGACAAGAATCCATTTACCAAAACTGAAGATGTATCCTGGTTATAAAAAATATTAATACAGCTCTTTGTGGAAGGACCAAAATTAAATTTGTCTAAAACCTTGAATATGAACTCATGTGACACAGAATCGAACGCCTTTTCAAAATGAACAGAGACCAGTAATCGGGGGATCTCATTCACCTCAGTAATATCTAGCAAATCGCACACTGACCGGATGTTTTCTCCTATAAAACGACCTGCCATGAATCCCTTTTGCCTCTCGTTAATGATGTATGATGGGACGAGTTTTAGTCGCTCAGCAATACAGGAAGAGGCTAGCCTGTAAGATGTATTAATTAAAGAGCGAAATTGGACGCCAGTTTTTGAAAAACTGGCGGTGTTTATCCCCTTAAGGCAAAAGCGTAATAATACAGATTTTCTGAGTGACAGATAACTTGCCCGAAAAATAACTGAAATTAAGTGAGTGAAGTAAAAAACCATGAAAAATCAGCAGAGAAATTTTTTTAAAACCATCTGAGCCTGGCAATTTACCGTTCTTTCTTGTACGCTGATATTTGGCAACCAGAATCAGAAGCCATTACTGCATGGCCCTTTTATGGCCGTGTCCAAAACGGGCTTCCAGAGCTACGGCTAGGTCTATTGTCTACGCGTCTCCACGCATTTCCAATGGAGTGAAGACCTAGACCTAGCTCCAGACAAGAGATTCGGATGCAGCCACTTTCATACATGTGGTATGCGGGCGTATCATTCCCCTTTTACCAACAGTTTATCTCAATTGGTCAAAGCGCACTCTCAGTCTCGTTTATGGAGTTTTGTGCCACTGTCGTGATGGCATCTCCTCCTGGCCCATGTGACTTAATAAAATAATTGTGAACGGGGTGTGTAAACCATTGACTTGTCCTTCCAACGCTTCTGTTCATGTTTAGAGCCTATGACTATGGCTGCATCCAAACGACAAGGCTGTGGCTGAAATGATACATGCACATATGGTTAGCCATTATCCCGTGGCTGTAGGTACTTCCCATCTAGAAGTGTTATTTCGAACCATAGCCGGTTAACTTGGACATGGTCTATGTTATATTTCTGAACAAGCTTTTCAACCAGAGCTTCAAGGTACACGTATAGGCTTCAGAAAGAAATGCAGTTTGTTTCCATTTTTTTCTGATCTCTTTGTCCTTATTGACAGGAATGTCTTTTATTCATGTGTAACAGAAGTGATGATTTGAAGAAACTATGTGAACACAGTGTGAAATGGAAAATATCAGCTCAGGCAGTTACAATGGTTTTGGAGAACTTTTGGAATGAAATGGTGGCCGAAGCAGAAAATCACCCCAAACGTCTAATTGTGCACTTTTAAAAATTTTGATTTTTTCCAGTGGCATGAATCCCTGTGTGGAAAACCCTCATGATAAAATAGTACTGAGATTTCACCTATACTACGACCGGGCAAATTTTGAAATGAAAATCAAAATAGAATAGTTTATGAATAACATTGGAAATAAACAAGGACGGCTCCAGAACCATATGGGGGGGGGTGGGATTTGGAACTTTGGTCGTGTCTTTTGAGTTTTATGGCCATTCTGTTGGTAAAGCTACACGTTCGGGCTTTTTACAATTTTTGAGGGAAAAGAAATGACTCGCCAATGTGAGCGCGCGTGTGCATGAGCGCGATGGCCCACCCGCAGGAATGGCGTCTCATTGGATTGTCTATAGAGGGCGTTTCGCGCCATTATCTCATCGATGGCAACAAGGCACTCACATGACACGTGCGACGAACCTCGTCGTACTTACAAACGTATTAATCACCTTACTACACCGACTAGATTACACTCAGCTTGGATCATACGCCCACATCAAAGGCGTAAATTCATGATTTCTGTATCCTTATTTCTTTAAATATTTCCTGACCACTGTACTATAGTGATGACGAGTGATCATAGTGACCTGGAAATATTGGTTCTGCAAACAGGAGGTAGACTTTGTACAATCCGAACATGAGTACAGCCAAACTAACCCTGCATCTGTTTAGCATGTCACCATCATAGGTTTCTTTAAAATTGGTTTCTTTAAAATTGCCTCCATCCATTTGTCTTGGGAGGCCAGACCTGCATACTGCTGCAGCCTCGACTCTGCCAGCCACAGTGTGTTGAGGTATTGAAACACATGGTTCGAGTATGAAGAAATAATTTGGAGGTTTAATTTGAAGGATTTGAGAGTTTTCTCTCCCTGCTTTTTGCAGGTACAATCGACAAAGATTACCCAAGGCGAGTGGGAGGTTATGCCTTTGAAATCGGGGAATCTGCAGTCATTGGTATGATGCAACGTATCCAGCCAGACCTGCAGTTTACATTCAAGACAGTGTGTCAGAAAGACAGTCAAGACATGGTGGATGGAGACAGGTGAGTACTTCTTATGGTCTCGCTCAGTCTTTTTTTGTTGACGTCTCAGAGTTGAAGGATTGGGGAGTATGCAGGATTACTGGGATTCCCAAGTTATTATTAGATGTGCCCTTGGCACATCATCTCACAAATCTGAGCTGTGATAGCCCCCTCCAGTGATCCTTGTTTGTAGAAATATAGGCCCTAGTGAAAAACAAGGTACGACGCGTGATCAGTCTTGCCTGACCATTACCACGTGCACTTTATTGATGCTTGCCAGTAATTACATAAAATACAAATGTTCTGTTTACGGATTGTGCTAATGTTAAATTACAACCAAGATGATTAACTGTATTCTTACAAGGCAGTTTTAGGTCTCGTAGAGGGCTAGAAAAATCAGCAATATCTCCTTTTTGTGGACATTACCACCGCAGGGAGTTCTTGTGGAAAGCATGCCTAGAAGCTCCGCAGACAAAAATCCTCATCACCCATGGCACGGACACAATGATCGATACAGCTGCCTATCTCGCAAGGAAGGAACCCCCTCCCCAAAAGATGATAGTTCTAACTGGTGCCTTTCTCCCAGCAACCTTCAAGCTCTCAGATGCGGAATTCAACGTTGGAGTTTCTCTGGGGGCGCTGCAGTGTTTGACGGAGACAAATGTGTATGTTTCCATGAGCGGAAGGGTACATCGGTGGGACAGAGTAACACGGGACAGTGATAGTGGGAAATTCATTGCCAGAGCATAAAAGAGAAGAATCCGGCTTTTTATTTTTTGTTTTAATATTGGAGGGAAGTGGGTGTTGTTTTGAAGACAAACGGACAGGCACTCACAATGGAAAGCACCTTCTTCATCAACAGACGGAGAAATATGCCCAGTACCAAGTCAGAGAATACAATGTTTGGCAGTAATGGTAGTCAGACCCCTGACACTTTCCAGTGCCACTAAACATTTTCATCCTGGTACCAGAACTAACATTACCTGCAGCATTCTCTCTGGGTTTTTTTCTCTTAAATGTTTTTTTTTTAAAGTTTTCCACAAAAAAAATCATTGACTTTCAAGATACTATCATTGGATTGGGGCTTGTCTTATGGCCAAAGGCATTGTGTAATGGAGCAGCTGTTTATTTACATACTTTGTATTTATTCTGCCATAATCATCTGAGACTATCAGAGGTGCATTTACTTAAAAATCACTCATTTTTAGCGCTGTAGAGATTTTTTTTCAGTATTTACTTTAGGAGTACCTTATTTTCACACAAGTGAAAAGAAGAACTGAGGTTTCTTGTTTCTTACTGATGGGTCATTCCATGAGGTTGAGGCACAATTTGTGACGGTGTCCTTGTTAGTAAGTTGTTACATGGGTAACTTTTACCGTCTGTCATGTTGAGTACGTCATTTACTCTGTAAAGATAACAAACACCTCTGTGTTCAGCCTTGCAAGATGTATAACAGTGTCAATGTGGAATCCACATGCAGGGAAATAGCTGTTCATTTTTACAGAACTCGTGTAACAATTGACACCGTCACAAATTGGGCCCCAACCTCATGGAATGACCCTGATGTAAATTGCAGCTCATAAAGTTGGAAATGTTGCTTGAAATTCATGACCAAAACTCCAAATGACAAAATATTTGTACAATTCAACCACAAAGCAAATAGGCCCTGTTACATTTGCTGCTGATCAAAATTAAAATGTAATGTTGTGGGGGGGGGACTGAGACGTAATAGAAAGAGTTGAATAAGACACTTCTTGCTAGATTTTATGATCAATGTGTCTTGCTCTTTGGTACCTATCTGAATTGCACGGCTTAAGAAGGTAGGCCCATGGATTTATGGTAGGCCTAAATGGTAGGCGCGCCGTCACTGCCGGATATACCCCCATAACCATGGGATTCGTGTAATTATGCCCATCGCGCCCTGGGGATTGTTACAAACCCGGGAGATCTTAGCCTATCAGCGGGTGGGCATTGGAATTCAAGTAGGCGTAAGTACAAAAGAATTTCAGAAATTAAACATTTTGTTCAATATCTAATGCTTCTGGGATATCTTTTTCCGACCCAATAACAACAGGCTACTTGATGAAGTACGCCCATCCTGGCCAAGCACTATGCGATCTTTGGTATGGTAGTGGGTTGCAGTTTTGTAATTAAGTTCGGCCGGTCCGACACTCGAGCTCAACGCCTCGCGCGCGATTGACGCCCTCAATAGTTCGCTTACAACTTGTGTCTCTCTGCCGAGTAACTGGACGACTCGACGTGAAAGACAACACAACAATTGCAAAGGAACATTGTGAAACCATACGATGTATTTTTCGCGCATCTTTACTACACGTCGACTTGTGTGTAAAAAAATCTACACAATGGAAGTAGGAAGGGTGTGTGCTTTGGCGTTTGTGGCCTGTTTGATCTTATTGATAGACGCCAAAGTCATTCAAGTAACTGATGAGAACTGGGGCGTAATTGAGGAGGGAGAATGGATGCTGAAATTGTACGTAACTGTTTACTTTTTCGTTTCTGTGTTTCCCACGTCGATTGCATCGCGGGGTTCGATGTCCGCCGCGCTCCCGCGTCATGCTCGTGGGAGGAGAGCGCGGCGGACGTCGAACATGTCGAAACCCACAGTTGTGTGGGGGTCATTATTCTGATCCTCTTAGACTTAGGCCATGAGAATGAAAGGGTAAAAATTCCATATACGGACGCCAATAATTGTTCCCTTCATTGACCAATTACTATAAGCTGCTAAAACATGTCAAGAAAAGTTATTTTAGGAGGGAAAATACCAAGTTGTTTATATTCACTTCTTCACTTTACTTTTAATATTTCCGTGTAATATAACGAGATAGCAATGGTACATATTTGATTCAATATGGAGACCCCCAAAAAGCATCGCATGTCGAGTGGAGGACCCATAGACACTTATGACAACACTACAAGAACTACAAACATTCTATATTACCAATTAACTAGAAAAATAAAGTCCGAGTAATCTGGACCCTTTTTGACTGATCCAACTATGTGAAAGTACAATTCCTCCGTGTATCATGTGTATTAGCCCCACAAATGCAAATAGGGCTGTAGTGGCTCTCTTTTACAATCTGTCTCTTAACTGTCGCCACCACAGCCCTACTTCAAGGCATATCTTAAATGCCTGAAATCCAAACTGCAGGATTGTCACAAACTTTGAATCCTAATATCTTCCAAAATGAAAATGAGTAGACAATTTTACTTACACCCAGAGTATTCCTCAGAGTTTGGACTTTCATACGAGCACCCTAAAGCTTTCCAGAATCGTAAATTTTCCGATCTATGGCGCCTTGAAAAACCCGGCCTGTAGTATTACATGCTGACCGTGGGCGGCGCCATTTTGAAAAACGAGAGCAGCATTTGTGGGGCTAAGGTCTATGTGAGCCTATCCAAGTAATATAAAGCCCTGGTCCTCTAACTACACCTCTATTTATAACCTGTAGCATGTTTCTACACACCTGTTAAGTGCACTTTTGAATCTCTTGCATATTTATTGTACTCCATCCTGAGTTAATTTGCCTTTGAATGAAATCTGTTCATGAGATAATCAACTCAGGAAGGAGTATAAATTTTTGCAAGAGTCAATATTAAGCTGAACAGTGGCCAGGACATTGCGGCATATTCAAGTGGTATTTGTTAGAAGAATCTAGTGGCTTGGCAGTAAGCAACAGAACAGTTAAAAATCTGACAAATCTACCATGTCTATAGCTATGCCCCTTGGTGTCCTGCTTGCAAGGCCATCGCTCCCGTCTGGACAGAGTTCTCCTTGGAGGATAAAAATCTCGGAATTCAAGTAGGAGAGATTGACGTGAGTGCCTCACCAGGATTGAGTGGTCGGTTCCTAGTCACCTCTCTGCCAACTTTCTACCAGTGAGTTCCAAAATTGAGTAAATTTTGTTGTTTTAGTCAAGGGTTTTTAGAAAATGTCGGCCTGTAACTAGTGTCTGTAGAGCACCACATAACTTCAGATAGTAAATAGAATCATCCATTACCAGAAAACTAGTCCTAAAATTTTTGACTCTTAACCACTTGCTGCCGGGTTGATTTTTCTTGAGCAAGACAAGATGCCGGGTCATTTTGAAGATTTTCCGTTTTCAAAATTCTTCAAAAATTCATCATTTCATTTAATGGCCGTTTATAGTACCAAAATGAAGGACTCTTTGGGCACTATTCTAAATCTGACAGGTAAAATTCATTGACTCCTGAATATTTCAGCCAGGTCTGCAGCCTTGGAAAAAGATCCCAGATTATGCGGTGTTATGTAAGACTCTTTTGTTCCCGAAACCGGCACAGTGCACTGCTGACCTCTTTTCAATAGGGGCCAGATTAGCGTGCAGCGGTGCTGTGTGGCTTATCGCTGCAGTGGTGGAGAGCTTTTGTCCCCGGTGGTAATCTGCTCACTCTAAATGCCTCAAACCTTGGTATACTGTTTCAAAACAAGACACGATTATCTCCACTATTGAGAGCGAAAAAATGTCAGTAATGCCCTCTTTTGTCCCAGTTCCGGTTTCCCCGGGCTGTGTATATAAAGCCTATGTACCCGAAAACGGGTCGTCCGGCAGGAAGTGGTTAGCACTATGTTATGTCTTAGGTTTGAAATTGAAATCGCTTGGCTTCTCAAGAAAATGGGAGAAGAAAGATCAGCATTAAAACTGAACTGAGACCTTGGACTTCGTGGGTTAAATGTTGAAGACTTTGTTGGATGCATGATAAATTTGAAGAATGTTGTTTGTTGAAGAGTGAGTAAAGTTGGCTTGACTCTGTTTTGCATGTTTCTTTGCACTTGGGACTCAGTCCACAAGAAAAGATAGTGTGGTCCATTCTCTAGTTGCCCCTTTCATCGGTCAAAATGCCACACTACATGATCTTCACAATCTATCAGGACATACATGAACATGTGTGTTACAAATTTCAATCACTTGATTTCACCCACTGGTTGCCAAGTGCTTTTTGATCGTTAAAAAGTGACGAGGAATGAGAAACTCTGAACTTTAAAATTCTTTCATTTGTCTTCCAGCTTCCTTTAAACCACAAGTACATATTGGCATTGACATATTTTCTTATAAATATAACAACTGTGTAGCACGTGGAAGATATGTTTCAGGTCATCAAGATGGATGTTTGAGTTATATTTGGTCTGTTGGACTTCAGTGTGCGCAATGGGGAGTTCAGAGTCTACACTGGGTCCAGGAATAAGGAGGACTTTGTGGGTTACATTGCACACAAACGATACACAGAACTTGAGCCAGTGTCGTCATGGAAAGCGCCTAACTCAATAATGTGAGTACATGGATTTCAACTGATCCATTACCATTAAAAGGTGTGAAAAAGCCTGTTCACTCACTACACCTGCTCTGTGTATAATGAAATCTCATATAGGAATTCTGCTGGGTTTAGATTTTGTTGTAATACTAGGGTGTCTCACCATTAGACGCCTGACTTGCTGGTGTCACACTTTGTTCACATGTGCACACTCTAACGCACCATAGGAATGTACACACATAAACAGTGTGACATCATCAGTACACTGTACAGAAGCCTAGTAGTCAAGACACCTACATTAGTCTAGCAGGAGGCTTTGGGTTAGAGTCCTAACAAAGCTTCAGAATTTGTCCAAAAAGCCTTTTATATTAGAGTGTAATATACAAGTACTTATAAAATGACATCATAATAGGGCCAAACCTTTCAGTGAAGTCCATCATCTTGTTGAGAGATTTCTTGCCCAAAACTGAGTCAGTCTCTCCAGGTTACATGTTGTTACCATCTGACTCTAATGCATGCTAACACATTTCATACTCACACGAATTAGATTCGAATACATTTGTAAGACTTACTTTTCTTGTCTGTTGTCATTTTTCTACAGAATGTCAGCTGTGTCACTCGTGTTCCAGTTGTCCATGAAAGTGAGGGTAAGTAACGACGTTGGATAGACCAATATTTCCAAGGCAAATGGTTTTAACTGTGACCAGCTGTAATCAAGATAGAAGTCAAGTAAGCACATGAAGTCTTGCCATCAAGTAGTTCATTCATCGTTGAAAGTGATTTTATTGTGCTAGTGAATTATCCAGGTGATCAGTGTGCACACTCGTGTTCTGTCTATTGGTGTTTAGTTCTTCACTGCAAATAATGAAGAACGTGCATCCATTTTCATAGTGATAGAATAAGGTTTCAGGGTGATGAAGGGTTGACAAAGGACGTCATTGTAGTGTATTCAGCATTGCATGCTCTTAACTTTCCATCAGCGACAGCTGTGAGGAATTTGACAGGCTTGCTCAGGTGGGACTCGAACCCTTAACCTCCTCAATATTTGCGCAGTTTACTTAAGTACTCAATAGTTAAGCTTACAGCGGCAAGATGATTTGGATAGATTGCAAGCTGACAAGTGCTTTGATTAGATTGCAAGCTGACAAGTGCTTTGGATAGATTGCAAGCTGACAAGTGCTTTAGTTGGCGTGAGCTTATTACAGTAAATGCTTCATTGTAATTGTAATTCAATTGTTTTTAAATTTTGAACAACAGCACTTCCATTTAGTGATGACCACAGAGTATGGCTTTCCAGCATGGAGTGTCTACGGTTTCTTTGCTTTGTGTACAGTGGCTATGGGCCTTATACTTGGAATGGTATGTGCTATCTTCCCAAATGATGAATGAGTTCGTTCTCTTGATTAACCCCTTTGCGCCGGGAAGCAGCTATTGCCGCCGTAAAAATTGAGATCCTCGGCCTGCTTTTCAGCTAGTATTATCGGCCCATGCTCGAGCGAACACGGTAAAAGAAGGCAGACCCTGGCTCTTGTATATATGGTAATTGGTCTTTGTGCGTAGCCCAGAAATGAAAAGACCCATTTTGCATCATAATCACCAGCTTCACATTAGTCCCCACTTTGAAAAGAGGCAACAGGAATGTGGAAGGGTGAGTAGAGCCGCATGCCACCGAACAATTAGCCTTTTCACCGTGTAATTCAAAGTGTGCAGAGCACGCAGGGCCACAAACCGAGAATTTGCGGTTTGGCAGGTGGCCTTCGTGACCAAGCGAGGCTAAAATTCATGGAGTCGGCTTTCGAAAAGAAATTACCGTCGTCAAGGGGTTAAGGTCTGTCTCGGATTGTTGTGGCCCATCGGGTTGATGTTTATCTTTAGTTTGCTCGGCATGAAACAATGAAATATAATTATTTGATTGTTCCGGTATGCCAGCCTACGAGAAGTTATTCTCACGCTAATGCCAGTGCCCATTTGAGGAGGAGAAAGGGAACACGTGACCAACAACTGGATTTGAATCCCAGACCCTCTGATTATAAATCATAGCTATAAGTGGTACAGGCATGGGTGTTTCCGGGATTTTTTCGGGGGGGGGGTGGCCAAAGTATCAGTAGCAAACTGATAAACTATCAACGAAAGAAGAGGGTTGGGTTTGGGATGGACATGTATGTGGGCATATTGGTGATTTCCATCCCCCGTCTTCCCTTTTTTTTGTTTCTCTCACTTTTACTTCTCCCCCCACCCATTTTTCATTTTTTTGCCCTCCCCCATTTCCATGATGTCCATGAGCAAAGGGTCTGTGCCCCGACCCTATTAATTCTTGCCGTCTTGTGCAAAAAAGCTGTATAGAAGAGATAAAATTTTTTGCAGTATCAAAGAGACCAGCCCCCTTTTCCACGATTCTGTGAACTTAAGGGACGGGGACAAGTTTTATTTACTCCCAGCTTTAAATCCTGAGAAATAAGAACATTGAAATATCCAAGTCCTTTGATTATTTCTTTGGCTCAGATTTTGGTCTTCATCACGGATTATATCTGCCCCACACGGCAACCAACAAGGCCCGTGGAAGATGGACGCTCTTCAGAGGACAAACCCGAAGAAGCTCCCATCACGAGTGAGAAAGAGGAGGAGGAGGAAACACAAGACGAACCCACTCCACCAGTGGACGAGACGACAGACCAATCAGGGCACACCTTGCTTAGAAAACGGAAGACTGAAACAGACACCGCCAATGATGAGAACTGAGTAGCATATCTCCTGGTCTCTTTTTGTTTCCATGGATTGAGTGGAAGTTCTCCACTTTTTTTTTTTAAGATTGAAGCTCAAAGCCATGGGATGTTGGGTATTTTTTTGTAATTTGTGCGGCACCTACCGTGGATTTGTCACGCAGCTTTCTTATTTGCGGAAGTGAGATGGCAGCAGACCAACAGAGAGATAGCGTCTGAGCAAGTTGCATGGACAGCCGATGAAAAGGTGGTACTGAAGCAAACGATCATCAGACCTCATCACAAAAACTGAATAGTCTCGGTTCTCTGCTGCACATTGGTTTGATGATTTTGTAAATTCCTCCTACTCAGAACTGGACACCTCGGATGCATACACACAATGCTAAGAGTTTACAATGTAATCTCCCATGCATCGTCCTCCACAGGATATGTTACCAAATAAAAGTGAACATTGGTTTCATTTGCATGCCGCGGATGATGGGGGTGCAATTTTTTAAATGTTGGCGGCACTTTGGTATCCAGATTCAATGTAATGCAACTTAGCATTACATTGAATGCAAGTTTTAGGGGCTAGAAAGTTAGGAAAGGAATGAAGCTTGAAAGTGATTGTATTCTTTAAATTAAATTAAGTGTCACTCCACAAAATGATGATCTCATTGAAGTTTTAATCCTTGCCAAAATTCTTTTCAATTTCAGGATCTTTTGTATTTCGTAACTATCTGTGGAAACATTGGTTAGCTGTGGTATATATTTCTCTGTGCTTCCTATTATATATTTTGCATCATGCATTTAGTCTTTGACCTAGTCCTGTATTTTATTCAACAAAAGTTTTGTAGTTTTAAGGTTTTTACTGCATGGAAAACATCAGCACTGAAGTGGTAAATTGGAGGGTTTTTACCGGTCATTGTGGTTAATTTCATTTGCTACCATACATCATTATCTGCATGTCTTTTTAGTACTGCATTTGCTTTACTTTCTTGATGAAATACTTGGAGTCTCTTTTGTGAGATGGTGAGCACTCCAGTGCAGTGCTTGGCCTTAAGTCATGAATTTGCCATGTTGAATTGAAAGTGAAGTTAACTTTTTTGATTGGGAAATTTAAGAATAAAAATGAAAGCAATGAAATAAAAGTTCATCACAAATTGATGCAATTTTCAATGACGAACAATTTTAAATTTGTGATTAATTATATCTGAGTGGTATAAGCCAGATGTTTAAAATAATAAAAGTGAGGATGGAAACCAAAATCGTCTCGCACCCAGCCAGTTGACAAATAACATTCAGCAAGACAGATTTAGGGAACACAATCAACAGGACTTTTTTTATAGTGTTTATTAATCAGAGTTGTAATGATTTCCATTAGTGACTCAGCTCAAGGCCGATCCAGGTCACAGTTTTTTGTGATTCCACTCAAGTCACTGTAACTGACTCGATCCAACTTGTGTCCCCTTCTTCAGAAGACCACACCCAACTTGAGCCACTTAAAATAACTCAAGTACCAAACTTCAGTTACTCCTGACAACACTGCTAGTAGTGATTTTGTGGATGTGTGCCCTGGCTTTGACTTGGGAAGATTTGTTAAAAAAATTTGGGGCGAGATTTGGTGAGTTTTCAACAACCTTGTTTTCCTATAATTGCTACAGCAGCTGATGTGTGTGGTCCCCATTAAAGTGGAACAAGTGTGTGACATTATATTGATGTGAATTAAGAATGTACAGTACACAGCAGATGCACAATGGAAACATGTACAGATCTCATTGCAGGTATTGCAGTAAAGTTACAGATCTCATGGCAGGTATTGCAATAAAGTTACAGATCTCATTGCAGGTGTTGCAGTAAAGTTACAGATCTCATTGCAGGTATTGCAGTAAAGTTGAAGTCTCAAATACAAGGGACGCGAGAAAGGTCTAGGTGTGCACCATGTATACAAATGTGCTGCCATACAGGCTCCAGTTCATAATACAATGTAATGTTCTCATTGGCGGTTATTTGCCAGTGGATCGGGTGTTATTTTCGACATCCCTGGCCATGGAACTTGAAGGATGTGAGACAGATTACTGACACATTACTGATTCTTGTGATGCTCAAGATTCTTAGTTGGTGCAGGGAACTCGGAAAAAGGGAGGAAATTCAGAACCACACAACTTGCTACATTTTTCAGTTTTTTAGTGGCATACATGAGACCTTCCTCCAAAAAATTGGCTGATTCAAAGAAAAATCATAAATCATAATCATTAAACTTTGGGGGGGGTGACTGCTGACGACTCAAATTAAGATCTGCAGTTGTTCAAGTGTTGTTACTTTTGAGAGTGATTTATTTTCTCAGTTATGACAGTTACTCATTAAGTATGTACACACAATATGTACAATATTTTTTCAGTGTACTTCAGAATGAAAGTACAAAGATTCATTAAAACTACATATATTTGTTCTTGGGAGCAGACAGTGAATTCTTTTAATACAGCTCTACACATTTCCCCAATTTTCAAGATAATTTCACTTGTTTACATAATTATCAACTTTGTTTACGTATGTTAACAACTTCACATTTTCATAATTCACCAGTGAAAATAAGAATTTAGTGCTTTTAACTGTGACAAAAGGACCTCTCAAAAACAGTGTTTCTCAAATTGACTCTTTGCAATACATGATCACAGAGGTGTCAGTTTGATTCAGTATGAACTAAGGGATGACTGACACATCCTTGTGGAGCAAAAGCATGTACCTCTAAGAAGGCTGTCATGAGTGAGAAATGAACACAACTGAAGCATTGAATAGACAGGTGATTAGATAATCCCCTCTAGGCCTCCACTGAACTGGGCCACTTGCACGTGCCCAACTGTCTCTTGTTGAGAGACACAAGGAAGTCTGCAGAAGTTCACTTTGGGCTATGTGAAGCTAATACGAGCTAATGAAGGACACTTGGCATTCCAGCTGGGGTTTGCATGCTTACATCACACAGTGGTCCTCTCGAACACTTTTCCACTGAACGTGCACAAACTTTTCAGAGCTGTTAAAAGAAATTTGCTAACGCGAAGAAGATATTTGCTTAGCGCATGTAGGTTTCCAGCCCACGTGTCAAGATTGGTATGAAAGGTTTCTTCAGGCTTGCAAGCTACAGTGCCTAGAGCACTTTTGAGGAATCCTTGGTGTCATTACCAAATATATAATAATAATGAAAGCCCACTAGTTCCATTAAGTATACGTTTTAAAAAAGTGAATTTTCTTTTTCATTTTTATGAGATTCACTTTTCAAAGTGTGTTCTTAGGAGATATATTTTTCAAGTTTGTTCTAAGATACCTATTATCAGAAACAGTATTTTTGGTGAGATGTTTTTTCAAGTTCACTTCTACAGTACATTTATAAAATTAATGTTTATGAGGTTTTTTTTCCACAGTCATTTTAGGAGATATGTTTCTGAGAAGAAAAGTATACCTTTCCAGATTTGTTTAATGAGTAAACGAAGAGTAAAGTTTGCAAGATGCCTTAGGCAAATTGAGGGTATTTGTTGTGTCAGACCAGCAGGTTGTATAGACAGAGCATACAGAGTGAGGTTGTATGCACAATGAACTTGAAAAGGAATACATCTCATAAAAACAAATGCTGCAAAAAATAGATCTTGTGAAAGTGAACTGAAAAAAATCTCAAAATCACAAAAACTGCTTTCATATTTGAAAACATACACTTTCTAGCAATAGTGGGCTTTTGTATAATTGTCCTTAAACACACCAATTTACCAAGCATTGTTTTTTTTTCTACCAGGCACTTTCATGGAACATGCTCTCACTCCATGAGACAAATGTATGTCCATATAGGCCAACTAAGCAGGGATGCCAGTTACCTGACCAAAGACTACTTTTAGGTCCTGAGGTGTATCAATACTTCTCTTGCCTTATTTTCTAGCTCTGGATAAGACCATCCCCCTTGCACTCCTCGACTAAGAGCAGCACTCTTCGCACCTACATGTATGTACAAAGTCCGTCTTTGTCAATAGCCTCATTCAGGAACATAAGCCACGGAATTTCCCGGCAAGCTTTGAAATACAAGTTTAATTAAGACTACCATCACAACACCACAGGACCACGACTCTGATCCAAGAATAAAAATGTTTCATGAAAGCCACTAAATTAGCGTATTTACAGACTGAGTCGTAGCATCTTCAGCAGCCATTATTGGTGTAAAATCGTTATAATTGATCTGTACTTGTACACTTATTACATAAATTAAATAAAGCTATTACTTCTCAGGCACGATATATTTCAGGTGCAACAGGATTCTGTTGGCAGTTACGTGAATACAAATAAATTGACAGCTACGGCAAATGCAATTTTGCCATTTTGGGGGGACTACCAATACAGTACGTGTGAAGGCATGATAAGAGGACATTTCATACTGTGTACACAAAGTGAATTTTTTGCCATTAACAAAATGTGGCTATATACATTGGCTCCAATTTACATCAATTACAAAGGAGGCACAAATAGTATTGTGTGTGTCTAATGACAGGCATATTCGATTACACAAAAGATTACATAACAATTAGCTTGTACAGGTAATGTTACAAAAAGGAACCTTTACATAACACAAGTGAGGCAGTTATATGCAGCAATATTATAGCAAGCCATGGTAGACACACATCCTTAGGTTTTATACCAAGCTTGCAATAAGCAAATTCAGCCTGTGTGCACATTAAAATCTGGTCTGAAAACAGGAATACATTAAGAAAACTGAACATTGTTGCCTACATCTATAAAAACGTCTCGAACAAAGACTATGGCTCACACAGAACCCCTCTCCCAGTAGTGAGGGGGCTTCTGCCCCTGCTCAACCCCTCCAAGAAAAATCTTGGAGGTTCACGCTTCATTTTTTTGTGTGTAACCATTAACGTAAACTAGATAGCTTTGTGGTAGCACCATGGATATATCTCTTTTTGAGTATGTGGGGTTCTGAAAAGAACCGGTGGTACTCTGAATACGGGCATTTCACAATAGTGCGCCTCCAAGGTGTGAAATTTGTCGATCCAATGTGCATTTGGAAAGGGTCGACAAATTTGGCTCATTGTGATTGGCCAACGCGTTGCAAACTCTTGGTGGCGCACTATTGTGAATTGCTCACTGGAGTGAAGCTTGAATGATTAAATGTAAGATAATACACAAAATCAGTTGCACAGAGCATCAAGTCTTACCCGAGGTAGAGTCCCACTCTTACAAGCAGTAGTTCTGAATGTTCTTTGCATCAAAATACTTCAAATTGTGAGAAAGACTTACATTGTTGATTAATAAGCTGATAAATACTCTTTCCTGCAGTACGTGGATATCATTTTGAAAACAGATGGTAAGAAAATGTTGAGGAAAACGGTAAATATACAAATTGCCTGTCACAGACAAGTACAAAAGCTATCACTAATACAAATTACTGGCTCACAATGACCTTATCCACAGCCTCGCAATATGGAAGAAATTTCAAATGCTTTTTTATCACCTGATACTATACAAAGTACACGGCACCTCGATGAGGAGTAATGGAAGTTGAACAAGTTGGTCTTCCAAAAAGGGCCATCCCCATTTTCTTACAGTACACAAAATTGCATCTTATCAGACTCCATCAGTATTAAACATGGTCGCAAGGAATATACATTTTTTGTACCTTTGGATACTTCATCTGTACGGAACAATTATATATACATACTGACGATAAGCTTAAAACACTGCACTGAACTCTTTTGAAGTTTTACTGAGTTGCTAAAATTTTAGTATTAAAAAAGTGGCTACTGTGGTTTTCGATTAGCTTTCAGTTTGGCCCCAGAATCTTTAGCTTAGATCTGCCTACTCCATTACTCACTGCAAGACAGAGACACAGTGCTACGTAAATTGGAAATTTTATTAGCAAGGATGTGCTGACTACCAGGGTGCCAGAGGTCATTCATACAAACAAGCCAAATCTAGATCAAGATTTGATGTCAAGAAGCATTCCTACTGGCTTTGAGCTGGACCAAGTGAGGGCGCTATTTTCTTGGCAATGGCGGCTTCACTGGTCGGCAATGAACTTCACTGGTTCACAAACGACAAGGAAATGCATGGGTCATAGTAACATCGCTACCAATAAACTGAGCACTTCCAACCAACGCGGCTCTTCTCAACCAACGAGGGAGTGCTTCTGCTCGAGGTGAATAGCCAAAGGGTAGCGGATGGCTGGATTAAAATGCTTAAGAGTGCCGTACAAGCACTTGCACACACTTCTCTGTTTCAAGCAGAAATTAAGTAACTAGGGTTTTCATTGGGCAAAAGAGGCCCTCTCTTTCACCCTGCCATACTTCATTTCTACATGACACAAAGATGAAGGTGTACATACCAGTCAGGTGCACATCCCGACCTGTTAATCCGAAGTAGACCACAAGTCACACAATCTCAAGTTGAGCGACAAGCTGTTCAAAGAACTATCACAATGGTTTTCCTATCAATACTTTGGCTTTGTCCAGCCCCCCCTACTTGTCGCTTTGACAAAGTGCTACCGACTGCGAGCTAATGTTGGAATGCCTTTGTTATAGCAAAGGTAGTTGAGTATTAACCCCGTGTGTCACTTCCTGAATATGGTGGCATTGTGAAATTGCTTGTGAGGTGACTCGTGATATGAATTTCAATTGGACTGGATCACAACTCTGCCACACAAAACATGAGAAAAATATTTTGTGCACTGTACCATACAAGACACATCACCAGTGACTGCCATGTAAAGTGGGCCCAATATTTCTTTCACAACAGAGAAATTATCAATAAATGGATCTTAAATAGGCAGCAGAGTCACATTTCCACCTGCTGTAAAGGCCAAAAACTCCCTGAAAGAGTGCACTTTTATCAATTTGAACACTGAAGGGAATCTAGATTTAACTTGTAATAGCAATAGTTCGAAAATGGGTCGTTAGGGAGACATTCCCATCAGAATATGCACAAAAGTTTTCCAACTGTACCGTCCCATAATTCAATATTCCCTAATGCAACCTTAACCAAACTTTGCATGTTTTCATTTTAGACCCTAATCTATCATCTCTCAAAATTTGGACTGCAAAACTCGGCCTCCTTCTGGTAGTTGGAGCATTTGAAATGTCTACCTAAAGACCAGTGTCTCCCTACGGTTGAAAAATTTACCACAAAGTGTCTCCCAAATAACCTATTTGTGATAATAAATTGAAACTTTGAACAGCAGTACGTTCCACTATTGATGACAAAAAGGTTGGCAGCCTACTTGTCACTTGATGCCACTGCCCTAACACCCATGGGAAACCAATATGGCTTGGTGTACATTCCGATGAACACTGACTGTACACACTCTAAACCAGATAACAACGGTACCCAATGTTGTAGTCTAGACCCCCGAAGACCAACACAAGACCCCCAGCATGAATTCAAGTCACCAGCTATTCAAATGAACTGCGACAAAAGCATTCTTTTGTCACTGTTCATGGTGGAACTTATGACCGGTCTTCTGAATGGTCTTGTGACTGGTTCTGTATATTGCTTTGACAACAAGAGAACTCTTGGTACCAGATAACTCTCTACATCTATACCCCATCCTGGGTCCAACTGCCATTGGACTGTCAATTTAAAAAATGATCTGATTATGCATATGTATCAACGACCTTTCATGTTGTGTGGTCGAAGGTCAAGGATCAGCTATGTGGACAACTTGCTTGCCTATGTTGCTTCCATTCATCATTCCAATGAATGCTGCACCACAGTTCTCCAGCCCTTTTGCTACTGTTTCTCTTGTCTGTTGTCAAAAGAAAAAAGAAACCCTTTCAGGAGCAAAATACATGCACAGGACAAACATTTTACAGGAAAATATCAAAGATTTAACTGAGACAACAAAACTGCCAACTCCAAAAGAGAACCTAATTTATCATAGGATGAGTTAGTTCCCAAATCAATGCAGTTTAAGCTCTTAATGATTGACACTTATCGGTAGAAAAAACAGGGCAATACACAGGTTGTGCCTGCAACACGGATCTAGGAAATCATTCAAAATTTTCCAGTGCCTCTCTGTTTGGGTCTCCCAATGTGGCAGTTAATCCAGAGGTGCAATTACGTTTGCAGTGTTAGTTTGCAAATGGTTGGAGATCATGTCTGAGTCTTAACAGTTGTAATTAGCAAAAGCTGGAGACGTGCAACAGCAACAAGAAATCCCTTCAAGATTGTACAGTAAAACATCAACTGCGTAAGGCGTGATGACTAGCTTTTAATCATTTTTGGCAGAAATGAAGAAAACTGCAAAAGCATTCGCAGCATCCTCCAACTAGTAAATCAATGGACTGAGCTGACTTTCTTGAATCTACAATGGTTATTTTTAATATTAAAGAAAACACACTGCACTCATCTCCTTATCTCGTAAGGTTTCTTTACGACGATAATTTATCAACTTGCCTTGATTTTTCCCTCCCTGACCCACTTGGCAAGTTGTTTTCTCCCCTCGACGAACAAGTCAGTGAATTCGTTGGCAGCAAAGACCTCCCTGCTGATTCGCCTCTCTTTCAGTAACATCAGGGTGCCTGTGTCCAGTGGAATTTTGATGTCGGCGCTGTACGTTGAAATTTGGCCACATGGGATAACTACACTGTCTGGGTTCATCTATGTGAGAGAAAAGATGAAATGTTTGGGGGGGGAAGAAACATTTTCTAACTTAAAAAAATGGGACTTAAATAGATTTCTGGGTTTTTATACTGAAAAATCAGAAAAAATGTTGGTGAATTCTGAAATATGAATGGGCCGTGTGTAATACATGCATGGAAAATATCCATATTTTCTATGAGTTATGAAAAATACTATTAGTTAATTAAAACTCTTAACACCCAGCCCTAGGCTTCCTTCATAATCCTTCAACAGTCACTATGGACAAGCAGACATCACCCCCATCCTCCAAAATCCTCCTTGAAGAAGTGACCACTGCCTTAGTCCTTCAAAATCCTCTGGCAATTCCTCTCATCATGTTGAGGCAGTGGGAATGGTATCCGGGAGCACTGTAGATATTTCTACGCATAATCTAGGCCTGAATTTATGCATGGCCAAGCATAAACACAAGGCCTACAACCCAAAACCTTGATCAAATGCATCCCTCGCTATCGGGCACATTTTTGCCATTCAGCCTCAGTCCTCTGAAATCCTCCAAACCCATTCAGAAGATTTTGAAGGGTTAAGGAGGGCTAGGGTTAATTGATACGGTTCCTTCCCTGAGCTTCTAGACAGACTTTCACCCACGTGATAAAAATCACAACTGAACCCCTTGGACCTAATCAATCAGTACGTAACAAGAGAATAAACATGTGCTTTGCCGGTCTTAAATGTGCCGGTCTTAAATGTGCCCGTCTTAAACATTAATTTAATATCGGCCAAGCACATATTTATTCCAATTCATAAATACCTGTTTTAGTCAGAGTTAAAAGAAGTCAATACATGACAGATTTCCAACGATTTTGTTCTAGCATTTTACTTTCATTTTCCCAAACAGCCCCGTCCATTTGTGGTATACTCCTTGTGCAAGTTGTCCAATAGAATCTCCTAATATGGATTGGCACGTGCTTGGCAAGCCGCGTGCACACACACTCTTGACCAATCAGAATAGATTAAACTGTCTCTTGATTTATACAGCGGGCATTATCAAATGTCAGGCCTTAATACACAGTCAAGTTGTTGAATAGGGAAACTGTCTGGGGTATTTATAAATTCGCATTAAATCAAGTCCATGGTCATGTGAACATTTTACAGACCTACAAAATAAATTATCTCCACCAATTAAATGATATCTCCAAGGGCATAGTAACTGTAAAAGAATTCAGGGGCAGATCCATGTTTGGTGGGGGGGGGAGTTGGCCTTCAAGAAGGATTTGTTTATCCTCAAGCTTTCTATTTTTGGCACAGTAGGGGTTTAAACCCTTAAACCCCCAAAAAGATCTTCACAGATTTGCCAATACATGTAATATGATGACACTGGAAACTGTCAAGACGGTACACACCTGTTTGATAACTTCGGTGCTGATCTTACCACCGACATTATCAAAGTACACATCGATGCCGGCTGGACAGCACTCCCACAGCCTAGCGGCAATGTCATCGGTTTTGTAGTTGATAGCTCCATCAAATCCCAGTTCATCCATCAGAAAGCGGCACTTCCTGTCCGTCCCACAAATACCAACCACTCGACCACACCCTTCTAATCTTGCAATCTGGTTGAAAAATAATTCAAACTTTAAGTAATCACTCTATAGATTAATGCAAAACAGTACAATCTAATATTGGCATTATGCCCATTCCCAGCACACCGCACATACAGCAAGGGGAAAAGTCCAGAAGCAGGCCAAGACAAGCAACGGAGAATTTCAAGAGGACTTACAGAGGAATCAATCAGCATTAGAAGCCACTACAGCCCCATCCTCGCTGGCAGGTGGTGTGCATGTATCATCCTTTTGACCAACAGGACATTGTGACTTGTCAAATTGTATTTGTGCTTCAGTTTGAGGGAACACCTGTGAATCACGTTAATGTGGTTTACTGCAGTAAGGGGCCGTCCATAAAGTCCATATGCATGAAATACTGACTTTTCAGACTCCCTCCCCCTCAACGAATGGCGTGTGCCTTGGCTCCAACCCCCTCCCCTGTGCGCATACACATTTGACAAATCGCTTAACTTCTCAGGATACCTTGCTTTAGAATCATTAAATGTCACATAGTACTGTTATTTGCATGTTACTTCCAAATTCTTAAATGACCAAAGTAATAACAGGTTTCTATATCAGTATTTCTTTATTAACGGCCCTGGAAAATATTTATTAGGCAGCTTAAAAAGAGACGTTGTTGAATGAAAAAAAATAATAACCCTGGTCCCTTTTTTGTCTCTTATGAGCGTAGAGGGCACCTGTCAATTTCCAGAAGACACTGTTGGTCTTTGTGTCATGAGTAATGTTGTGGTTTACTAATAATGGGTGTTGGCATGGGAGGATAAATGGCTGAGTGGACGGTGGAAGACACTGTGTTTGAATGGTTTTTTGATGTATAAAAGCTGATTCTGGTATTTATTTGTATGAGAAAGTACATTGATATGATGAAGATTCATTAACCCTAACTCCCCAGAGTGATTTACCAAGAACGATACCCATTCACACAAAGTCCAACACCATATGGTAATCTGTGCACAAAACTGTTGGACTCTGTTTATTTTGGGTATGCCTGAACCCATGTTAAAGCACAAGCAGTTTAGAGGTACAGTACCCAGTGCCACAAATTCACACACTTTACTGGTGTTCAATTCTGTGTGATTAGGGAAGGTTAGGGTTAAAGGCAAATTTTTGGTACGCATGGTGTATGCAATGGCACCAACCCCTCCCTCACGCGTACGTACTTTATGGACAGGCATCTCCTCAAATTTATGTGGCAGCTGCAGGTAATTGTAGAAAAACAAACTAACACGGCCCACCTTAGCCAAATTATCCACCCTGATCCAACCTAGCATGGCCCAACCCAACCCAACTTGATTCAATGCACTTACGGTACATCCATCCTAACCTACTGGTAACCCAACCATCCTGAACCCCATCCTGCCCAGCTTAGCCCTGCCCAACATAGCCCTGCCCAGCCCAGCCCTGCCCAGCCCTGCCAAGCCAAGCCCTGCCTAGCCCCAGCTCAGCTCAGCTCAGCCCAGCCCTGCCAAGCCCAGCCCCAGCCAAGCCCAGCCTAGCCCTGTCAAAAACAACTTTATCTAACTCAACCCAAACAATGAAACCTAATCCTACAATGTATAACAGTATACATGTACGTAGAAGCCCACCAAATTGAATTGGGCTTACAATGTGTAAGTATCATCTGATAGCCAGTGGTCAACATGTACAATGTATGTACATCCTTTGAAATGGTAGGGAGCAAAACACATTGGTTGAACAATTTTCCTTTAGTTTGCGGTTATTAATATCACACTGAGGTAAAAATAAATTGGTTGCATGCAGTGAAAGTTCATCATGCAAGATAGTACATGTACATGTACTTGTCCGTTTCCCACTGGGGCTATTCTTGAGGTCAGTGCACCCATACACCTAATACTGTAACATAACAAGTGTAATGTAGTGAAAGGCAAACCTACAATTCTTTGTACTCATAGGAGTTTTTCCCACTACTTTAAAAGATTGTGCCTGACACTGACCTACAATCCCTCAAAATACACTAATCATCCAAATGCAAACCTATACAAGACAAACAACTCTTAGAACTGAGTTCTTGACAAAATGTTTTGGAGAAATGTTGCACAGATACCTACATGTACTTATGTGGTCTCTACCATCAAATTGTTTGCATCTGATCTGATAACTTCAACAACAGCCAAATGCAGAAGCTTCCTATCTTTAAGACCCGAAACAATGGATAAAAACCATTTAGCACCAGGGTAGAAGGTACTTGGATACTTGAGTACATTACAGTGTTAAAACGGGGTAATGAGATGATGAACTGCTACATTTAAAATTCTGAAGTTGAAAAAGTTATCAGATAAAAAAATAGAACTCAATTGAAGAAAATTCCAGATTTTGATGGCGGTAATGGAAAAGAACCCTTGGCTGATGGATACAAACTTCAAAAGTGCTTGAACTGAACGCCCTAAACTCAAGAGGAAAATAAACTTTGCAGATAAAAATCCGACGTCATTTTTCTCATGTTTTTTGGAATGTTCAAACGACGACTGGGCTGTTTTCAATTGTTGTGGGATAAGATAAGCACGAATATAAATAGCTAACACACATATACCAACTTGGACCCAAAACTGCATGTGCACTTGACCCAAATTGTCCTACATCGTAGGAGGTTAAGGATAAGCCGTGAATGCGCACAAAGACGTTGTCACAGGTTTCCCACACAAGGATGGATTTTGAATATTACCCAGGAGCAGTCAGTCGTGACAAAAATACCCCGGAGGTTGGTGATCTACTTCATCAAAAGTGCTACATGTACTTACATTTCTGAAGCCATTACATGTACATGAGAGAATACTAAATTGGGCAAACTGCTGTTAAGTACTAAGATGCAGAACACGTTCGTTTTACGGGTGTTTCAGCCTATATACTGGTATGTTCAGCCCAAAGCATATTCTAAAAAGAATCGTCAACAATAATAAGCAGAGATTTAACTACACAAGTAAACATTTTTTTCTGACTTAAATAACCGCTTAGCCCTGCCTATACACAATTATGTTTCTCTACAATTTTCAAAACTTTTTTTTTAAAACTTACTTGAAAAAGTGTTAAGGATACAGTATGATATTGGAAATAATATACAGTATACAGGTACATTGGTTAAGTTTAGGATCCAATTATACATGTATCTATCTCTTGTAACTTTACATTGGAGTGGTGCAAATTTTAATCAGGAGTTTTTGTCAGCACAGCTATGTGCACTGGTTCGTATACTGTATGCTGTACGGTTCAGTTAGACCCCCGTGTTCTGTTCACACATGACGTCATAAACCACTGAATATAAAGTGCATTTAACACATATGAAGCATTGACCTTCAATAGAATAGGGCCGAGTCAATTCGAATAATCCACTATTCAAATATCTGAATATTTGGTTGTAACAATCGGCAGATTTTTGATGAACAAACCATACACAAAATCAGTTGTAATAATGTACACAATTGTACATTATAGTCACTATAATAGCTACTCATGTCTAGGAGTATCTCCAGCCACAATTTAGCAACATTTAAGAGACAAACAATACTTCTTGCTCTGTAGAAAATTTCTATTCCTTTTAAACGTTTTAATAAATAATTTACTTTATGAATTGTAAGATTTCTGTTGCTTTTCATTTGAATCTGCTTGAAACAAGCCTCCATAGTGCAATTTCTCTCATTTAAAACAAAAGAAAATTCTCCCTTCCTTTTCATGAATTTTGCATTCAAATATTCAAATTCGGAAAATAATAGTCACATAATTGATAATCGATCGAATATTTGGATGTTTGGCACGGCCCTAAGAAATGAAACGGTGATGTTTCAGGACAACAATCTAGGAAAGAGTATACATGTATGTGCATCCACCCCAAGTTGAAGTGCGCCCTCACTGGCAAAGAAGGACAGACTGGTGGAACATTTTATAGCCGGGCTTGTTCATACAAATTCGTAGGGAGTGCTCAGCGCTTCCTGAGCCACACACGCAAAAACCTGCGCATGCACATGGCAAGTTCCCACCAGAGGATCATCTGTACTATAGCTGTGCTATGTAAAGCATGCCAAATCTTGTTCCCTCTCGGAGCCGGTACCAAATCTAAAGTAACTACTTTCTGGCGTACCTGCCCAGCTAGTGACCCACATGCTCCAGCCGCCGCACTGACCACAAACGTTTGGTTGGTTCCTGGCTTGATCTTGGCGCGCTTACGTATCCCAATCAACGATGTCAGTCCGGGCATTCCCAGAGCACCCAGGGCCAGTGACAGCTGATTGCTACCGAAGGATCCATCAATCTACAAAAGAACAGAGAAGTCATCAGTCTAGAGTTTGTATTAATACATATCGGCATAGTGACATTTCCCTACTGATACAGCAATTTTTGTCCAAATTCAACTTTAAATATCTCAAGTTGGCAACCACAAATTTTAAATCCCATCGGTACAAATGTGTTCTAGAACTTCTAGTTTACCGCCGGTATGTCTGTAGTCAAGTTTTTTGCATAGCCAATCAAATTTTTGCAATTGAAATGTTTTGTTAGTGTTTTGGTTCCATATGCTGCGACGTTTAAGAAAAGCACACCGTAACAGGCTGCTAGAACAAGCCTTGTGATTGGTCAGATTGTGCGAGATTTGTGACACAATAGGCAGTCCAAATATGGTTATACTCCAGACTGGTCATGTGTGTCATTAATGTTGGCTGGCTAAGCAACAAACCTGTCCAGTGAACAATTCATCAAATGTTAACCATATGCGTCACTGGGCCACTCAAGTCAGACTAAAAAAAGTTTTTGGTTTAAATGTACATTTTTGTTTTGAAAATACAATATTTGGAGAACAGGCTGTTTCTTGCACAGTTGCTGAATGTAAGAAGTAATGTTTGACTTGTAAAATCAGGAACTTGTTTTCCCCCAAAAAGCCTTAAAGCTTATCATATGTAAAATTTTGTATGTACCGGAATGGGGGGGGGCACTTTGATGATCCTCATGAAAAAGATGAACGTCCTGAGGCTGAATTTGGGTAAAGTCTGGAAAAGATATGATACCTTGTTGGTATGCAAAGTTGGAAGAGATGCATACAACTGCCACGGCCAATTGAAGTCCTTGGAAACAATATCACCGGCGACAAACTCTGAACACCTGCTGTCAATAACTACGCCCACCCCTCCGCCTGAAATGGTATGGCCCAGCTTCCATGTCTGGAGGTACTTTGTGCCAGTGTCTTCTTTCATGCATATTCTCTGGTGCGAAAAAAATGTGGCGAAATAATAAAAAAGCTGTGGATTGTCCATTTTCAATTTCACAAGCTCTTCTCAAAAAAGTTGCTCAAGCACCACAAAAACATGATGGGGAAAAAAAAGACTGTGGTTTTTTTCATTTTTGACTTCGCAAGCTCTAAAGAGTTGCTCAAGCACATTTGATATCCAGATGTCTGTAGACAGATAAAGGACAACTAGCTTCCATATGGCACCTGTGGACTAGGGGTGGGAATTTACGTTTAATTTGAAAACCATTTAGAAAACTTTCCTAAACCGTTTAAACGTTTAGCCAACACTTTACAGAGGCCGCCACCGCCTACCTCAGAGTTTTCACATGGTCCAACCAATGTAAACATGTAGATTGCTGTTGGGGCACTTTCAACAAGCAACGTTTATTGTTTAGAATCCACTTTTTCTCAAAAAGTACATGGATGCCGAAAGGTAAGTGCATTTGGAACATCAGATTACATTTTACAGGCACACACAATAAAAATGAACGCCAGATTACGACGATCAAAACGTCAAACCTCTAAAAGGGGTGATTCCGTTTAAACATTTGGGAAAGTCTGTGAACAGATTTGGAACTTGTTTCATATAAATAAAGTTTGGACAAATGGACATTTTGAATGGCCTTATGCTGTCTGTATGTCTTTATTAGAAATCTAAAGTAACACTTCACTTGACATTAAGGATTCTTTCTAGGTACACTAACTTTCCTACTTGCTGGCCACACATTAACCCTAACAGTCCTGAATCCTCCAATTTTAATATGATTTGCACACACCCTAGGGAGTTAGGGTTAAACGTTGAGTACAAACATAATATCAGCTGTTTACACACTTTTTTCATACTTTTAATAACTTTGAACATTACACATACATATGCATGCATGTGAACCTTCATATTAGCTTCTAAAGCAGTGAATGAACAAGTGCCTCGAGGCTCAGACTTGGCCTAAGGGCAAGTGACCCAAGACTCCTACTTGAGGCAAGTGACTCGAGACTGATTCAACCTCGAGGTATGTGACTCAGGACTCTGACTTGAGGCAAGTGATGGGACTCGGACTCATCTCTGGTGACTCAACTACAACAGTAGATTTAATCCTGTCTAGAAAACTATAATTATTCATGCACAAGTTCCTCCGCCTGGAACTTGCGCTTACCATGTATGGGTCAACAGAAAGATAAAGTGTCTTGACTACAATCTGACCATCCTGGATGTCTGTAGGGTAGGCACAGTCTTCAGTTCGAAAATTTCCCACCCGTGGCTCACCATCTGGGAAAAAGATGAACATGCATGATGCACAAATGAATTAGTCAGGTGCAGCAGAAAATAACCTGTTTATGACATTGCGGAAAATACTTGCGATTTACATGTAAGAGTTCGAGGTCAACTGCCTGATTGGAAATGCTACGAACAGTGGCCTTGGTTGGTGTTCCCAGTCAAGTGCATCGTATGGAAATTTCACAGTGTTGTTAACTGCACATTTACGGGTACATGCATTATACTGGTAAATCCATATCCTTCTTTGTGTACAAAAAGGAAACCTTTTCAACTGTACCTGTAATGTTTCAGGGTGACATTTCCCACGTTCCATTAACTTTTTGCACTTTTTCTGTTTTTCTCTTTTTGTTACCAAAGTCACCATGAACCATTACGTTGGTCTTCAACTGCACGACAAGTTTAAGTGTACTCACTGAGACTTTAATTCATTCAAACTACATAAAACCTAACCAATAGCTTCAGTGAAAATCCAGTACATTTATTCACCTAACATAAAAACTGAATCAAATTATGAAAAGACTGTTAAAATACACATAATTTTAAAAGATTTGAGTAAAAGTTTGTTTGTGTAGGTAATGTATTCTTCCCAATAGTAAATACATTTTAAATGGACATAGAGGCAAGAGAAGTCTTAAATTTGATGTTCAAATAATATTTAGCAGGTTTTGCTCCACTATAGCC